TGTGGTTGGAGGCCTTGAGGTGGAGATGAACAGCCGACTGTGGCCCACTAGAGTTTTCTCTACGATGTTGGTAAAGTCGTTTCTGTAGAGTCTGTTTGGTTTCTCCAATATAGTGGTCAGTGCACTCCTCTTCACTACATTTAATTGAATACACCACATTGCTCTGTTTGTGTCTGGGTGTTTTGTCTTTGGGATGCACTAATTTCTGTCTTAACGTGTTGAAAGGTTTGAAATACACAGGGATTTTGTGTTGCCTAAAGATTCTTTGTAGTTTCTCTGAAACTCCCGCCACATACGGTAAGGACACGCCTCTCCTCCTACTTTCTTCTGTTTGTTGGACTGTGTCTCTGGCCTTTCTCGTCCTTTGGGCTTTAGTAAAAGACCACTTGGGGTAGCCACATCTGGAAAGTGCTCTCTGAACATGTTTGGTTTCTCTGTTCTTTCCCTCCGAGCTTTTGGGGACCTGGTGGGCTCGGTGTTGAAGCGTTCTAATGACCCCGAGTTTATGTTGTAGCGGATGATTTGAGTGAAAGGCCAGGTACTGGTCAGTGTGAGTGGACTTTCTGAAGACCTCAGTCTCTAATTGTCCGTTCTCCAGTATGATGACCTTACAATCTAGAAAGGCGAGTTCACTCTCCTTAGCATCCTCGCGAGTGAAATTTATAAAAGGGTCCACCGAATTAATGTGTTCTGAAAATGGTTCCACTTCCTGTTTCTTTAACTTAACCCATGTATCGTCTACATATCGAAACCAATGGCTTGGGGCTGTCCCTTGGTAAGAGGCAAGGGCTTGTTCCTCCAGTTTCTCCATATACAGATTGGCCACTATAGGAGAGACTGGGGAGCCCATCGCACAGCCATGAATCTGTCTAAAGAAGGTGCCTCTAAATTGGAAATACGTGGTGTTAAGACACATTTCAAGTATTTCACAGATGTGGTCAGCTGTTAGTTTTGTTCTCCCCCCTAGTGTGGCGTCTTTCTGTAGGCTTTCTCTTACAGCCTGCACCGCCTCTGTAATAGGGACCGACGTAAAAAGCGATGTCACATCAAACGAGACCATTGTCTCATCTGTGTCAAACTGGAGGTGTTTGATTTTATTTACAAATTCTTTTGTGTTTTCTATGTGATGGTGGGTGTTACCCACCAAAGGAGCCAGAATGGTTTTGAGGTGTTTAGCCAGGTTGTAGGTGATAGAGTCTATGCTACATACAATAGGCCGAAGTGGAAAGTTTTGTTTGTGTATTTTTGGGAGTCCATAAATACTGGGAATGGTGTCTCCTGGGTAAAGTTTGTAATATAGTGGTTTTTCAATAATGCCCTCTTTCATTAAGTTCTGAAGGAAGTCTATAATCTTTTTCCTAAACCCACTGGTAGGGTCCCTCTTCAATGGCTGGTACGTGTTGGTGTCTAAGAGTAACTGATTAACTTTGGCCTCATAGTCTGAGCTGTTGAGGATAACTGTGCATCTGCCTTTGTCAGCTGGTAAAATAGTTATACTCTCATCCTTTTGTAATGCCATTAATGCTTTTTGCTCATCTAATGAGACATTGGATTGTGGGGGCTTCGCACTTTTGAGTGTTGCAGAGACTCTCAGTCTGAGGGCCCCCGCCTCACTCTCAGTTAGTTTGTTGTTTCTAATGGCTGCTTCTGCTGCTGTGATGTATTCAATTGTAGGAATATCTTTTGGGGTTATTGTAAAATTTAGGCCTTTAGTAAGAACATCTTTTTCCGCTTGTGATAAATGCCGATCAGACAGATTTTTGACCCAATTCTCCCTGTCCAAGCCTTGTCCAATTTCACTTTTAGAATGTTGAAAAGAATTATGGTTTTGGAGTTTTAGAAATTTGCCTATCTGACGTTCTTTGGCCTTCTTGTGATGGTTCAGTTGGGCAGTTTCCGTAAACGTCCAAATCCTCTGAAAAAACTCTGGTGAGACTGCCAATTCCAGTTTGTGCTTAAGGCACTCTATCTCGTCCTTTAGGTTTATAATCTCTATGTTAAGTCGTCGAATTCTTAAATTGAGAATCTTCATACAGTAGTTTTGTTGTATTTTTCTTGCCAACTGGCCTGTTTCTAATGCTTTTTGCTTTAAACATTTTGGGATAAGTTTACTCTGGCTTCACCTAAGATTAAACCTAAGATGATTTCTGGCGTCTGCTAATTTTCTTTTGATTTTCTCCAATGTGAAAATGTCATGGACATTGGTCATCTGCCCTTAATGAACCAATGCCTCTGGGTTTTTTTATCTTTGCATTTCTTGTGTTTGAACTGTTTGATTCTCTGATCTGTGTTGACGAATCCATCGGTTTTGTTAAGTCCTCCAAGCTAACTACTGTTGTGATTTAGGGCTATAGAAGAATACATTGAATTGAATCACTCAAATTTGTGACTATACCATATTTTTTCATTGTGTTTTTTTTTTTTTTTTAAACATCATTTTTATTGTTGCTTATTACATTTAAAGGCAATGTTGGCAATTGACAGATTGGACTGAGGCAACATTAGTTAATCAATAAATCAATACAAGTCACAAATATATTTCTTGTGTCATTTGCAGATCTTCAGGTGTCCTATAATCTCTGCCTTCTACGGCTGCTTGGAGCTAATGGTTTTAGGATTAATTCAATCATAGTTGACTGCCAGATAAGACTCCAAAACAAACGAAGGAAGGCCTCTGCTGCAGGGCTCTTGCAATTGTAGCGCTCTGTAAACAGTAAAAAAAATGTTTGGTTGAAAGGTTGGAAAACATTTAGTGCCTCACAAGATAAATGTGATTAAGATCTTGGTGCTCAGATCACAAAACACAATATGTTTAATACCTTATCTAATGAGTGTGCTATGTGTATTGTCCGCAAAGAGGGTGGAGTTTACAGCCACGATTTCAGAATAGCCGAGGTGACAGCTTAAAAGTTCAAGCTCCCTGGCACCTGTGATCGGCACTGTCCCAGTTTGTCTCTCCTCCTGTTGGCTCGGAAAAACCTCCCGAGCCACAACAATTCACCATGGCCAGTGTTGTGAGAACTCATTCTAGCCTGGGACTGCTGCTATTGCTTGTTTTGAATAACTGTTCTGCCTTCTAAACAGTCTGGATATAGTCCGTAATCAGAGACACATTGGCTCCTTAATAATCCATCTTGCAATTCTGTCAGGGAAACATTTCATTTTCATTCATAGAAAATACTACACGCACAAAGCAACAACAGATCCAGCCACCTCTGCAGCTGTTATTCAAATTATTAAAGAATGTTTACAATAAAGACAAACACAACAGGGCGGCACGGTGGCTGAGTGGATAGCACTCTCGCCTCTCAGCAAGAAGGTCCTGGGTTCTAATCCCGGTCGGACCAGGGCCTTTCTGAGTGGAGTTTGCATGTTCTCCCCGTGTCTGCGTAGGTTTCCTCCGGGTACTCCGGTTTCCCCTACCACTAAAAATATGTCCAATAGTTCTGGCATGCGCCTCCTGTACTGGCCCCTCTCCCATCTCTGTGTGGAGAGAGAGACAAATGCCCAAAAATAACAATTGTAAACCGCTTTGAGACTCAGATCTGCAGTGAAAAGGCGGTATATAAATAAAAACTTACTTACTTACTTACTAACACAGAGAAGACTACATCCACACAAACAATGTCTACAATGCACAGCTCAGTGTAAACACTGGCCAGAGATTTGATACTGCTGCTGTAGATCAGGATTTTAACCTTTGTTTTTGACACTTTGTTAATTTTGGTGATTAAGATATATTAAATATAATTATTGTTATTGTCAGAAAGCAAGTCAGTGATCTGGTCATTTCATTATTGCCATTATAAAATGTGAAGTAGACACCTGCAATAACAAACAATTGTACATATTATATAATAAACATATAATATAGTACAAGAAAAGTTCACATATGTAAAATGACTGTAGCTTAATGCCACAATATTGAGTCATTTTTTAGATGTATTTAAAATTATTTTACTTTTCAGACAGTGGGAAAAAAAAAATAATCTTGAATCCTTGAATCTTGAGTTAGGAGCAAAGTTATCCCAAGAGAATGGACTCTATTCCCTGAAGAACTCCACACGGCTCTTTTCCAGCTGCAGTGGTGAGATACAGATCTGCTGGATTGAACTGAAGTGTAGATTGAACTGGAATGAATGTAATCCCAGGATAGTTGGTTTATTAAACACCAAAGCTTAGCCATTTGTTCCTTCTGTGTACAAAGAGTTTAAATGGAATTGTCAGTGAAAATCATCAGCGATAATCGGACATATCTAAGTGTTGTTATTAGTTTGGGACACAGCAGATTGTGTACGACGTGATAAGTGCTTTGTGTCTGTAGTGTGCAGTGTGTGTGCAGGACTTTAGTAAGGCATCATGCATGGCACAGTTTCAAGAGCCTCACATGGCTTTGGCACAGCTCACCGACGGGATGTTTGCATAAGCTGCAGAACTGCTCTAAAGCTCAGATTGTCATCTATTTCTGTTGAGAAAGAGTTTGATTCAGATTTGACCTGCACTACTTCATATGCATTATGCAGACAGAGCCGGCTAAAATTCCTTTCCCCATCCCCTTCTCTCTCAATGACTGCATCAGTAAACAGCTTGGACCAGCCCTGAAGCACCTCTTTGTCCCATCATTGTTTACTTTTCTCCACCTCTCTCCTCTCTTGTCTTTGTGCTCCTCCTGCAGGCCCACAAACCCTGCCTTATCCAGCTCCTAACATAACTGTACAGAGACAACATCCATGATCGATGAGCAGCGTCTGATGCAGTCCCCAGCTCTCAGACAAACAAAAGCTCTGCCGCGTGGCTCACTGTGATGCACACCGTCCTCAACCCACAGTTCTAGCATCAGCAAACGTAGCCATGGTGAGAAATTGGTTTTTAAAGCAGTGAAGAAAGGAAAATTGTAACCTATAATAGAGAAGACATCAGCATCCCTGCATGCATCTGAGTATACCCCTCCCCCTCCTCCTGCTCTCTGCCCATAGCAGCACACAGACTAATGCATTTACCTTCTATCCAGTATTTCAGGCACTTCTTCATAGGTGAGTCCAGGCTGCGCTTCTTCTTCCATGAAGGTGACCCCAGCCCCGGGCCTCAGTGCCGACAGCAGGGCCAAGGAGCACAGGAGCAACACAGGTGCAGCCATTGAGACACAGAGAGGAGACTGCCGCTGGTGAGCTACGCTTCATAATCTGCTCCAGAAGCACTGGCTGAGTCTCGGCTCCGGTGAGTGGCAGCTTTGTGGGCCAATCGTACGGGAGCATGGCGGTCCAGCGTGCGTCATCCTTACCCCCCTCCCTCTGTGTCATCTCTCCCACATCCACTCTGCTCCCTCACACACAGCCGCAGGCAAGCCCTAAGTATAGACAGCAATCTTTTTCATTGCGCTACCTATGTTACCTAGGCACAAACTCACAGACAAGCTGCTGCTTTTATGGTTTCTCCAGTGCTCACATAACACTACACGCATACGCACAAGGCTGAGTTCAAGGGAGTTATGCACGCACACACACACATACCTTAGTGGAAAATCACCTGTGAAAGTCAAGGTCAGGTGATGTAGGAGGACTGCTGTAGACGAGACTTTCCATGTCATCTGAAAACACACGGCCATGCCTACGTGACCCAGATCTACAGAGCGCTGCCACAATAGCAGAATTAATTTACTTGATCTATGTGTTGTTGAGAGGGCCTGCAGCTGAGGAAATTGTCCAGTGAAGCTGCAAATATGGATGTCAGGAGCAGCTGAGCGGGCCAGCGATGAGACAGGAGTAAGGGGCTAACCGGATGACCTGAGGGCTGATGCCCCTCTGCTATCCTCATTATACTGCCCCTGTATGCAGGATATGCTGCAGGATTTTTGTCTGCATTTCATTTGTAGATGATATGAATATAATGCAATGAGAATAATAATAGTGGATTATATAACCGAATGTGACCTAGTATCCTGCAAACTCACTCAAATTCACAGTCATGACAGAAGAAGATTAAGATTAAATATAAGGTGTATTCAGATTATATTACCTAACTTGTATTTCTCATAAATAATGATCTTTATGGCAGTAAAAGTAATATGTTCTGAACAAATCAGATCACTTATGTGTACTTGTGAGAGAGCGCACCATGAGTCACCATTTGATGCATTAGTTTTTCTATAGAGCTTTTCGGACAGACCATAGCGAGACCACCAGTATGTGACATCGGTCTCTCCCACCACCATCAGCCATTCACGCACACAGCAGACTCATTCTAGGCAATGTGACAGTTTGTCACTTTACAGCTGCCGCAGCTGCCCAACGATGTTCCCAGAGGTTTCCCATCACAGTACTAACCAGACCCTGCCCAGCTTAGCTTCAGAGCTCTGACTATGGGCTGAAAGCTGATTGATAGTGCGGGCGTTCCCATTTTTCACTCTTCTCCCTGAAAAAGCTGATCCAAAGTATATCACAGGTCTAAATACATGTGGAAATGAGTGACGGAACCATATTTTTTTGAGAGCTAGGAACAAGTTTGACACATTTTGCTTTTGCCGTCCATAATGATGTTCATATTGAGCATGTTTGTAATGTAATCTTTGTGCATCAGTCTACAACAGGGCACCAGGGGTCAGTAAGGTCTTACCTATCTCAATTAAGTGAATCATGCACAATACTATAAAACTAAAGTCATTCCTTAAAACATACACCACTCTATGTTATTGTTTTCAAATAGATACATCTATAGCCGATTGTAATGATCACAAAAATAAAGCTTGATATGACCTTTGTGTCAGTCATGTGCAGAGGATGAAGCAAAGGGGACTGTCACTGCTGTCACGGGCTTAACACGCTCACACATATCCCAGAGACACAGATACACATAACCCAGAGACACAGCTATACACACACATATCCCAGAGACACAGCTATACACACACATATCCCAGAGACACAGATACACATAACCCAGAGACATAGCTATACACACACATATACCAGAGACACAGCTATACACACACATATCCCAGAGACACAGCTATACACACTCATAACCCAGAGACACAGCTACACACACATATCCCAGAGACACAGATACTGTATACACACACATACCTGTACAATGAACACTGAACACTGCTAGCTTTGCCCATCTCATTCATCTGTTAAATATACACTGCCTAAATTGTCTTGTCAATCAAAGTATGATTACTGCCAGACCCAAACTACTTCTGAAACTTATATCATGAAAAAAACCAATATTTAGGATAACATTCACATGAATAATAAATTATACAAAAAACATTTTGAATGCAGAGGCTTGAGTAACAAAATGTTCATGGTATTCGGTTATTTTTGGCAGTTTTCACCAAGACATGTTTGCAGTTATAGAATATTCAGTTGACTAATACAGCATTGTTTGACTAAGGAACCGACCGGTTAATCAACTAAAAGACTAATATTGATAGCCTCATGGACTACGTGTCACTAATCTGTCAGACTGCACAATGAGCACTGCTCACTGTACATGTGTCAGAAATGAAGAAAATGCAAAGCACAATAAGAATCAGAATCAGGATCATTTTTATTGCCACGTAAGTAACAGGAAGTCACAGACTTGGAAATTGCTTTGGCTCAGTGCAACAGTCAGAAAGAGATAATAAAAATAAATCCAACATGGATTCACAAATCACAGGTCACTTTATTATATAAAAAATAATATGTGCCTTATTCTCTAATATTCAAAGCTGTTAATTATTTTATTTACCTTGTTTTGTGAGCTTCTTCTAGTCCTGCTGTTCTGTATTCTGCACATTTGACACATTTCCCAAAAAATGAATCTTGGTTGTTCCATAGGTCAATAGTATTCTCTTGATCCAGTTAATTATTTATATTTTGTTCTACTATTATTATAGTACTATTTGTATTCTTGCTTTTGGCTTGTTTCTAGAGAATATGTGAAGTAATTGTGAGCGGTTAGATAAACTCAGTGATAGGATCATCTCTGTTGTTTTCTCTTGTAATAGCACCGCTTTTAACATAAGCGCCTGCATTAATGGTATATTTATGGTATAATCTTTGTCACGTAAAAACAGATTGTGCCAAGTTTGGTAATAGTCCCACACAAACTACTATAAGGTATAAGAACCAAACCATATGTGATAAATAATTGTTTTATTCACCGTGAATACATATCTTGTTTCCAAAAGTCTTCTAGTTTGAACATAAATCGACACACACACATTATCTCATGCATTCATGTAATCCAGCACTTTGCTCTTGACACACTCATTTATGCATAAATATAATCTGGCAGCACACAGTTACGTCCTTTAGAGCAGGCATAATGATGGATGTATACTATTTCGTTTTTATGCAACTAAATATTTTTTGTATGTAATATACAGCTAACAAAGTACATTTTATCAGCAATGGAATAATATATGTATTAACTATTTTATTCTTCATATAAAACTATATTCATTCATAAAACAGTCTACATGTGTTTTTGGTTTGATAACCAGTAAAAATGTAGTACTGTATCTTTAAGCTCACAAATGCAACCATGTGACACTATGCAAATCGCAAAGCAGAGAGTGGATTGGCTGAAAACGGTGAATGGCCAATTCTCATTATCAACATTCATGTCCCAACCATAGACTGTAACTGCAGCTTCAATCAAAGCCGCTGCTGCAGGAAAGTGCGCCACCAGAGGGCGCTGCTTCCCCTCAGGAATGTCTCACAGACGCATGATGATACATCAGCTTGACTCTTGAGGGGAATGAATTTGAGGATATACATTATAACAGTGTAAGTAAAGGTTTAAAACAATTCAAACTGAAAAAAATATCAAACCAACTTTTGAAAAAAATCTATTGAAACTGAAGTGTAGCACTGGCATTCCCTTTGATCCATGTGTCTAGTACATTCATAGGACATAATTAGATATTCCATGAAAATGGCATGGAAAAAGATGATAGTTCTCAAGGCTCAAGCCGATATGAAGCAAGAACAAACACAGTGCTTTATCATTCAAACCATATGTCGCCACATGGATCATTTGCTGGATTGTTTCACTCCACCTCCAATGTAAACGAAGTCATCTACAGTGTGGTGTGAAAGTTTGGACACCTGGATAAAAAAACCATTTTTTACAATTATTATGAACAGTGAAGCAAAGGGAAGACTAGTCATTTCCAGAAGCGTTATACATCAAATATTTTGATATTGACCATTTTCATTTTAAGTTCTATCCTGGTTTTCTGGTGCAGTAACAACTGCACATCCCACACCTCCCCTGTCTCCACTGGTGTTCCCCAAGGTTCGGTACTCGGCCCTCTCCTCTTAATTATTTACATGCTTCCCCTTGGCCACATCATCCGTCACCGTGGACTCCACTTTCACCCAGGTCTACATCTCCACCAAATCCATTTCCCCAGTCATCTTCTCCACCATCACGGACGTCAAATTCTGGATGAACCACAACTTTCTAAAACTCAATAGCAATAAACAAAACTTCTCATCACCGAACCCAAGTCACTCCTTCCCTCAGCTCAAAACATCTGCCTCAACATTGACAGCCACACAGTCACTCCCTCCCCCTTTGTGCGCAACCTCGGCGTCATTATAACTCCGCCCTGTCATTTAAACCCCACATCAACCTCATCCCCAAAATAAAATGTTTCCATCTCCGCAACATCGCTTGCCTCCTACCCACCCTCTCACAATCTACTGCTAAAATACTGGTTCACGCCTTCATCACCTCCAGACTAGACTACAGCACATCTAACTATAATACATCCAGAACTCTGCCGCCAGCCTGCTCACCCACACCCGCTCCAGAGACCACATCACCCCCGTCCTCAAACAACTCCACTGACTCCCTGTCCCATAACCTGGCCTCTTCTTACCTCACTGACCTCAGATTCACAGACTCCAACCTCCTCTCTCCCCTCAGGACTAAACACCAAACCTTGGGGAACAGAGTCTTTGCCACAGCTGCCCCCACTCTCTGGAACTCACTGTCACAACCCATCAGAAACTCTGACTCACTACAGAACTTTAAATCACTTGTCAAAACCCACCCCTTTCAGCTTTCCTTTTCATAATTTTGTTCTTCATTGTTTATTTTTATGTATAGACAAGTTTGATGTATTATTATGATTAAGTTGGGCAGGCTAAAGAGTAACCTATTCTGTCCCCATTGGCAAGTACCACACCTTTTGTAGACCGCTTTTCTAATGCAATCAGGCGAATGACACCATCAGGTTTATTATGGGCGCATTTTATCTAAGGACGCTTTATAGGGGATTCAAAAAAGTTATTTTCCAGATGTTATGGTTGTTTCTGAACTGTATGTCTTTCCTCTGCTTCACTGTTCACAAAAATAGACATTTGTATCCAGGCTGCCCAAGCCTTTGTGTATTGCATTGCAAGTCACATGGTCAAACCAAACACCAACATCATCCCACTACAATCTGGCAATGACTGCATTTCATTGTATGTTATAAATAACAAACAAGACTTTTTGATTGTCTAGGAACTGAAAAGAGGCACCATACTGTAATAAGTTAAACTTAATATAAACAAAAAAATGTAAAGGTCTCTATAGAAATATAAACTCTAGGTTAAGCGATGCAGTTATAAAACGGCAGTCCTCTGCAGAGATCTGGAATAAATGAGACAGCACAAAAACTGCCTCAGATCAATCTAAAGCATCTCTATAGTCTTTAAAATCCACAGAAAAGAGAAGGCACAGATATGCTGGCCCACTCTGGAGTGGACAACATTGGTTCTGGAGAGTGAGTAAATATGAGTCTCTTACAGGTTGTATAACCTGATCAAGCATAACATTGTCACCATCTGTCTATTATTGGTGCCAATGTGTTATTACTAAATAAAACTATTGAGATTGTTTTGGTAAAGATCATAGACATTATCAACCTTATTGCTGGTGCACCACTCTTCCCTCAATACACCACTACTCCCTCAATGACCACAATGTTATGCTTGATTGATTTAGTCTAAAAGCAGCAGCTCTCTCTGTCTTGGTTTCACCAAGGTAATTATTTCTTGGATATGACTGATCATTCAGTTTCTGTCTTAATGCAGCAATAAGTGGTTATGTCTCTTCTAAAGTCTAATGGGCCTTCCTTTGTGTGGTCCTATTTACTTGAGTTTGTTCTGTTTTGACACGAGAAGTTGTGATGGCTGGAGTAGGTCTCTGGTTCCCTGGTCTTGGCTCTTGTTTTAGTCCATTCTTGTTGCTAGATTGTGGGACTTTGGCAAGGTTTGGGAGTTTTCCATGAACCAGACGAGGGTCGTCTCCGATGTTGACTGTGATGTTGGTGTAGAGGGGCTCCAGCTCTTTTGATAGAAGCTCATATGTCAGAGAGTTGAGACCATCAGCGCGCCAGTTCAGTCGAGTCCTCTTCAGCAGGTCAAATCTGGAAAAGTATGTTTTTAAAAAAAACGTTAAAAGTGGACAAAACATACCCCCTCCCTGCCTGGGAGCCACCTCTAAGTCTAAGGACGGTGGTGATGATCCAGAACATTCAAGGACATCTACATGAAGATAAATAGTTTTTTCTATTTTCAATGCTAACTAGATTGTTTTTGTATTAGTGTTTATTTTTATATCAATATTATTCAAAAAAAAAAGTGTTATACCTTCGTGGATTCTGTTCATTTCCTCTGTCTCCTTTGTGCTTGATCATTTTATAATGACCAATGGCCACTGGAGGGCGCACAATCTTCATACCAGACAGCCGGACTCTGCCAGATAGAAAAGAGTCAATAAAAGGATAGATGCTAAAATAAAATTCTTATTTAATATGTGCAATTCAATATGGGCACTTACAAACACTCTTACACTATAGAGTATAGAAGGTGTCTATATTGTTGTTGTTATGTCCAAATGTTCTTAATATTTAACAAAGAAACCAGTTAAAAGAAAACTTAGCTAAACCCAACAATTCTAATCAACCAAGAAGACAATACTTACTGAGCTCACTTCCAAGAAAAACACAGGAAAGCCACAGCAATGGAATAGTTAAAAAAGGAACAAATGAACAAAGAAATGGCAAACGCAAATGAAAGGCAAACACAAATGAAAAACACACACAAATGGGCATGCAGGTGAGTACAACCAGCATTTCAATGTCCCAACCTGGCAGCTATATCGTCGTCCTCCCCGCCCCATCCCCAGTACAGATTTGGAAAGCCGTTCATTTTCATATACTGGTCTGGAGTGACAGCAGAAACTCCACCAAAATACTGCGGGTATGGTAGCCTGGGAGAAACAATTGCACAAAATTACAATCAAGAACTTGGGTCAATAGATTGCATTCATGTTATAGAATTCTATTTCAGTAGGAGGGAAGATGTTAATACAACAGGCTGTCTATCCACTGGCCAATCATGTGTATGTTTATTCGAATATTGTCTCAACTTCTCAGCCAAGGCACTGATGAGAAATGTATGAGAAAATAATCAGGATTCGTACTGACAAGAATATTGGTAATTTTATGATAGTTTTGGTAACATGTCGATTGGACCATAAATTATAGAAAAAATTAGCTCTAACCTTGTCGGACTTTTGACAGTTAGGACAGATTTTTCACCCACTTTTCAACACAAATTGAAATTATAGGCTCCTTGGAATATTGTGATGTCACCTGAACATAGCTTATTTTATGGACGCAGTGCGGGTACCTGTATCTGAACTTGTCCATAGCCACAGAGAGGTGCGTTGGGAATTGTTTGTGGCAGGTATAAGTGTTGTGGTCGTTTTCTGGAAGTAGATCCACGTCATGCAGAAAAATACAGCTCCAGTCTTCATCTCGGAGTGCTTCTCGAACCCCGACGTTGAGAAGCTTAGCTCGATTAAATGTACTGTTTCCCCACTAGAGAAAGACCAAAAAAGTATTGTGTGGGAAAATATGAAAAGGATTTGGGCTTAATATTAGCGTATTAGATTACCGATTTGAAGAGACCATTTGTCATGTTTTTTCCCCCACTGATCCTATAGAGGCACCAGAGGGCTTGTGTTGCCTCTTGCCATTTTCATGTGGCAGAAGAGACTAACATGACAACATAACTCTGGGATCACTAAGACAAATAGCCAGATAAATCTATGTTTATCTCATTACAAAAGTAACTATGCTTCAATCTAAAAAAATCCTTAACTGTGTTTCCAGCATCATTCACGTAGAAAACAGACAGACTATACCTAAAATTAAAAACAGAAATTGACAAAAAATAGGGTAAAAAGTGATTGTGGCCATATGCTTTCATGCTGAGCAGTTTACAGCTCAAATTCTACCTTTACTGGATTAAACATGATCCTCAAGTTGAGATATAAGAGTGATTTCAGGTTAACTGGTGTCCAAGATGCTGCAGCAGGGTGTTTGAGCACGGGCCTGTGTGAATACGGCTTTACGGAGAAACTGACCATCGTCCATAGAATCGGAATCACAACAAATTTGTAAGAACATTCATTGTCCAGCGTTCTCACCTGCTGGACGATATAAATGCTGTAGTGGATCTGCTGCCTCTGGAGAAAGGGGTGCAGGTGGTAGAGAAGCGCCCTGAGATGAGTTTGTCTGTTTCTATACGGCACCACGATCGCCGTGTGGTGCCGCGGTTCACAGTCTGGAGGTCTGTACCGGCCCCCAGGCTGCACCAGTGGGTTCCTCTGGCGGATCTCCTCCATAGACAGGGACGAAGACAGGTGCACCGAGACAGGACCAACTGCACACAATACAGGCCAAAAAGAGTCTAAATAACCCAGAGTCTAAATGATCCAGGGCAGTTGATTAAAAGTATTAAAATTAAAGACAATTTAGGGTATTATTCTATCATCTGTGGCCAAGGGTAGTAGTAGTAGTTTATTTGAGCAGTTTACCATGTATTTGTACAGGTACATATAATTAAAAGAACAAAGCGCAAAAGGAGAAGGCCGAAGCAAGAAGCTTATATGAGCTTTCTCCATTTTCAATACTACATTTAAGAGACTGAAAACAGGGACGCACAAGGATTAAGCCTGATGCATTATTATTAAGATTCCTTCTAAATATATTTTTGTAATTGTTGTCACACGGGATACTCTAAATATTGCTATTAATTATGCATGAACCTTCCACTTACTTAAGAATGTTTTCTTTTTTGCTAGTGTCCTCAAAAATGAAAATTATCCTGTCTTCTCCAGGATAATTATTGGTATATTTTGTATCCCTTTTTACTGCTCGTTAGTGTGCCGGCAGCATAGAATACTTTCAATATCTGATTGAACCCTAACACTATGACACTATAATAGAATGTAATAATAGATAGGGATTATTGTTTAAGGATGTAACCTCTGTCACTTGCCTAGCAGCGGTGAGGGGATCTGGCAGTCTTTCAGTAAGGGCGCTGTTGGCGGTGGTCCCGTTCCGACATTGCGTGGTGGCAGGTGTGGCGCTCCTAAATGGCTCAAGTTGGTGTAGACGTCATGTGGTCTGGAGTAGTCGAACTCTGGCTCTGTGGTGTGGACCAGCACGGACACCAGCCCCTTGAATCCTCCAAGAGAAAAGTACAAGACAAAGGCAAACTGGAACCCGATCAGCAGTGCCAGTGTACAGGGGGAGTCCAGGGAGCGACCACAACACGCCATCGTCTCAAGATGCAGGTGCAGGAGCGGAAAAGGGGGAGGCAGAAGGAGAGAGGGCGAGGAAGGTGTAGGGGGAGCCAGAGGGGGAGGAGCAGGGACCAGGCCGGAGCTCAGGTGTGTAGCCGGTCCATCTGTAGTGATCTGTGGGCGCTGAATGTTGGCTGTGGTCGCGCTGCCATCACTTCATGACACTGAAGAGAAGAAATATGGACATGTTAAAAGAACAGAGATAACAAAGGGTTGATTGATCAATGTGGGATATTTTTAATGGACAGGCATTTCATTTGTATTCCTTTATCAATCGTGCAGATCTATACATAAACAATGGCCATGATTCACTGTGTAAATATCTACAGTGATGTTCTCAGGCAGAGAAAAGCAGAATGAGTCTCGGATTCAGGTTGCCAGTTACTTTGGTGAAATCCAGTATGTGATAGACACTCAGCCTGAGCAGCAGCTACTTGTGTCCTCTATCTGCATGGAAATATACTGGCACATTCTACTTACGTCCCAGAAAAGGGTCATGTGTGTGCTTTGTTTCTGTAGTGTTTGTAGGCCTACCTGGTCTGCCCTCAACACCAGACTGGGTCAATAGAGGTTCTCTCGTATCTCCTTTCTGCTTTCATTGCACTTCCTTCTGAGAGAAAGACAAAATACTGTGTCATTGCTGGCAAAATAGACCAGAACAGAATGACAGGCAGCTGGAATACTGAACTACGACTTTAGAAGGTGTTAGCTTCTTAATAAAAACAATACCAATTCAAGAAACGGAGAAGGAACCTTCCACGTTAATTATCAAATGCATTCTATTGACCTAAGCGAGATGTTAATATATGGACCCAACGCGCTGAAACAGCGCCACCAGTGACATCCATCCGTTTATATGATTAGCCCATCAAAGCTGTCAGGCCTGGGGAATTACTCTGCGTCTCTCCCGTCAGCATTGTGCATCACACACACACACACTCACATTTAGCCTGGATTTGTTTACTGGACACTTGTGCATCTTAAGCTGAAGGTTGACATGTTATGGTGCATGCTCTGCGGGCACTCACCAGTGCGTCCCTGCGACATATCAAATCCAGCCCGCGGCTCCTCACGCATCTGCAGGCCGCTGATGAAGATGTGCTGCAGATACCGATAACGTCAATAAATGGAGCTTCCAATGTGCACAACCTGCTACAAAGAGCGAAGAGCCGAGGCGCACGGTATCTGCTTATTTCAGCGCTGCCTGCGCCCCCTCCTCACGCTCAGATACAGGACGCCCCCTCCTCCTCTGGAACACTGTCTGCGGCGGAGAGGAGGGGGTCATGTGGTGCGTGACTCTGCGTGACGCACGCAGCGCCATGTTTGAAAAGAGAGAGGAGAGAAACAAAAGCATTATCTAATCTACTAAAGCACCTGTAACTATCTACTGCAGGGAATCAAAGCCGTTTGCACAGCTCAGGTTGTAGGTCTCGGTCATAGAGGATTCAAGAACAACCTATTGAGTTTCTGTGGAGTTCCTGGGACATCATCACGCTGACAGGACACTATAAACATTATAATACTATGAATACAGATGATTTATATATACATCTTTATTTTCCACATTCATGAAGTACATCAATATGCAAACTGTGTCAAAGCAGCTAAAATTGCTTAAAAATGCATTTATTCACATGCTGCAGCAGAGCTTTAGGAGCTGACCCAAGGGCCTATCGTGGTGCCCAAACACCAAAGCAGATGAAGCAAAGGGCAGGACTGTGCAAAACAATGCAGAAAAACAGAATTGTTAAATTGTTAACCAAGTGCTTGTGGGGCATTGTTGGTAAAAGGCACTATTCAGCATTTAGACATCTACTGTCAAATACTTAACGTGTATATATAAAATACTTTGTGGTATTACTTTTACAAGTCACAAAATGTGGCCTCACAGTACAAGTAGGAAAACAAACATGCAAATAATGATATAATGTGTAACATATCAGCCTAACTGTCTATAGAGCACCTTAAGAAAGAGACATCATCAGTAATAATCATACTTAGAAAAGCATTAGATGTTGACAAAAATGATCTACTGCAACAGTTTTTATAGCATGAAGACATTCAAAGGCAGTTTGTTTGCGAAAATATACTATGTGGAATAAAGTGTTGTAAGCTCTGTTTCCCATTCATTTCAAGTTCATGTTTATTCAGTCAATAAACACAATAAAAACTATAAGTCTAATAATAAAATTATCTCCTCAATGTCCCTACTCTTCACTTTTTGTAGTTGCCAAACTGAATTGCAAGTCGGTCACTGACGCAGCGAAAAGTGGCAGGTTGGACCTCCCAGTAATTGACTGGATTTCCAAACAAACTGATGCCATTATAGAACGTCCTCTTCATCCCAAATCCTCTGGGGCAGAAGTCGTCCACTCCCACCTGGTCAATGTGATTTGTGTGAAGATACACCACCTGCAAGTCAAAGAACCATTTACAATGTGCTTGATTTGAGCAGGTGAAGTAAAGACAGCAGCGCTCAGGCACCTGTAAGTATTTCATGTCTGGGAGACCTCGTGGCACTCGATTCAGGCGGTTGTTGTCCAGGTGCAGCTCTCGAAGCAAAGTTAGAAAAGAGAGACTTCCCTTTTCTATGTTCCTGATGTGGTTAGAGCCCAGTCCAAGCCTAGAAATGAATATTTATAAAGCAAATGTTACTTCAAAATACAACAAAACACAATTACAATATAAATCTTAAGTCAAACTTAAAGTCAGTGAAAAGAGTATTTAGCATATGAATCACATTTATAGACAGATGGTTTAATATATTTTAGCCTCCTTTGTCTTTTGGCGAACAATTCATCCAATGCAGTAATTTTCTAAATCTGCTCTGGATGTAACCTCACCTGTAGAGGTTTTTGTAGCGTTTGAGATCCTCCAGCTCCACGGCCTGGATCTGGTTATGGTCCAAGTGAAGTTCTGTGAGGCTCTCTGGAAGATCTGAACAAACACTCTTTCATTAAGCTATATGTATTGGTATTTGACATTAGAAAAATCATTCTTTATTTTACCTTTTGGTACACCTGTCAACTTGGCCTCAGAAATGCGTAAATAATTTAGTTTGAGTCCTTTGAAGGCTCCCGGCTCAAAGCCACTGTTGTGAATTGGGTTGGCTCCCATTTCTGAAAGATAAATGAACATGTGCTCTGTGTGACCTAAGCAGTCCCTTTAATTTACCAGTGCAGCGGCTTCAGTACAAAGTCATAAATAGACTGATGTAAAATCTGACCAATGCAGTTCATGTGGATGAGTCCTGAGAAGGCTCCAGCTTCCACTTTCTTGATGCGGTTCTCGTGGATCCTGAGCTCAACCAGAGATGCTGGCAAATTCTTGGGGATGGTGGTCAACAGATTCTTGGAGAAGTACAGCTTTTGCATCTGCTTCAATGGCACAAAAGTCCTTGGATGCACTTTGGAAATCTGATTATTCCTCAGAGACAAACCCTAGAAAAGAGCACATGTATGATTAGGCCTCAGGGACAGGGCTTCTCTGAGCTGTATTACAAGAACTCACTTCACATTCTCAATGTGCATGTCAGCTTCTAGTGTTGGTGCATCCCTGATGTGAACAGCACCCTCTACTGTTAGCTGTGATATATATTTCCAAGCACTGTTCTCTCTCTCTCTCTCTCTCTCTCTCTCTCTCTCTCTCTCTCTCTCTCTCTCTCTCTCTCTCTCTCTCTCTCTCTCTCTCTCTCTCTCCCTCTCTCTCTCTCTCTCTCTCTCTCTCTCTCTCTCTCTCTCTCTCTCTCTCTCTCTCTCTCTCTCTCTTCTCTCTCTCTTTTGCAGGTGGCCACATGGCACTACCACGCCTCCTCATCAGATGGGTTCATTTCAGCTCCCAGTCTCTCCCTGCTCGCCTGCAGCCTGGTGGACCTGTTGCGGCGTGCTCCTGCCTGGTTTTGGTTCTGTTTTTCACAGATAGATTTATAGATTATAAATAATGAATGCATGTTTTAACTTTTAACCACTGGTCTCGCTTCCCTTGCAGCCAAGAACCATCAGACACATGTATGAAGATCGCACATGATCACCCTTGATCAATAATTTGATTTCCCAAAAAATGCATCCACATCAGGGATAAGTGTGGTTCCCAGGAGCTATAGGTTCATCTCACATCTGTTAGAAATTTAAATGTATACTAAGTAATGATGTTGACAATTCTGTATGGTCACTAATACAATGTGTGGTAATTAATATAATACATCTGACTGATGAGTAAAAATCACTTTTTTTTTAAATCACAGCAAGAGAGCTGAGAACTTTTTCCAAACAGAATTTCACACAAGTCTGTTTGTGTGCCTTGAAATAAAGCAGAGTCCGGCTGTCAATGACTGCCAGGACTGTGGGTGACAGACAGCAGAAGTAAACAGCACTAATACTATAACTGTCACTAGAATGAGCTGTGTGAGCGTCCAACACCTCCAAACTCTGGGCTGCTTTTGGTCACTAAATTGTAAAATACACACCTCCATTGGACATCTTACAAAACAGGCAATATAAATATATCATTCCTACCATCAAAATGCGTGGTGCATTTCCCTAAGTACTTGAAAATAAAGCTGTGCTGGACACTCTGGGCATATATATATATTGCCCTCTGCATTTGGCCCATCCTTCTAATACCACTAAAGCTAAGCTTCTGCCAGGACAGGTGGGCACTAGAGATCCAGATGTTGATGGTGCATGTTTTGAGTGGTGGGGGAAACTGGAGCGCCAAGAGGAAGCCCACCAAAAAAACTTAATGTTCACATGATCACTTGCCACAAAGCATAATAGATCTTCCTCTTAAGATTGGTTTATCTCCTGCTAAGGTCAATAATTATTGACAACGTTTTGGTTTTGACCATTTTTGACCTAATGACAATCAAGACTAGGCCAATGCACATCACATGTACAAATCAAAAAGAGTGAAGCAATCAAACTGCTTTGCAAAGCATGTCTTCTGAATGGACCTGCTCTGTACTCTAGGCCTGCTGAGTACATGTTATCTCCTCTTGAAATATCCTGTAGAGAAAGCCCAGACGGGCGTGTGTCTTACATATAAGTGCGTGAGGCCTTTGAAGTCGTCTTCTTTGAGCTCTCTTATTCGGTTATTTTGCAGATCCAGGAACTTTGTGTCTGGGGGGATATTCTTAGGAACTTCACTCAGCCCTATAAAGACAATGAAAAACAAATGGGAAACATTTAATCGCATCGGTGGCTTTCGGTAAACGTACTCCCTGAACCACAGTGCTAAAGACAATCAGCCAGATGGAGACTTAGAAAAATAAATAGTGGCTGTGAGGTTGGAACCACTCACATTATCTGATCAAATCACTAGTTAGAACCACATTGTGTATTATTTTTGGTTCACACTCAGACCTGGAGGTCATACACTGGACAAATAGTACAGTGAGCCTTAACTTCTGCAGATGGAAACACAACCTGATTTTTGAAAGTCACCTTTTTATCCTAAAAGTGACTCAGAACTAAATGTATGTGACTTATATCTGCACAATGTTTAGGTGTATTACAATTCTTCTTTCTGATACTTTTTAAAGACAATGTGATGATATGAGTAGTCAAGCCATCATCAGTATGATCAGTAATAAAAGTAAGTAAAACACAAATTAAGTTGATGTCGACTTTACCCTTTGTTAAAAGTGTACTTCCTGTGTTGTTATGAACTCAATATTCAACTTTTTTAATATCATTCAAACATCAAACATCTAATTATTTAATCTCACATACAGTAGAATTTTTATAATAAGATAAGAGATCGTCCCACAGTGGGGAAATGTTGATGTTGCAGCGAATATACAGGACAGTAGAGCACACAAAATAATCAATACCAGTCTTCCAAAAATATGTATATATTATACATATATATACAGTACAGACCAAAAGTTTGGAAACACTTTCTCATTCAATGAGTGTCCTTTCTTTTCATGACTATTGACAGTAGATTCACACCCAGGCTGTGTAAGGGCTATTTGTCCAATAAGGAGAGTGATGGGTGCTGGGCCAGATGACCCGGCCTCCACAGTCACCGGACCTGAACCCAATCAAGATGGTTTTGGACCTGAACCCAATCCAGATGGTTTTGGGGCTGGACCACAGAGTGAAGGTGAAAGGGCCAACAAGTGCTCAGCATCTGTGGGAACTCAGACCATTTCAGGTCACTACCTCTTGAAGCTCATCAAGAGAATGCCAAGAGTGTGTGAAGCAGTAATCAGAGCAAAAAGTGCTACTTTGAAGAACCTAGAATATAAGACATATTTTCAGTTGTTTCATACTTTTTATTTTTTAGTATGTACATAATTTCACATGGGTGAATTCATAGTTTTTATGCCTTCAGTGTGAATCTACAATTTTTATAATCATGAAAATATACTGTATATGTTTGTGTGTATATGTGTAGTGCAGAGTTATATACTGTACATATAGAGCAAGTAGATACAATAAAGTGACATTGTAATCTGACATATTTACATATTTCATGAAGACATTTACACCGTCAGTTATAGTTACCTTGTTTGTTTGTTTGTGACTGAATCACTTGAATAATCGTATCCAGGCATCAATGCAGCATCTATATATCTAACTATCCATCTATCAGTCATTGTTTCATTGTTTATATGTAAGCAGAATAGAGCTGTAAAGTAATCATATAGTGTCCTACTTTCTGAATGTGGCACTGACTCTGAAACTAAAATATGAGGCAACTGAAACTAAAATCTCAAAATAACAGAGGATTACTTTTTATTCCGCTCACAAAATGCACCTGTTCCTGTCAGTGGTGTGTGTAGTTACTGGAAGCATTAGGGTCAGGAGATCTGAAGAGTGACTGCCCTGCCACATCACAGAGCCACGTGGAACTCTATCAGATGTGGTGAGCTGGTGCAGACAGACTCAGCCCTGGACCAACCTCAGACCGGACCAGGACCATGATGCAACAGGGCCGGAAGAGTCAGAGTGCCAGCTGTCCCACTGGGATCCACGGCACCACTAACCACACTGAAGTCCTGCGCTGAGGTCCATGTGTGCACTTCACTTTAAATATACGGCTTTAGCTGCAGCAGACACACCCTCTCTGTCACCGCAAGATGACGTCTAATGTCAGAAGCTAAGCAGGGTTGGGTCTGGTTAGCACTTGGATGGTGGACTAACATCTCATCTTGCCTGGAACGAAGTTGAATGAGGTTCTCAGTCTCTCCCATTCATTGGTTTTTGACAAGGTTTTTCTTACATTAGTTTTAATTACATTTTGCAAATTCTAATATTTTGTTTTTATAAACATTATTATCTTAGATAGTATATACAGTAGATAGAAACTTCCAACTACCTTTATACTGTTTAATAAAAACACTTTTAAAACCATAATAAATTCACACATTTGAGGAATAAGTTCAGCATTTTTGAAAAAACAGGTACCATACTTTTTTCTATGAGATGTTAAATGACAGAGCAGAATGCAAAATGTCAAATGAATGCACAAGAGGTGTCCTTCTGTGATAGGCCTTGAAAGGTTAAACCCTAAACCACAATTTCAGTTTCACTTCATCCGTATCTACCACAAATCTCCCAACTGTTAACCACCAAACTGAGAAAAGTATCACTTAGTTTAAACCCAGCGCCCCTGAGCACAAATGCCCCATATCATGTGGGGATGCACGCAGAGAGAGGAGACAGACGCCACCACCAAAATACATGTGTTCCAAATAAGCACTTGACATGTAGGCAAATTATACGCTTCTACATTTACCCCACTGCAGAGACCAGAGAGACAGTAAGTATATAGAGATGGCAAAATGGTGATTCAACAAAACCATTATATGCAAACATAGGCGGGCGTATTAGTCAAGAGGTTGTGTATGGTTTTATATAGAATCCTCTTCAATGGAGCAAGAGAGCATTTAGTTATACGTCTTCTGAGGGGAAACAATAGTACATTTGCTGGTATTAGATATGGTGAATATGTTTTACCAATCAAATCTGGAGCACCTAACTTTGAAACCACAAAAATCTCCCTATAACTAAGTTCCTTCCATAGTTTTCGCATGCACATATTTTTGGCCTTTTTCACAACTTTAGATCAGCTTTTTTTGCGCAGCCAATAAGCTCTCACTCAGTATGTAAAAGACGACATGTTATAGGGAAGCGGAGGAGAGCATGTGGTCTGATCTGCTCACAAAATGTTATTAACAAACAATTATATTCATGAAACCAAAATAAAATTAGGCACTCCAGGTTTAAATGTGCATGCCTTAAAATCTTGCTATAAGAATTTGCCTGTTCTCTGTTTCTCTGGTATTTTGTGCTTTCTTTCATAATTCATCTCAGAGACACTAAATCCCTCAAAGATTATTGCCTTTGTCCAAATACACGGTAACCCTCCCACAAAGAACCACTTGGATATGAAATAATATCTCATGTTAGTTTGACTTTGTTCACTTAAACAAACAGGACTGACCCAGGTCTGAGCACTGGACGACCTTGAGGCGGCAGTGACAGCCAAAGGGGCACATGGAGGGGCCAGGAGCGGGGGTCTCCTCTACAGCAGAGCCTTCCTCTTCATCCCTCATCATCATCGTTATGTCGCTGCTGTCAAAACTGTCCAGTGCAAAGTCCCAGAATCCTCTCTGCTCAAAGGGCAATGCGGGCATCAGATGAGGCAGGAGAGAAGCACAGAGGAGCAGGAGGAAGGAGCTGTGTAGAGACATCTTCAACCACCTGCAAAGAAAACACACACGGTTTACAACAAACGTTAACAATTAATTTACTATTTGGTGCATTTGTTCACAACTGCCAAGCTAAAACCTGTGTCAATAGATGTAGCCCCAGTTGGAGTCACAAAGATCCAGGACACTCAGCATTCAACAACATTCATAGACATTAGCCAACATTTATGAACATGTGTCATCATTTATGGTAATTGATTATGATTTATTTTTATTTTTGTGTGATGTCTTTCTTATCTGGACCTCGTGTCTGTCATAAAAGTTTAATAATATATAGTCATCTGCCCCTTATTGACCAATGGCTCTATGTGTTTTTATTGTTGCTTTTCTTGTGCTGAACTGTTGATTCTCTGATCTGTGTTTGCAAATTCAACGGCTTTGTCAACACCTCCAAGATAACTACTGCTGTGATTTAGGGCTATACAAAAATAAATTGAATTGAATTATTATGGAATAGATTTTAATCTCTTTCATGACTGGAGAAAATCACCTTGACTGTAGCAAAATGTGCTGGTGTTGGACTGCTGCTTGAATTGCTGTGACTTATGTAACGTTATCCCACAGGTTTAGTCTGTAGTGTCCACTGTATCTAATTGAAGCTGCTGATGACAGAGTAACAGTGAGTGCAGGTGGCAATAATGGCCAAACAGAAAAGCTTCTGTGAGCACCCACTCGGATTATCCAGTCTGAGCCAATAGGGAAAGCTTCAGTATTTACAGTAATGAGAAGTGATGAATAAAAGTGGGCATCACTTAGTCCATGATGAAATGGTCTGGACATGTGTAAATATAAAGCCCTACTGTTTGCACCACACCTAAAACTCTATCCTTAAGTGACACATGTTCCAGGAAATGGAGTCTGCGTCGGACTTGGCTTTAAATAAACAGTGTCATTAAAACCGCTGGGAATGTCACCACTGGGTCCTTCAAGTTCACACTGAGATTAATGAAGTACGGAAAATTCTAGTTTAAAATGATACACTATCGACCAAACCGTTGAATTGACCAAAAACAGCAAGCCTTTATTCTGTGAACATACAGCTGAAAATAGTTTTAGAATAAAATTATTTTGTTGCTGTAGTCGCCCAAATTTGAAGTTAGTCTTTTTGATCCAAATTATGAGGCATTAATAAAACACTAAAACGTGAACCTTAATCTCAACACTTATATCATAGTCAGTATGTTTTTAATTGTGAAGCGCTTTGTGATCCTGGTCTGTGAAAGGTGTTATTAATACACTTTACTTACTTACTTAGTAAGTGATTTAGTTAACTGTATTCAGACCCTTAATCTGTACCATTTAAAACAGACCAAAATCAGTTTTTGGATCCTCCCCCGCTTCTTCTTTTATCCAACCAGTGGTCGTATTCTCAAACACGTGAATGTGTTTTCTTGTGCTATTAAAAATGCAGTCAGGATACAATTTAAACAAAGTAACAATATTAAGTCTGCTTTTGACCACGTACAAACAAGCTGTACCAATTAATCTCTTCTGAATGTGTATAATGTCTTTGGTCGACCTCTTGTTTCCCTCTCATCTTTTTGGGTCAGGGTTGTGACCTGGGTCCGGCTCAACACTAAATAGACTCTTTTCCCTAGTTACATAGCAGACAGGGCTGAAGCAATGTGACAAACTATATGAGAAATAAAAGTAACATTTTCTTTTCCCAGGAGTCCACTGGGCAACCCATGAGGAAGTAAAGAAGACTCATCAGTTGAGCAGTGGAACAACCGTAATTCTGCAGCCAGCTTCCATGCACACAATGCCACCATTCATTCAGGGTGCGCAAGTGCAAATCCAAATACATTGGTGTGACTAAGCGTGCCGTAAAACTCCATGACGTCATCCGTATACGCAGCTAATTGGGGTCACAGACACAGTAGCACGCTGTAACTGTAGTACTGCCTTAAAACCATTTCCTTGGAGAAAAAAAAACTAATTATTGCCAGGCCAATTCATCCTTTACGACGAGAAGGTTGACCTCAGGCTAATGCAGTGGAAGGGGATAAACAGCATTTTGCAATAGACTGACCTAAAACCTGATTATTTCCAGCCCAGGAGTGATGATTTAAGATTTTGCCCTGTATCCCAGAGGATGCAAAAAGATTATGTTTTTTAGTTTTATTTTTGACGTATTTTCATCAATACAATATAATCAAGACAAACCAGATGGAAAAAACTACTATTTCCCATACATCAAATAAGAACATAATGCAGTGTTGACCTGGTCAGAAAGTACAGAAAACAGGCCTTTCAGTTTGTTTCTCTGCAACAAAAATAGCTGCAAATTACACCATTTTGTTCCTTCTGCTGCAATATAAAAATCAGGACATAGTCTGTGTGAGGAATGCACTGGGACTGCCACACAATGTCCACAACGCACTCAGATGTGTACGCATAGTATCTGCATCTGTTAAACTGAGTGCAGAGGCCAGGGGTTCCCAAACTATTCAGACAAGGATACATACTTTTTGTCCTCATAAACAAATGATCCTTTACATATAGAGATCAAATGACAAGAACATAAAACCAGGACGTTTCTGTATCTAAATCAGGATAACACCCAGCCCATATTTCTAGTGTTATAAACTTTGGAGAGAGGAATCCTTGTACCACCAGAAAGATACTGATTTCCAACTAGGGTTACGTCTACCACACTAATAATGAATTTAAAAGTACCACCTGAGAAAAATATTTGACTTTCCACATCAGAACTTTCAGTCTGTCCTCTTCAATGAACAAACCCAAAAACTGCAAAATAATTTTAATATCACCATTCTTCAACATCACCACACCACAGTTTGGTTTGTCCTGAGAGAATCGTTTTCAAGATAAGATAAGATAAACCTTTATTAGTCTCACAGTGGAGAAATTTCAGTGTCATCGTTGCACATTACAGCAGAGAAAGGAAATAAGAGCACTCAGATTGCACACATCAAAGTCTATTATTTAAGATAATAGACAGATTGAAGACATCACAACATCTAATAAGTCTATAGTAATGCATGTGTCCTTGTGACTATTAAGCTTAAAAGTTGAGATATGACGATAAGAAGAGGGATGTTGCTTCACTGCCCCTGATGGAAGGTCAGGGAGCACCGTCTGGAAAGCACTCTTGAGTGTTTGAGTTTCCCACGCAGGCTGTCAGTACCTTCACGTTTCTATATGAGCTCTCCATCAAGTGAGTGTCCACCAGCCACTTATCCTCCGCAATTACTGATACCGACTCAGTTCCCACAGTCACCGAGTCACAGAGTGCGCCTGAACAAATGTATGTAAACTATATGTCCACCACCGCTGCTGAGCTATAATCATAGACACAAAGCAAACAATTCAGCCTCAACCACAGTCGAGAGCAAGGCAATCACTTCACACATTTTTATTCCCTCTCAAAGCATTCATTTTTCAGGACTCGGTTATATTTGAAGGGATGTGAAGTTAGATGGGTTGGTTATTGTGCCTATGCCGTTTAAAAACAAATGGCGTTGGATGAAGAGGACAAGAATTTCTGTTTATTGGAACTTGTAAAATGTTTGGTATTTTAGTGAAAGTTGTACAATGTGGGCATAAACATACAATTTTGTTTTGTTCTTTCTATAGTTTTTATGGGAGCAAAGAATGCTCATGGGGTTCACCATAAGTGCTGGACGATGGATTGGCAATGGCCACGTCAACACAGTTCGCTAGTTCTGTAATAAGGAAAAGTGCTGACTAAGGATATTTATTCTTTGACCTGACTCTGAAAGGAGTAGTGTAGGCTGAGTAGTGTAGGCTGTACAGACATTTTTATCTCATTTGTAAGCTTCTTGTCTACTTGGTACAAGCTGTAGGATTTGAGCAATTGAAGGATATGATTAATATTCTAATCAAGATATTCAATACGTTTATGTTGTTGTCCATTCTCTTGATTGGCAGGAATTGACAAGTCGATTTTAAAGGTAATTCTAAAACATCAGGTGTATCCAAGCTGGGGCATCTCACTTTATTCCCATAGATAATGCATGTTGAAAAGAAAGGAAAGGAACATTTTGTGAACAAATCAGACCACATGTCGCTGTCTTCATTTTATTAGAAACGTGTATCACTGTGAGTCACTATTTGACAATGTGGGCTGAGAGGTGATTCTCTTTTTCATTTTTGTTTGTCTTAAAAAGCTAATCTAAAGATGTGAGAGAGGCCAAACAGAAAGGAACACTTGAACTACAGCACATGGTGGTTTGAAAAGTTGGTGCCTCAGCTTTAATGGAAGATAAATAAATGTGAAGATCTGATATTGAAGCAGGCGGTGTCCAGGTCACTAAAGTTACACAGTGAAGCTTTAGTGCAGTTTCTTTTCTCGTCGATTAGTCATTGTTGCCATAAGTAATTATTAAAGATCCCCACCCTCAAACCAGGCTCATAGATGCAACACAGACCCAGCAGCAGCAGCAGCAGCTCCTGGGTGGAGTGAGTTGGCCCTGCGGCTACAATTTGGTGAGTGCGTGTGCCCTAAAAAAGGAACCGTTTGGCAGCTCCACTGTTGCCGGCGTGCTTGGATGTGGTCAGGAGTCTCTGCACAGGCAAAAGACCAGAAGACTGAGAAACAACAAAAAGTCCAGTCAACGCGGATATATGACCTGTGCTGTGGCCAGAGGAGTGGCGCTAAGTATGTACCAGGGCTGAGTGGGCTACAATAGCTGTCTGTAAACAAAGGCAACTTGTTGAAAACCAAAATGACAGATTCTGCATATTTTAAGCAACAATGACAAAGTGTATAAAGTAGGCCTATACAAGCACAAAGAAGGGGTCAATGCAAACCACTGAACTGAGGCTGGTACAAGGTGCAGGGAGGAAAAAATGCTCAGAGGAAAGATGATACAGACACACTCCTTCAGGCCTGGTTTAGTGGCTTCCACCTGCATGCAGTCTTGTAGGGTTCAACATTAGTGATTATTTAAATTATGCAGTACAGTCCCTCATTTGTAATTCAATCGTACTTCAGATATCAAAGTTATTGTAAATAGATTTTATTTTTTTTATTTTAAATAGATTTTATTATTGTTCGTTTATTTAAAGCTTGGCGATATCACTCAGGGTTTTTTTTGAATTGAACTCACTCTGTTCAAGTAAGCCTCACTTTTGACATTTTGACGTGTAGAGTCTTAAATTAGACAGGTGCGAAATGGGGCAAAGCAGCATGGTAGCTGAGTGGGTAGCACCTTCACCTCTCAACTTCAAGATTGTGAGTTCGACTGCTGTTCGGAGCAAAATTTAAACTTTATTGCAATCGCTCGAGTTACTCTGTAATATCAAGTAAAGTATGTACTCGAGTAATTCAAGTGAAGTTAATATGCAATTTATTTCCAAGGTTTTTTTAAGTAAACTTTACTTTTTTAGTAAAGTTTAAACAGTGAGTTGGATGTTATAGTTTAATGGGTGATCTCTACCGGGGTCTTCAATATTAGTCCCTTGTCATGTAGATTTTTATAATACCAGTTTGACTGTACAAAAGTCAAATTGATATTTTAAAAAGCAATACATCTAGCTTAGGATGCTGTTAACCCCAATGTTTAGTTTGGACAATAAAGTGCATTATTTTATGTGGTGGAGGTTTTACAGATACTAACTTTGTTGTGGTCTGTGCCACATTCCTTTGAAGTGTTGGGCGACATCGAGTGGAATAGTCTGTTATAGCACACTAGGGTCAAGAGAATTAATATGTTTAAAAAAGACAAAGAATTAAGTTGTTCTGAACTCGAGAAAAAAAGTTAAAGTCAAGGAAGATTTTCAAAATCTCAACTTTATCAGGTAATGGAACAGTTAAAGCTGGGGTACCTAACATCCAAAATGGACTGATGCAACCTAATTAAATCCATCTAACTAGTTCCACACTCTCAACAGTGATGTACATGTCATGTGTTATTCATGAAAAAGGTATTCCTGCCTTAATGAAATTAAATGTTAAATCCCTTACCTTTTAAAATCAATCAGCAGACCACAGTCAGAAGACAATAGTCCCTATGGGCATAGAAGCGTCTTGATGCGTGCGTAAATCACATTGGAGGACAACCGCAGTGCGTCCTGGGTCCCTGTCCGTGTCAACAACCGCCTCCTCCGCGGACTATGCACCTCTCGCCCGCAGCTCAACCCCGCTCCTGTGTCTGGGTCTCAGTCTCTGGTCCAATCCGAGGAAGTGACCGTGTGGCGGGTCGTGCCCAGAAAGTGAACAAGCCGCCTTCTTTTCTCCCTTTCTCCCCTTTTGGGATGGAGCAGACGAGAGGAGGAGGGCTGGCGCACGATGGAACCAGGTCAAGTGTGATTCTCACTTTCAGAAAAGTCAAACACGTGCGGCTATGGCTATTTTTTACTAATTAACGCTCAACTACAAAACATCATAGAGAATACTCTTGGCCATGCTTCCCATGACCAAGGCTATTGTTAAAACTGGGCTGGGTTAGGTACCGCAGTTCTAAATACTGATCTCAACATATTTGGGATTGGTCAGTGTAAAGACCATAGAATAAAACAACAATCAGATGATAGTTTTACCTTTCAAAACACTCATGTTTGTTTTGCTTGTTTTGTTTTTGTAGAATGTTCCTATTGTAGCCTGGTCATGTTTTTTTTTAATTGTATGTTGTATGTTGTATAATTGGCCCTATAGTTTTCAATGTACAGTAAATGTGGACACTTGGAAGCATTATATCTCTTATATGATAATTATTAATTCCCTGTAGCACAAAAGCTCCGTTAATGTCTGTTTTTAAAATGTGCTATATAAATAAACTTGACCTTGACCTTGACCTTGAATAGAGGCCTGAATATATAATTGCATATGTTTTTTTTGTGCATTCAGAGATTATAATCTGTGACATATGTGCTTGTTGTGACATCAGCTTTCGAGTGTGTACCCTTACGGTTCTATTTCATTTTGGTTGCTGGCAGAATGAAATGTTCCTTCTCTCTGACTCTCTGATTTCCTGTGCCTTCTGCCAGCGCCTGGAGAGAGAAGCCGGGAGCTTGGCAAGCCTCTCCATCTGGGGCTGCATCCAGCCTCCCCGTCAAACATCCAGAGACATCTGTGCAATATTCTAAGTCTATAGTGATAACTTTGGAGGTGCAATAGTCACATGCATGACACGCATGACACATATAACAAGGTTATGTTTTTTGCCTAGAGAATTGAAGACTCGACAGGAGATATGACACATCACCCAAAACACACAGCAGCATGAATGTGGTGAGTGGTTGAATGATGGTGGTGGTGGTGGTGGTGGTGGTGATGGTGGTGGTGGTGGTGGTGGTGGTGTTGGTGTTGGTGTTTGGGGCAGGTTTCCCTCCATTACCGCAAGTGTGGACACTACAGTAGCACTCTGAGAGATTTCAATGGCCTATATACTGTATACAGTACATATATTGTGTAAAAGTGACATAGTTAGGCTTTAAACTTGTCTCTTGCCTCTATGCGGCCATGTGACTTGATCATAGAATGAGAAAGTTGCTTGTAAAAGAATATGCCTCATATTGTAACCGTAAGTGCAGTGGCAGCATGCAGACAGCGATCCCTGCAGGCAAGTTGGCGTGGACTTGTACTGATAACATTATAGTGTTATGATCTTCCTCCGCTAGTTATTCCTCTGCCTCTGCCCGTCTAGGCTTTGCTGTGGTCGGCTTGATTATAATGTACGTCTGTAGCTGTAGGGCTTGGCATCCAAACCCAACTCACTTTGTCCCATGGTTGTTGAACCATGAGGGAGCACCTTTGAGATCAGTGCAATCATTTGTTTACAGACTGTTTTAAACAGGTTTTTTTCTTTCTGTAACACAGAAACACAAATTAGGAAATATGTTGATCAAGCAAGTCTAACATTTAAAATGTAACTAATGATGAATTCAATCTTATTACCAGTGCCGTCAGTGCTTTTATAGGAAGCATGTATTCTAAGCAGGGCTTTTCAACTACTTTTCTCTAGGCGCCAAATAGTTTACGTCAGCCCACTGAATGACTATTTCAAGTTGTGAAGTCGACAGACTAAAAACGGCCATGGTCATTCACCCCTTTTGGACTAATGTCCATAGCAAGCACAAATCCTATGTGATTGTTTTTATTGCATCTTCTGTGTTCTATTCTCTGATCTGTGCTGGCAAATCGATAACTCTGAGATCCTCCGAGTCGACTACTGCTGTGACTTAGAGCTTTACAAAAATGAATTGACTTGAGTGGACTCTGCCATCATTGAAGTCCACCTTTTCTCCACTTCTCAAGCCAGTTATGCTTCTCCTTCTCACGTTGTAATTATTTGTGGTGAATTCCTCAGATGCCTATCTGTGCGTCCCCAGTATGTTTGACTTTTATCGGCCAGTGCTCCCCTCGTTTAATAACAAACACAGGATGTTGCTGTCTCTGCTGTAGACCATACAGTGTGGGATACTGCTGATCCTGCATAATAATGTGACACTGCCATTAAAGATAGTGTTTCAACATGTTTGAATGTAAGGTGTAAAGATACTGATAACGATACAGTGGAGTTTTAACATCAAAATAAGAAGGTTTAGGTGAATAGCAGGAAATACTTTGTGAGTTATTGCCTCTCAGCTTGTGTGTGCCAAACGCCTGTATGTGTTCTTAGACAGTAATGTGGCATTTCCAAAATGACTGTACAATTATGGGGACTGTAAACCACACATACAGAAAGAGCAGCACCCACTGTGATTACACTCACAGGTCGACAAGGACGTGAATCAACTTCACGTGTGCATAACAGCTGCACTGTTGTGAAGCCTATTCATCTTTATGCAGACTGCCTCTATTTTACTAAGCTTATAGACCAGACAATTATTGCTTCAGCTCTCAATATAGTTGTTGAAACACGATACCAACAGTGTATTGTTATCAAATCATTGTCACTCAGAAAATATAGAAGACTATGTCTGTCTCAACAAACAAAGCATGTGAATTAATAAGGATTGAAGCACATTGTATTTCTTTCATCTGTTTCAGAAGACTCCTGGACGCCTCCCTGGCGAGGTATACTGGGCATGTCCCACCGGGAGGAGACCCCAGGAATGACACGAGACACGATGGAGGGACACTGTCTCTCAGCTGGATGAAGCGGGTGTGGATAGGGAAGTCAGGGGTTTCTACTAAGACTGCTGCCCCTGCGACCTGGCAACGGATAAAGTGAAAGAAATTGGGTGGATAGTTGTTGCTCTTTCGCATCATAATTTATGGACATAAGGGGGATTGTGTGGGTCCTCTGACTCAGGGGTTTGGGGATTATGGAGACTAGGTTAGGGTTTTGTGTAAAACGCCTACTATATGTAGCAATGACGGATTTTCTTAATTACACCACAGGAGATTTCTGAGGATTTCTTTTTGATCAGACAGAGGTGACTGCAAAACTGACTGGTGATTTCAATGGTTTCGTTAAGTCCTCTGAGATGACTTCTGTTGTGACCTAGGGCTATACAAGAAAAAATTGTATTGTATTGTATTGTGTACTGCAGTGTGAAATGAAGACAATCACTCTCATTTACGTCAGCTTGCATCACTGCCCATTTATGTGTGATAATTGTAATCTGTTGCCTTGTCAAGGGTTTGAAACCTATAGGCAGTGGCAGTACAATTGATTCCATTGTCAGATTTGTATTAACTTAAAGAACTCAGTAAGCGACAAACATAAAACATATTGTCAAACATTTCAGTGGCTTCAGTTACCATAGTTTTAAACCAACCTCAACAAAAAGCCATTTCTCTGGAGTGCACTGCTGTTTCAAATCCCGATTCTACTTGTCTCATGTTGCTCTAATCAGCTTACAGACCTTCACAGAACAGTGACTATATTGTACAGTTTCTTGGCTTTAAGGGCCTCCAAAACATCACTTTCTTTCCCAAAAGCCCCCGCTGCTAACCCAAATAATTACTCCCTCTCCCCACACGTATCCCAGCTCTGGCCAGTCACGCATGTACTACCCAACACAATTAGGGAAAGTGATCCTACACGGCATGACACTATACTGTAGTCTGTACCTTGTATCTATGTGGATTTCATGCAATAGTGAAATCATTCTGAAACAGATAAAGATTATTAATTTAACAGGTCTTGCATATTTAATGTATTTTTAAAGATTATAGTTACAACTATCATAGATGAAGCAGACAATAAGACAAATATAGCACATGGCCCATAGAGCAGCGTCTCTCAAATGGAGGTATTTGGTGTGACACAGAGCGACCTGATCTATGGGTCTGTTTAAGTTTAACCATGTTTAGCCTGATGGTGTTCCTTTAGATATGATGGTTCTCTACTGATATTTACAAATCTGGTAAATTGCCACATGTTATGTACCCAGAAAGACAAAGTACTTGATTTATTCATTTCTTATTCAAATTCCAATTGAATGATAAAATACAATGCTTAAAACACCATTACGACCAAAATGACACTGGATGACAAATAACAATTGTTATGTATCATATTTCTATAACAGATATTGTTCCTCTTTATGTCCCATCTGTGGATGCAGGACCAGCCCTTGTGTGTCCGTGAGGCAGCTGAAGGCGTTTCGAGGGATTTTCTCCACATCAATCTCATTGTTTTCTATATGGACTGAGGCCAAGGTGGTTCCTAAGTTTCGAGGATGGCACACTCCCCATTTGTTCACCAGCCTATAGGACATAAAGAAAGGCAAGTTTTTACTTGTACGTTCCATAGTTTATGCTTTATTTTTCAATGACCAACTGGAAAATGCGGCACTAATTATCTGAAACACTGATAGACCTAGTAATTCGAAATATATTAAAGTGAATTTATGTTATTTAAACTAGAAAAAATCTTCGTAAAGCATCTTCTCCCAGAATTAAATTAAATTGTGGAAACTTAAAAGGCAAAATACTTTATGCAAATCTATATCATATTACAGATAACTTTACATACATTCAACTCACAAACATGAGCGTTTCTATCTCTGCAGATGTTTTTAAATGAAACATTGAACTGTAGATTGGTCAGAGTACAAAAAATACAAAGAACTGATCATATATAATAGTATTTACAGTGCCTTGAAAAGAATTCTTACCCGATGAACTGTACCACATTTTGCCTTGTTAAGATCACAAACATGAAGACACATGTTAGAGACAATTTTGAAGTAAAAGCTAAATTTTATTTGTATTTATAAAAAAAAAATGTGGCTTGCTAATGTTTTCAGCCCCTTTTATCTCTGAGTGCAACTAATTGTCTTTAAAGGTTTCCTGATGACAAATGATTACATAACTGTTAGTAGAGTCCACCTAAGTGTAATCTAATCTTTGTCTAATTAGTATACTGCTATGGCCTCAGAGGTTTGACAATATTATATTGGTCACTAAACAGCATTATGAAATCTAAGAAACCCACCAGAGAGGGCAGGGGTTTGGGAGAGGATTAAAGCAGTGTCAAGTCATACAAAGAGTTACCAAACTTTGCACATCTTAAAGAGCACTCTTCAATCCATAATTTGAGAAGGAAAAGAGTATGGCACAACTGAAAACCAACCAATGTATAAACTTGCATATGTATATTTCTCAATTTCAGTCCAATTGGTTTGTCTATTGCATAAAATAATTATATAATTATGAATAAAATATTTTCGTGTTTGGGGTATGAATATGTTTTCAAGGGTGTACTTTATCTGTCACATGAAATGAACCAACCCAGTCACCTGATGTGGTTGTTGTCCAGCCTGAGCACCTGCAGGTTCTTGAACTGCCTCACACACCGCGGGACCTCCTTCAGCCGGTTATGGTCCAGGAGGAGCTCGACGAGGGACCGATAAGTGCCCACGAACGAGTGCCGCTCCACCCCATGGTTCCCCAAAGAGTTGTGGGACAGCCGCAGCGAGGTCAGGCCGGGGCGCAGGTGTCTGAAGGTGAAGGCAGGAACGCTACTGATGTTGTTGTGATGCAGGTTCAGTCTAAGCAGAGTGCTGGGAAGACCAGTGGGTACTGATGTGAACTGATTAAAGGACAGATCCAAGGCCTCAAGGGAGCTGTAAGCAAAATACCATGTGTTAAATGTGCAGTAAAGCAGTGGAAGCAGCATGAACACAGCCTAGTCACAACCAAAATGAGAACAAAATTAAGTATATAAATAATGTAAAATAATTTCTCTACTCCTTAAGTAATCTGCCAATGGGGCAAGTTTGACACTGCATTTCAATTACAATTTTATACTTCCGGTGGACATGGATGTTTTGTTTTGTTAAGTTATCATGTGTTTTCAAATAGGAATAGACATGACCAGAAGCCTGTAGCCAGGGATATGCAACAGCAGTCGAGTTTTCCTAGTGGCTAGTTTGTTGGGGGAAGCTAGCGCTGTCAAGTATGGCAGGTAAATCGCTTACAGACTTAAGCCCTAATGTAGAGTATTTTTTTTTTACTTTTCAAGCTGGGGTAAAACAGTGTTCATGTGTGCTGGGAGTTGGGTTTGGTGGAGGGCAGGAGCCGAGGGAGTGGTTCGGTGCCACTCGGATGCTAACACTAAACTAACATGCATCCTTTACTTTTAGTTTAAAAAATGTACTTTTTGGGCACAAATCTTATTATTAATATTACTTTCCCAAATCAAGAGCATTTCCTTTTTATTCTTCAATTAAAATCAATGTTTTTCTTTTCTTTTCGGTGGAAAAAAACGTTGAGACTGGTGGTAAATTGTTGTAATAGAGAAATGTGAAAAAGAACTTCAAATATTGTGACAACTGCTGATGCCAGAGGAGTGTGGTACCTAGCTTTCAAACCACAACAAAATTAATTATTCAATATTATCCTTTTAAGTGGATCCTTGCTCTTTACAATTTGGTACACAAATCTACTTTTTTAGCCAATCAGCTCTCAACCCAAAACTATACAAAAGATGATTTGTAATAAGATGGAAACAGACACCCCAGCTATGCTTTGTGAAAAATGTAAGTTATCTTCATATATGTATTTAATATTTTTGACAGATTGATAGATTGACTGCTTGTATCATTGCTACATTTCGAGCTGCGCCACAGGTACCACAATGTAAAATGCTTGGACCACTATTTTGACATTCACTTTTCTTCTCTCGCCAATACCGTTTGGTCAATTTAAATTCATATTTTAATTTTGACTCTGCTGCTGGTTTATTCACCAGCCTTTGCTTTTGTTTTTGCAGTCTTTTCTCTAGAGTGGCGCTGCTGGGGAGTTTAGATTGAAAGGCTGACCTGTGCAGAGAGCAGCAGGAGATGTGCCTGAGGCTGCACAGGCATAAAGGCCTCAACAGTGAAAAGACTGAAAACTGAACTAAAAGTGAACCTATTCTGGGAATGATAAAAAAATACAATATTGAGTTTTTCATACATTTAAATCCCATGTGTTTCAAACTTGAGCATGAAGTCAAGCCAATTTCTATGTAGGGGGGAGAAAAACAACAGAAAGGATTACTTGCTACTCGGAGACATGAATGTAATAATTATTAGGGATGTATGTTGGAATCCAGACAAAACAAAGCAAGCTACAATGGGGATTTATAGATACAGTTGTGCTTGAACGTTTTCTCCCACTCATCACGAGTGGTTGTGTGAAACCATAATACATTTTGTTTTTCGTTTTTAAAATTATAGAATCATTGAGCTGATCTGGGGAGATCTCTAAGATAGTGTTCATGCAAGGTCACCCAGGAATTCACAGGAACTGGAGGCCAAGAAGAATGGGCAGCTTTACCATCAGAGAGGACAAAGAACTACCTCATAAGACTCCAAGCTGTCATAGATTTTAAAAATGGAAATACTATCCTTCTAATCGCATCCAGTTGAGTGGTTATAATTTGAAAATGAAAACTTTTTAGTCATTTATTCCTGATTAAATGATTTCACACAACCATTAACAATGAGTGAAAACGCGTTGTTGCGTTTTCACTCATAATATCCAAATTATGGCCAAAAAATTCTGTTACAAAGCTTGAAATTCTGTTGCTTAAAAATAATGTGTTGTAACATGCAAAATTCCTGGCGCCATGTAATAGTATATATGGCTCATCGACTTGTTATGATTCTGGCTGGATGACTGCAGCCTGTTTGCCAAACTGCAGTAATGTAACTCTGCAGAAGTCCACCACTGAGCTCCGTACTAATGGGCACTGAAGGGTTTTCTTCGCAAAGGCCCTGCATGACTCGTCACAACCTTATCTACTACTGTCCACCTGCTTTTCCACAAGTACAAAATATCGTACAATTTTTAGTCGCAAATACAAAAGGGACCTCATAGAACACACGCTGTAAATCCAGTGAAATTTATCTTCTTTAGTTAGGAGTATGTGTATGCTGAATAATATGTACCTTGGAAGCGTTTTGAGAACACCATTAATCAGTGCCTATAAGCTCGACTCATCCTTTTAATTAGAATATGGACCAGCGCACAGTGTTGTGTCTGTCTCACACTCACTTAAATATTTCCATGTGTGCCACAGTAATATGCCAGTTTAGCTCTTGTCCAAATCCAACCACAACCACAGGTAGTACTGGCACAGAAGACCAGCGCCAACAGACTAGACAGGATAAGACTGCCATGGAAATAGGACTATGACGAATGATTAATGGGAGAAAATCGTATTTGTCACCTCTTCAGTCCAGGATAGTAACAGTGGTTGAGTCTGGTCTCTCAGAAAGTTACTGTATGTCGTGGCTTTGATCCTATTGATGCTACTCGTCTGCTGAGGAGACTATTTTTTCTTTTCTGGATAGGCCTTAGTATAACTGGAGAACCCAACATTATAACATCAGTGAAGCAAAAACCAGTGAGTGTTTGTGTAAATTATTGATAGAACTAATTATGGTTGGTTTGAGGATAAACAGATTTGTCTCATCAGACTGTGACACAACATGCACATCCTCAGATCTCTGAACCTCCAGTCAGTCACACTGAGCCTGCAGCCAAAATCAACAATGTGGCGAGGAAGAAAAAAAGAACAAAAAAAAGAAAATCACATTAAATCCTGTGAAGTAGTATAGGTAACGTGCCTGGCAGCTTTGATTAAGATGTTAGGTGGATTTACAATTGTGCAAACTCGAAAAGCCAGAATGTGATTATGTCTTTTGAACATTCTATGCTTGTGACAATCTGGGTGTAGAACATAAATGTATTACACAATCTAAACACACAAATATCTGTGAATAATTTTTTAACAAATGTATGTGTATATTAAGCATAACCCTTTCAGAAGGAGTTTAATGATATGTTTAGTGAGAGAGTCGTAGGCACTTTTGCTTCTCAGCAAGAAGGTCCTGGGTTCGAATCCCGGTCGAAATAGGGTCTTTCTGAGTGGAAGTTTTAGTTTTTAAGTAAGTTTTTTTTATTTATATACCGCCTTTTCACTGCAGATCTGAGTCTCAAAGCGGTTTACAATTGTTAAGTGGAGTTTGCATATTCTCCCTGTGTCTACGTAGGTTTCTTTCGGATGCCCTGGTTTCCTCTACCACGATGTGTCACTTGCTTTTATATGTTTTGATGACGTGTTTTAAATTGCAATGTTTTAACTAGTTACTTTTATATTGTAATGTTTGCAGTGCACTTTGATGGCATGTTACACCTTGCCTAGGGACTACAGTTGGAAACTAGCTGTTAGCTAATACTGACACTTTACAGCAATGTTGATTAATGTGCATCGTCGCTATTCAAATAAACTAATAAATTAATAAACACATGTCCAATAGGTTATATCCTCCAGATCCTGTAGTCCTGACCAATTGGTATTTCAGAATGGGTCAAATACAGGGGCCACATTTATGTATTCCTTAAGCGCTTAGAAAATATTAGTTTGAGGTACGGAGGTCAGTGCAGTCAGTTCCCATTTGATAGAAGAGGTAAACAATTTAATGGGCAGATTGAAAAAAAGCTTCACCTGAGTTCAAATTACCATGTTTTGGTTGTTAAGCAATTCACACAGAACGTATATTCCCAGATGATACATATTAAGTGCTCCCTCTCAAGCCAAAAGACTGAACTGAAAAGTTGGAACTCTAATTAGGCCCCATATCCCCAGACACAGTGGGAGGCAACATTAACACTGACTGCCTATTTGGCTCAACTCAAGCCACTCATGTAAACTACTGTATACAGGCTCATTTTATTTGAAGGAATGTATTTTCTCATTACAACAGAAACATTACGTTCTGTTAGATCTCATAACATTTGCCAGTAACAGTTTGTGTGGAGGGATCGAGACAGCGGTGGTGATAGATGTCTTACTTCTTTTTTCTATTTGTTTCCTATCTTTACACTTTTTGTGAAATTCAAATTCACCGTTTTTAAGCAGTTTTTCCTTTTCTTTTTTGTTTCTTCCTCTCCCACTGTGGTTCAAAATGATGCTTGAGAGTAAAGGAAAGCACACTGGAATTCACTATATTTAAACAAGGCACACTTTGTAACGCTCTCTCTCTCTCACACCAAGTCTTTGTGTCTGTGTGGTTTATGGTAAAGTGCTGTATGTAGGACTCAGGACACTGGTATGTGAGAGTCAGTGAAGCAGATCAATTGTGAATATTCCACATGCTTAAGTAAAGTAAGCTATCAATATGCTGTCATAATAAAGTAAGAAATAGGTCAAAGTATTCAGAAGAGGCTGTCCTCTTGCGGTGGTTAATGGGTATAATATGCTGGATCGGGTCTACTCTGTCTTTTCACATCCCTTAAGGGTTAAAGTTGGAGTACCTACCTTTTGTATTTTTTCTTTTTTTTTTTTGTAAAATGCATAATGTTGTTCCCAAAACCTAAAGATTCTTGCATGTACGTCGTGAACAAATCCGACTTGCTGTCTTGATATTGTTAGATAACATGTTAGCTATACTTATAGGAGTCATAATTTGCTGAGAGATGAGCTGAGTGAGCCTTTTTCACTTTTCTGTTCGATAAATCTCATCTAAATATGTGAAAAAATACACATCTCACACATCCAAAATTACATTTGTGACAGAAAAACACATTTGAAAGTTACGTACACCAGCTTTAGGCCTCTACACAAACAGCTGCATGTTTGCTGAAACATATTTTTAAGATTTGGCAGATTGTTTGCTTTTCCCTATGAGTTTCCAGAGTCATATTGGCACCTTCAGCTAAAAATGAAAGCTTATTGGCGCCCCCGTGTGGAGATTTGAGGGAGTGTTGTGTTCGTACCCTGCCTGTCTCCATGTGTTGAGAGCGATGCTTCTCTGGGTCAGCAGGTTGTGGCTCATGTCCAATACTCTTAAGTGGACACAGCCTCTCAGGGCCTCCTCTCTCATGTCTTCTATTAGATTTTCACTGATCTCCAACACCTAACACACAAAATGACAGTTACTGGTAGTTTTATTATTTGTTGTAGATGAGTAAGTTACCTGCAGAGTGGGTGGGAGGCCCAGGGGGAAAGACCTGAAGCGGTTGTTGTCGAGCTGAAGATCAAGCAGGTTCTCCAGAGGTTTGAAGGCCTCAGGTGATACTGTGCCCTCATCAAGTAAGTTCTCCTCCATCTCCAGACGCACAAGGTTTGCCAGCCCTAAAATGATGTTTAATGAATGCAACAAATTAGATGTTGTGCCTGGTGAAATAAGGGAGTTGCGAATTAGGTGCCAGATTCACTAACTTTATTGCCACTTATGATAACATGTGTGTTCTACCACCAGGTTTTAGCAGATTATTAGCAGTTTTTAACAGGATTAAATAAGGGCTATTTGTGGTATAAAATTAGACTGTGCTGGTTATAATAATGAGAGGAAGGCCACATTAACACAGTCTCATAGTCTACACATGATAAATACCAGGGCACAACTATTTGAGTATAAATGTGAAGAGAAAACACAAACACAATCAACAGGTTTGTTTAAAAGGATTGAATTTTACCTAGCTTGTGTTTTGTTTGTTTTATAACTGGTAAACGTTGTCTAAACAGAAAGAGATGTGGCAGAGGCTACAAATACTGTGCATGCATGTGAGAGATAGCAGAGATGGTTTTGAGAGCTAGGAACTGGTTACATGTATTTTATCACATACTTATTTTTGTTGCGGTTTCAAAATTACTTTATCTTTAACCTTAAAAAAAATTTAAGCCCATGATAATATATACTATATAAATCATAGTTCCTTAATATAAAAACAGTTTGGTTCTATCAATAGATTTCACAAGCATATATTTAAGATAAGATTAAGATTTTATAAAGATAGCATGTTTTTAATAGGATGAAGTTAGCCTGTTGTCTGTGAAATAAAAAGGAGAGAATGTTTTGTAAAAGATTAGAGTCAGTGTGCGTCAGATGGTCTTTCTTGTGGCGTTAATTTGATCACATTCATCGCCGAGTCGAATGGATTAGACTTAGAATGCATGTGAGAGTTTTCTTGCATGTCTTCGGGGTGAAAAATGTGTTTGTTTTAGTGGAAAAATAAGAAACAGGCGAATAACAAAAGCCCTCTCCAATTGGCTCAGGCTATTGAAGAATAATAGTAATTTCACATTTATTTCTAGCAGTATACTATCCTCTTTCACATCATACCTTCACAGATACAAACCTCTGAAGCTGTGTGTAGTGATTGATCTAAGTCTGTTGTTGTTGATTGATAACATCTCCAAAGACACCGGCAGCACTGGTAATGTGGTGAGCAGGTTATCATCTAGGTTTAGCATCTTGAGAAGAGTCAAATTCTGTCAAACAGGTTCAAGGAGAGAGAGAGAGAGAAAAAAACATTTCATTATAAAACAGACTCTAAGTCCATAATTGGCATCCTGCTTTCACCAAAATGGGAAAATCGCACCCACGTCATCCATCCAGTATTTTTGGCCCCAGTGGTTTGTGTGTGTCAAGAAAGAGCGTTGTTTATTTACTCTGTTATTGCAGCAGCATTTGCAAATGGAATGTTAAGATGTTTAAGTTTTTCCCATGAATTTAAATTGGAAAAGTGTATTTTTGATGGTGTTGTTAAAACTTGGTGGAGGATGACTTCACTTCAGGCCTTAAATGGCTGCACTCCGAAAATGACCAAAATCATACGGTGTAGACTATGTTTTATTTTAATTAATGGAGAGGTGGCTTATAAAATGGCTTGTAATAGGACAGTAAGGAACCAGTAAAAACCAGTGCTTCACAAGAGAACCCCACAGGCCTATTGGTGTTGTATTGAATGGGATGATGTCTGTCCAATGCAACAAAAATCTACTCAGATACAAATGAAATAACCTTGAAAAGATAATAAACTGGAAAATCGTGTTTGGGAAAACAAAAAGGGCAGGGACCACATAAACTCTTCGGTATTATTCACCCCAAGACTCCAGTTTTACACCACTGTGAATCCTTCTACTCACTGAAAGCGTGCGTTGGCCCAGTGCATCATCCACTAGTTGGTTTTTGCTCAGATCCAGAGTGCCCAGGTTTTTCAGGCCAGAGAAATCCTTCGGAAGTAGGTTTTTGAGCATGTTACCTTTAAAAGATGTAAGAAGAGGTTTCAAAGATGAGAAGATTTATTCATTTATTTATTTAGAGGATAAGCCCCTTGAAATGAACCATCTCATTTTTGAGGGGGTCCTTGAGATTTCACAAAGTGACAGATACAGCAAAACAGATGCAAACAAAACAAAAATACAAGAAAATAATAAAATAAAAAAACATAAAAAATACACACATAAATAAGATCCGTACAATCATCAATATTTTAAAATTAGTTTTTACTTCACTAGGAACTCTAGGGTGGCTGTGAACACTATAAAACTATGCTTTAGCCAGTGTTCATTCAATTATTGCTGCTGTTATTCATTAGATATTTTTATTTTCTGTGCTTTGAAAGTTTGGTAATACATGTAAAATTGTGGAGTTCAAATCAGAACATGAAGAATATGAAGTCAACATAAGAACACAAGAACATGCTTTTATATTTCCCATATTAAGACACACTAGTGAAGACTTTATACTTATAATTTACTAAAACAACAATATATTTAGTGAACTAACTTAGCAGGAAAAAAATAACAAAAAATATGAAAATATCATAAGACTAAATCTTGATTTGAAAGTTTTATTGGAGACCTGAAACTTTATTAGAGGTGGAAGACTACCACAATAAATAACAGAAAGAAATGAAATGTTTTAGGGAAGCCAGGTTGCTGCATAGAAAGTGGATTCAGGAGCTCATGCTGTAATTCTGTTTTTTTGTAAACCCAAGACTGAATATATATTTCTCATCCATATGAACGCGGGTTCAAACCTGTCATGTCCATTTTGGTGATGTCCGGGTTGTTGAATGTTGGCAGCCGAGAAAGACCCAGGCCTCTGCAGCTGATCTCTGCTGCACCGACAACACATTCTGTTGGCTGCTGGGACGGGCCCAAGCTGATGTGGGCTTCTGTTTGATTATTAGGCACCTCCGTTGGCTCTTCCTCTTCTACCTCTTCCTCCTCCTCCTCTTCTTCTTCCTCCTCTTCTTCCTCGTCCTCTTCCTCCTTGGTAACAAAACACACACACAATGCTATTGAAGTTCACATGTAGAAAACACATTTAACCATCAAAAACAAAAACCTCTTCCTCCTCATCATCATCGTCGTCTTCATCATCATCGTCATCATCCTCCTCCTCCTCTACCTTTGCTTTGCTGTTGTCCAAAAGGCGTTGTTTTTCAGTGTACAGGTCTTTCAGCGCAGACGTGAGTCCATTGGTAGAATTTTCTGTTTTACTTCTCCATCCCTTCAGAGGTTGTGTCAGGCCCAACTATGAAGAAAGACATTTGTAAATAATCACATTGAGAAGGACTTCTTTTTTTTCTTAGATTGGTGTAATGAGCGTTCATACAATTCGAAAAGCAGTGGATGCCACAGTTGCCGCATATTTTCTGCCCCAGGTGCCTCTCTTCTTTCTGCTGACCGCATTGAAGTTTGGTCTCCATTGGTGACTTTCTTGGTCCATTTGAATTTCCTTGTTACCATATGAATCTTGTAGTTATAACAAAATGAGTTACTAGAGTACCCATAGAAGCCCTAAATACCACCAGAGTTCTCATACTAGTCTTTCTTACCTCCTGTTCCATTTGTCTCCAGAAAATATGCAGATAATGCACTTTTACCCTGGTTTTCAAGAACTGGTGCATTTTCCATTTCATTTGACTCATGTGATGCAAGATAGCCAGTATTGTGGTCTGACCAAAGTGAAAAACCTTGTCCGGTCAAAATCCAACAACTTACAGAAACCACAATAAACCACATTGTTGCCAAAAAAAAAAAAATCAGAATTCTGTCCAGTTCTTCTAAAAATTGAATCTATATGAAGCTGTATATTCCTGGTGCAGACACAAAAGCGACTGAATACACCTGCCTCTTCTGCTGCAAGGCTGTGGTAAAGAGTGGACAGGAGGGAGAAGGAAAATATGGAGGCGGAGTGGTAAAAAAAATAAACTCTCACATTGGTATAAAGGCCTTAGTACCCTGTGTCTGCCCTCTCCGTTTGCTTTCATAAGTCAGCTCCTCCTGGTTGCCATGGTTTGGGACATTTATACTAAATATAAACATTATTGTAATGAGTGGCACATACCATTCACCAGCGTCAAACTTTTGTCTTATGTTACCGTTATGTAAAGTGATAGTTAAGGCCTTCTAAGAGTGAGGTGGCTGGCACATGGTTCATAAATGCTGATGTCAGACATTCAATTACAAGGTGGGTAGAAAGTTCAGACCAGAGTCCAGAAAGTTGGCAATGATCCAGTAACATCTATGTATCAAACTAGTGTTTAAAAACATGGTGTCTGGGTGAGCAGCCTGCCTCTCACAGAGCTCTGACTGGTCCAGACATGCAGAGACAAACAGAACAGGTGCCCCTGGCCTGTGCGGCGACGGCTGGAGTTCTCACTAAGGTGAAGTTTGCAGACAAACTCTTCAGCCTGTCGTGACAAGGTATGAACATTTAGAGGTTGGGGTGTCAGTTTCTACAGGATGATGCCATTAAGGATTTTAACAACTGGTCCCAAATAAAACATTAGACAAAACTAATTAGAAACACCCAGTTTCACATCAACAATACCAAGATTCCAATGTAGTCATTAGAACACTTAAAACTTCATGATATCCTTTTTCATAGATCACATGACAAATGAGAGCTATTATTTTATTCACACTACTGAAGAGGTGTACAGCATTAGTAAAAAGGGGATGCAGGGAGGAAGGGTAGACTATAATCCTTAAGTAATACTTGGGAATGTTACAGTGATGTCTAAGGTAGCTTCAGTTTAATTTCTCTACAAATTTGTAACTCCTTACTTCATTGTTATTTAAATAACATTTAAACAAAATTTACAGTCCTGTAGTTTCAGAAATTATTAGGAAGAGAAAAGGAAGACAAGAGTACAAAAAGTAACTTTAGTTTGCAAAGGTCTGACGCACTGCATTAGCAATGTGTTTGGCACTAATGCCATAAAAGTCAAGGAGCTCTTGAGGTTTTCCACTACGTGGGACACCAGTCACTGCCAACCGGGTAACAACAATACCAGGTTCAGTGGCAACAGCAGACAGAACAGCTTCTCCAAGGCCACCTAGAAGAAAGAACACATTACAAAATAGTTACAAGGCCCATTATGTAAAATACAAAAAAAAAAAAATACAGCCTTTATGTAAACTTGCCTTCTTTGTAGTGATCTTCCACTGTAATGATTTGTCCTTTTGTTGCTCTGGCACTAGACACGATAGTGGCAGCATCCAGTGGTTTGATAGTAAAGGGGTCAATTACACGGATATTCTTTCCTGTGGAAATTTAAAAAACATTTTTAGCTGGAGCCAACACATTAATGAAAGACAATGCATCCACTAGAGGGCAGAGTAGTACCTTCACTGGCCAGGATGTCTGCAGCAGCGAGGGCTTCATGGAGTGTGACTCCAGCTCCAATCACAGTAACACAGTCATTGTCAGACTGCCTCACCACCTGAATTGAGAAATCCGTCATGAGCTTAATTCTTATAAACCTTTCTATTCCTGCAAATTACCTTTGCAACGCCGACTTCCAACTTTTCCTCTGGTGAGTAAATCACTGCAGTGTCTGGTCTGCTAGTACGAATGAAGCAAATACCCTGAGAAAGGACAAAATAAGTACCAGTAGAATGCATTTGAAATGCCAATAATTCAAACAAACCTGTGTGTTTGCTGCGATTTCTACAGCCCTTTCTGTAGAGACTCCATCACAGGGGTAAAACACAGTGCATGTTGGTATAGCCCTGAACATGGCCAAGTCTTCAAGTGCCATTTGAGAAGGCCCATCCTCACCTAAAGACAACAATTAGCTTGTATAGTTCATGATATGGCAAGACCTTGATTTTAACAACGCTTACCAATAGAAACGCCACAGTGAGAGCCTACCAGGTTCACGTTTGTCTGTGATATGGCACCCATTCGAATCTGGTCATAAGCTCTGGACAGAAAAGCTGCAAAGGTGCTGGCAAACGCGACTGTGCGGCCACGTGTGGCACAGCCTATAGCCACTCCCACCTGAAGCATGAAACAAAAGCAAATTCACGCAATTATCAGCACCGGTCCAACAGATTGTTCTTAAATTTTTTTTGAGTACACACCATGTTCTGTTCAGCAATGAAGCATTCAATGAAGCGATCGGGGAATGCCTTTTTGAAAGTTTCTGCGAAACTAGAGTTTTTGGTATCAGCATCCAGGGCCACCACTCTTTGGCTGGCCTGACCTAGTTTAGCCAGAGCAACCCCATAAGCACGTCTTGTGGCAATCTAAATATCAAAACAGATAAGTTAAAAAATAACTAGATGTACGCTAGTCACTGGTAGACCTTTACCCATGCACTGATAACAAGATTGCTGTGATCATAGGAGGAAGCATACCTTGTCTCCTTTTTTGTAAGCTGGGGGTGAAGGCAGGGAGATTGGGCTAAGGTCAGCAGGGGCTGCATCATCAGCTGGTAACTGAGGGGAAAGAGTTCTGTTTGGGACCTGGATAAGCGCCTGGAGCCCCTTGAGGAGATCATCAACACGATCCTTAGGGATTGGCTTTCCATGCCAGTTGTCCAGATCCTCAATATCTAAATATAGAATATTATAAATTAAACTTGCTAAATGCTTACTTAAAAGCTCAATTTAGCACGCTCACAGCACTTCAAATGTACATACAAATGGATATACATTTGATCAAATATTGTACTAAGGAAAGCCCACAGGTATTTATGTCTAAATTACAATAATTTTAGCCTCCTCATCGTATGAGTTAGTTGTTCATTTTACAACAAATCATGGTCACTGCTACATTTCAGGCAGCTTGCAAAGACAAACACTACACCAAGATTGCCAACGACACAATGAGGAGGATGTTCATTGCAGTAAGCAAAAATTTACAGCAAAATGTTAGCAAAATTAACAAAGAAACGTTTCATCTTGGCACTACAAGGCGTGCCGTGATTGGCTCTAGTGTTGGTCTCATGCAGTCTGATTTTTGCCCTCTTGTTTTGTCATGATTTATTTGCTGAATATCAACTGCATTGTTCACTAAATATTTGTTAACTAAATTAACCCTGACAAGGACGTTGACAAACCTGTCCTGCTTTAAAATGTTTAGTGAATTGATTCATAAACATGCTTTGAGATTGTTAATTCAAGGATGCAAGTAAATTAAAAATTAAAATAACTTTCTTGTGCTTTAATTGTATGACAAAACCTGGAGCTACTCCTGCACAAACAAATGTAAATAAATTGCAAATAGGTAGACATACTTTTCAGTCCTTTGCCTTTGAAAGTCTTTGCTACAATACATGTAGGTTTATCCTTCACTTGTTGAGCTTGCCAGAAAGCCTTGCAAAGCTCCTCCACATCATGTCCATCTACAACGTACGTGTTCCACCTTCATAAACGGACAATAAAACGCAAAGTCACATATTTTAGTTTCTCAGCCTAATGTGCTATGAAAATTAGAACTCAGTTAGGGATGAAATACAAAGACCCACCCAAAAGCTTCACAGCGCTTGCGATAAGTCTCCATGTCATGTTGAAGAGGAGCAGGTTCACTTTGTCCCAGTCGATTCACATCCATTATAGCCACAAGGTTGTCCAGTTTGTAGTGGGCTGCAAATGCCATGGCCTCCCACACAGAGCCCTCTGAACATTCTCCATCGCCCATCATGCAATAAACACGGTAGCTTCAAGAGGAAAAAATATATAGTACATCACTTTGTGCATAAATCAGATACCATATACATCTTTGTCAAGTCATAAAATACTTCAGACATACCTGGACTTGTCAAAGTGTTTTCCAGTATATGCCATACCACAAGCAGCTCCAAGACCTTGTCCAAGAGATCCAGTAGCCACATCCACAAAGGCCAGTTTCTAAAAGAACAGATGAGAATTATTTATACATCTTCATATTGCTTTGTTTGTGGACATACCGGTGTGGGATGGCCCTCCAAGTCACAGTCAAATTTACGAAGATTCAGGAGGTCTGCTTCCTTTAGGTATCCAGCCTCAGCCCAAGCAGCATACAGAACCGGGGCAGCATGACCCTAGTGAAATAAAATTAGATTCTAAAGTCAGTTTCACACTTACAAGCAGCATGTTAGCCACTAGATAATGTTAATTAATCATCTACAAATGGTACTAACCTTCGACAGCACAAAGCGGTCATTGCATTGGTTGCGGGGATCGTCAGCTTTGTAGCGCATGGTGTGAAAGAACAATACGGACATGAGCTCGGCAGCACTGCAGCATGATGTTGGATGACTGACAAGACAAAAATCATCAAATGACAAGAAATACAGTACATTTCTTCAAGCAATTACATTCCAGCTTTGAATTATTTCATTGTTTGCATCAGAGAACCATTAAGAATGAACCCAATTATCTTTAGTGATTAGAATATTAGACTGAATGTTTATGTGCTCAAACAAATATCAATAGTCCAACGTGTGCAAAGGTTAGGTTCTGCTCAACAGGTCTCATTACGGTAAGGGGATGTTTAGTAACTCAAATTTCCACACAATGTACCTGAAGTTCCTCTAAAGCTAAAAAGATGCAATATGTTCACATGCTAAATACCTCACTCAGTTTAAAGTTCAACCTCAAGCAGAATGCATTCAATTCAATCTTGCATAAATTACCAGGTTGCCTTTGTAGATTCATTTGATGCTGTAGAAAAAGGCAGGTTTACAAAAAGGGAGAGAAAGACATAAGGTGTTCTGATGAAAGTAATGTTGCTTAACACTGAACACATTTCCTTCTATGAAGAAATCCAACAATGGTCAACACAAGGCATTCAGTTGATGACAGGTCTAGTATCAGGCACAGATGAACAAACAATGCCTTTGAATTCTGTCCCAACAGACCAATGCAAGTAGGTAAACTGATTCCCAAAAGGAAATGTCAAAAACACAAAACCAAATGAGCAAGATCAACTTGTCTGGTCAGGCCATTACTCATATTGCCCTATTTCCATTATGTTATATGACAGAAGTTTTACTTCTCTGACCAGGTTAGTCACATCTTATTTCTATGCACTCGCCACCCCTTTATACTATTGAAGGACGAGGAGGAAAGCTTTAAGTTTCTAAAAACTGCCTTACTTGACCAGATTACAACAATGGTACATAAAGATATATGTATGTATGTAATATAAGACAGATGATCGCTGCTCTGCTAATTGAAAGCAGAGCAGAGCACGCGAGGACTGGTGCTGGTCAATCATGTGATCTGTACCAACTAGTTAACTAGTAAGATTTTACTTTATTGACCCTTTACGTGCTCCAATATGAGAACTAACCTACCTATAACGCAGTTAGATGTTTGAAAGCGGTATGTTCAGTAGCACTTAGGCAGACGAATCATTCATTGCCATAAAATGTTTTGAATAACTTTATGTGGAGTCGCGCGCCTCATCGCGAGACCGTCTGCAACACGTGCTCCTGGCCCGTAGGTGAAGCGTGCACTTTACTCATTGACAGGGCTTTGCTTTATAAGCTTGCCAGCACACTAACGGGATCTTATGACGCATGGTCTTTAAAAACTGCAAAACTGGAGTATATGTTGAAGTGTGTTCAATATAAGCTTACCCGGAATTGGAAGCGCAGGTAGCTCTGATAGAGCTGATCCTGAGCTTATTAGCAATGTCTTTCAGCCCCTGCAGAGTCTTCTCGTCGGGTTTATGATAGCTCGTCATGGTGCTTGAGTTGGATCGCAGATCGTTTTTATTGAATGCTATACTTCAGCTTTCCAAACTAACAAAAGCTTGAGTGCTGTTGTTGGAATGCTGCGCCACAACGTTGCTAGCGACAGAAGCAGTGAAGGAGGGACAGAGATGAGGAAGCAGGCTCGACTTATGTCCGCGTAGCCACGCCCACCCCATGGATCAAAGCGACTCATTGGACAGACGGAGTGGCGCAAGTCACGCATTAATGTATGAATGTCAGTTACTATCAAAATAATGTATATTCAAAATACACAGAATTGTGATTGAAACACACTGGGATGAAAGGATGAAGCCAACTCCTGTTCTTCTACTCAAAACAGTTGCCGATCATTCTGAAATCCATGTTTACAAGACCTATCGATATAGGCCCTACTTTAGGGCGAGCTGTACCGACTGTAGCTTTAATTGGACAGGTGGGGGGGAGTCGGCAAATCTGCCCTCTCATCCTTACTCAGACATGACTCAGACTAATTTTTTAATGAGGATACTCAGGATCTCGGGTTGTTAGACTTATTTATTTATGTATTTATTCAGACGGAGATAGAACTAAACAACCAATATTTACTGTATGATCTCGTCTGCCAAGAACATGGATCTATTGGGGCAATAAGTTCGTCTGAAAAGGAGTGGGGGAAGTAAACACTTATTTAATCCCACCCTTTTCTTCTGTACTTCAATTCAGTAAAACACTTCCTTACATACTTAGAGAACATTGTTTCTTTAAATCGATACTTTAACTGTTTTATAGTTGGACATCGTTTGAGGTCTTCCGGGATATTGTTCCATATTTTAGGGTCACAAACAGAGATACAGAAGCTTGATAAAATGACTGATAAAATGTAAAACATTTTCAGGCAATTTCTTTATTCTGGTTTTTTTTTTACTTTGTACATGAATTGAGAAGTCTTGAAAGTAATGATGTCAAAGTTTTAGAGTGTTTGATTGGATAAAATAAAGGATGGACTTGATGGTGTACTTAACTTTGAATTTTGATTCACATTTAAAACAGGCCTTACTTTATGTTTAAAATTAATATAACAATGTTGTTGTTTGTCAAAACAGGACTTGAAACTTAGTGAATATATTTTATTGAGAAAAGACCTATTTGTATTATCAAATATTGGAGATACTTCCCCATTTCATACAAACATCTCAACAGCTCATGGCTCAACTGTTTCCTCTTCGTAAAGTTCCTGAAAGTACATAGTTGCATCAGAAAAAGAACACCTTAGAGTGCCCAGCCCATTCAAAACTAACAATGAAACAAAGAGCAAATATTTTTACCTGGAATTTCTTCTTGGCTTTAAACCTTTCATGGGCTGTAATGGGTTCTTTATCAAGCCTCTCCAAAGTTGGCAACAGCATCACTACATCTATACGGTACTCTGAAGTGTTTGTCACAGGGTTTTCCATAAACACTAAGATTTTAAGGGATTTTGACACAAGTCTCAAGTTTTGAATGGCATTCTCATCTTCAACTTTATTGCCTCTACAAAAAAACAATGATTAACATTACATTTACATACATTAGTATTAAATATCAACGCACCACAGAGTATCTTACGGTACATTACATACCTTACATTGAGGTACTGAAGACACCTCATGTTAAAGTTAAGTCCATTCAAATGTTCTATCTGGTTTTCTCTCAAGTGCAGAGTTTTCAGATTTTCTAACTTGTCCAATCCATCCAAATGTTTAATAAAATTTTGGGCCTTTACAAAAGATCAAGATGGTTAAAAACTAAAAATATTCATAATACATTACACAGAATTTGTTCCACTTTAGGTGTAGAGGACTTTACCATGAACAGATGGTGCAAATTTGGCAAGTTAATTCCTTCAGTTGAGTCCAGTTGGTTCCCCCTCAGCTCTAGTGTAACCAGATTGGTAAAACGACTACTTTGAAGACATCTTATATTCTTGATCCTGTTACCTATAAGACAAGTTCAGACATTTTTTCACAGGCATCCAGTATACATATTAGGTAGAAGTATATAAACTGACCAGTGAGATTGAGCATCTCTAAAGAAGGCCCAAGAAGCTCATCCATATCTGTCAATAAATTTGCTGCTACATTGAGCCACTGGAGGAATGTGAGTTGACCAAAAGGCTGTCTCTCAAATGACTGTATTTGATTACCATCTACCTACAAAAGAAATAATGTTCTGTGATGACAAAGGGAACTCAAACAATGGCATTGCTCGCATAAACTTGCCTTAAGCCAGAGCAACTGTGTCAGTGAGGCCAGAGGAGAGAGGTCTCGAAGGTGGTTGTTTGACAAATTCAGAAAACGTATGTGAATGAAGTTGCTGATTGCAGAGATGTCATTCAGTCCCCTGCAGAAAATAGAATAAGTGTGATTGTTTTTTAGGAATAATTACATGAACACACAGGTACTTTGGCTACATACCTTTCCTTCAGTTCCAATTTTACAAAAGCATGTGCTAATCCATTTCCAGTTTTACATAATAAGGAAAGGCCCTCCTCTATGTGATTTTGGGTTAAAGACTGAACCTGTTCCTGTTGATCAAAGCACAAACACATACTATAGTTAGTTGTATGAGGGGGAGTCATGTATACATTGCTATTGTATATCTGTTTTAATGTCCTTGTAGTTTTAAATTATGTGAAAAGTTCGTTGGTTTTCCTGCAAGTTTATTGGTATACCGATGAATATTTTGGTCCAAACAACAAGATCTTAAACTCTAGTTAATGTCACTAACCTTTAACTTGTTGATAGCTACAGCTAGGTTAGCTAATGATGGCGTAATTTCTTCTACACTGACGTTGTCAAACCATTGTCAAAGCTACCTGGCCTCCAGTCTTTTCTTTTGCCGATTCATTTTCAGCATCGGACAGCATTGAGTCTTCCTCCTCATGAGACATTTTTCTTAGAAGAAACTTCGCTCGTTGTGCGGAAGAACCAGACTGTGGAGAAACCCGCGTCTACTGGTTTCCATGGAAACGACGACAGAGACGACCTTCTACTGGGCTCATGTGGTGTGTTTTAAACTATCACCACGTTTACAGACATGCATGAGATAATGATAATAATAATAATAATGCATCGATTTTATATAGCGCTTTTTTTGGACACTCAAAGACGCTTTACATGTCATTATTCATTCACTCCAAACACGGTGGTGATAAACTACTACTGTAGCCACAGCTGCCCTGGGGCACACTGACAGAAGCGAGGCAACCAGTATGTGCCATCGGCCCCTCCGACCACCACCAACCACTCACACACACACCAGACTAATTCTAGGCAATGTGGGTGAAGTGTCTTGTCTAAGGACACAACGGCAGTTTAGCACTTTACAGCCGCCCCACTGTGGCTGGTGTTCCCAGAGGTTAAGTGTCTTATCAAGGACACAACGACAGCACCCAGTGGGAGTCGATGGTGAAAGTCGGGCTCGTACCCCACGACCCTCTGGATCAAAGGCCAATGCTCTACCAACTGAGCTACTGCTGCATAATAGTTGATAGACCATTACTGAAATGACAAAGATGTGGCAAATGTGACAGTTTTTGAGTCATAGGGAGTGTTATTATTATAGATCCATGGGAGTAACCCTCTATTCCGCAATTTTAATCAAAGGGCTCTTTTAAATATTTGTATATAGTGTCTTGCGTCATTTGCCTTCCTATCACTAAAAGACAGAACATAGATTACCGAGGCAATGTCTATTCCTTGCACAAAATGCCCATCAACTCAACATCAATCAAACTCAATTTGGTCTTGTACTTTTTTTATATACACGGCCTAGCAGCACGTTACAACCATGTTACAACACTGTATAAAAACAAAGTTCAATCATGATTAAGAAATGGAATTGCTATAGTTATAAAGTTCTGATAATTTGCATTCAAGGAGGAAAAAAATAGACACATTTCTGACATTATTCAAAGCTCAAAAAAACATTTTAAATCACATAAAATGCTCGGTTTAAATGGAATCTAAACATTTTAGAGTAATATTGGTTTATTTGCTTAAAATATAGGCTTGCATATTTTGCCCATGACAATTCCACACCCTTACATTTTCTGGCACCAGAATAATGCCCACAACTGCCTCAAAATGAACATTTACATTGATAAAATCTTCCTTTTCTTCCAGTCAGGAGGTTGAAATTCATCTGTAATTTTCTGCAACACATAATATTAAGTCAATAAGTCTCAAAAACATTTTCTACAAGAGAAAACCTTTACTTACGCCTTTGACAAGCATAAACTGCATTTGCTCCAAGTTTTGCTGAGGAAGGAAAAAATAACATAATAACATTGTCTCATGTGAATGAGTGCAAGTTGCTGCGAGGCCACAAGGCTTGGAGCACACCATGACAAAAATGTATGTACAGAATAAATTATTTATTCTGTAAATAAATGATTTAACTGAGGTGTCAAAAGCTCTCAAGATGGTTATATTTGCGGATGACAAGTGTTTTCTGTCCAGGGAGAGATTTCAAGTTACTAGTCCAAAATAAAAATACATAATTGGATGCACTTAAACTATGGCTCGATGGAAACAAGTCATCACTAAATTTGGCAAAAAAAAGTTCATATTGTTTGGAAGTAGAACAAATGGTTATATGGAAATACATTTGGATTTTAAAACCATTGAAAGAGTAAATGAAAAAGGAGTTTTAATAGAAGAAAAAAATAAACAGAAAATCTCACATTAGTCACATAAAGAGAAAAATATCAAGAAGTAAATCAGTGATAAATCAGGCAAAACACTTAAATAAATGTAAATGAATATAAAGTCCCTGTAAACACTTTACTCTTATCTAGTTTTGCCATATTTCACTTACTGTGTTGAGGTGTGGGGTAATATTTATCATTCGGCACTGCAACCTCCGGTTTTGTAACAAAAGAGAGTAGTGCGCATAATACACGCTGCAGGGTTCAGGGACCACACCAACTCACTCTTTGCACAATTAAAATTGCTAAAAAGTAGTGTAATATTCAATAACAAAATGTTTTGTTCAAGGCAAAAAAGAATATGTTCCCAAAGAATATCCAAAACCTACTTACAATTATATTCTGTCTCTCTTTTTGTGTTTCTGTGCAATGTTTACAAATGTGTTATTATTGTGTGTAAATACACAGAATACACATCCATCCATCCATCTTCTTCTCTTAATCTATTTCTGGGGGTGGCAGTCAGAGCTGCAACCAGTCCACAGAGCACCAGTCCCTCACTGATCCTCCTGCAGGCGGTGAGTCCACAAGAGGATGACTGCTTTGTCAGTAACAACACAGCCTTGATCTTTCAGTGGGGGCTTCAGGCACAGTGGGTTTAAGTGTCTTGTCCATGGACACAACAACAGCAGACATCAGTGGGAGTTGATGGAGAAGCTCTTGTGGTGGATTCGAACCCATGACCTTAAGGCTCAAAGGCCAATGCTCTAACAACTCGGCGACAGTGGCTTCCAAAAATAGCTCTTGAGCGTACCGCCACCTCTCCGTGCGCTAAGAACGTACTTTTGGCGTATCGGTACTTAGTTTATGACCAGTACTTACAGTCTATGGCTGGTACGCTCATTTGCACTGTTTTAATTCTTAAGCTGCTCCACTGCTTTTTAGAGCGCCTTTCACAATGCACGCTTGCTCCTTTGTCTCACCAAGAGCAGAGACTACATTACCCATAAGTTTTACAAGGGAAAGGCATGCGTCACTTTTGCAGCTGTGCTGGGATCCTCAGTTAAAAAATGAACACTCACGGCCCGTACATAACAAAAGTGCAGTAAGTGAGAGTGGCTCTCCTCACACTGACAGAGCACAGAGATGTGGTGTTTAGGTTCCTCAATGATAGAAAAGGCGCGCATTTCGTGCGGTGTGTACGGGCTGTTACAGAGGTGACGCCCCATAAGCCAGAATGAGAAGCAAATGAAAGCAGCACTTGTACCGCGGTCAAACTCTCAACATAAAAAAAATACTTTTAAATCAGATCTCCCTTAAATGCAAGGACCACCCTCGGATCAGTTGAATGCACAGACGTGCAGACAGGGCTGGCACTGGGGAGAAGTGCAGCATCCACAACCTGTAAAGCCCTAAGTGCAAGGAAAGTGGAGTCCAAAACATGCTGCAGCCTTTTCTAGATTAAATAATTTTCACAGTATTTCTCATTTTTTAGTAACTCTTTCTTTGGCTCAAGCATATAAAGGAATGTATATAATGGTTGTATTCTTTTCTGTAATGTTGTCTGTTGACAGTTGTGAATAAAACTTCTTCAGGGAAAGAGAAGTGCATTCCCTTGCATAAAAAACTTGCCAACAATCCACTGGGCAAAAAGAAAATAGAGTACCGGCACTTCTTTTGGGCCACTTAAAGCACTGCCGGCCATGAGATCATTCATGATTAATTCCATTTCAAAAGTATGATTAATCAGATTAAGATTTGGAATGTTTACATCCGGCAACAGAGGGGACCTTAAAGTTTTTTCTGTTCACAAGACACACATATATTACTACCTTATGGAGTTCAGAGAGCTCCTGATGCCTGATGAGGGCTTCCTTGCTTGGAAACTGTCTCCGACAAAGCAAACATGCCAATTTAGACCAGTCAGTCATACAAACTTCTCCCTGATCTTCAGATGCTCCTTCATCCTTGTCAGCATCTCCATTGTAGACTGCCACTAGACCCAACTGTAGAATGGGTGAACTCTTAAACAAAACAAGTAAATAACAAAAAGAAACACAAATAATGCGCATTATGTTTGTGGACAAGTCCTCACCATAGTTGTTTGTCTCAGTTGGTCAAAATTAATCTGAGGACGTTCTAACAGTGCTCCCTACAGACATAATAGAAAATTGTTGTTTTAATTGCAGAATCTCAAAAAAAAATTAAAACAAGTCCACAGTTCTGCACATACCTTTTTCTCCAGAACAGCATAACCGGCATCAGCGCTGGCAGATTCCCTTAAGTCCTCTGAACGGCCTCTCGTCTGCCCCAGGCCCAACACTGACCCACCAGAAGAAGAGCGCATGTTCTCTTTATGTTTATTTAAACTTTTGGCCCAGCGTTCCATATCTTTGGCAATCTAAACAAATTTCGTAAAAAGGTTTATCAAGTGAGTGTGAGTGTGTGTGTGTGTGTGTGTGTGTCACTTTTTTGCATATCTTGATCAATGAAAATCATGAGTGCATTGAGTACCTGTTGTGCTGTTTTGCCTTTTTCTTTTTCCTTTTTGTCCTTTGATACCATGCCAACATTATCAATATTTGACTGGCTTTCCGCAGGAATATACTTGTGCTTTTCTCCATCCCAGTACATATAATGCTGAGTGTGAGGATTGTAGTAGTACTAAACAAGGAACGAAAAAAGTGTCAATACAATACATCTGATTTTGGAAACAATATTGTGGTGTTACTTGGGAGTTTGGATCATAGTATAATCCTGTGAGAGGGTCGTAATAGTATCCCGAGCTCTCATCATACTGGTAAGTCGACATGTTTGGGACAGCTGTTTTGGAATACATTGATGATGATCAAGGCTATGATCATAATTGTAATAGATATTTGTTACATATATAATCGAAAAATGACTTCACAGTGAGTAATGTAATCTTTAGTTAAATTATACAGAAAGTTTGAGTGTTCAAAAAGGTGGCCTTACGATACTGTTGAAGCTCATGTTCAGTTCCTGGAATGGCAGGTTGAACTGGAACAGTTGTACCCATAAGTTCATCCTGTAAACAATATAACATTTATTAATTCACACGTTCTAAAAAACGCAGTACAGCTTGTCTCATTCATACCTGAATGCTTGGTGCAGTGGCTGCTGAGGTGGAGATGGTCTGTGTGTGAATCAAAGGCTGAGGAATAGCTCCCTCTGGTGTCATAGCACCTAAATATACAAAAAAGTCCAATTGAGCTTCTCTGGGTAAACCCTACAACATCCTCAAAGTCTCAGAGTCTCATAAAGGGGCACGAGCTGGGCTACTTTCGTTACTTTCATTAGCTTAAATCTACATACTACAACCAGGAAATGCTGCTTCTTTTTGCGTGCATATCCAGAAGGTTTATTTCTGAAGATTTTTTTTTCAGTCTCACCTTCTCCGGTTTCTGGGATCTGCTCTATACGTTAACTTACTGATAAAAACAAAACTAAAGTTTTTTAAGTATATTTATCATATACTGCCTTACCAATTGTGGGCTCTCTGTGTGCTTCGGTGGACACATCTCCAACCCCCGTAGCGTTAATGGACCCAGGGAATGTTTCATGCGTATAAGTCACAGGTGCAGCTTGTTGAAACACCACTCCACTGGAATTGGCTCCCAGAGCATTCTGAAATAATTTCATACAAACTGATTAAGTGAACAGTTTAAATTGGAAAAGTGTCTATTCATTTATGCATACTTGTGTCACAGCCCACTGAGCTGCAGCTATAGCTGTACTGGCCACAGTTGCAGAACTCACTTTTCCGCTCTCCGTTAAAAAAACATCACTACAAAATATAAATAAAACTAATAAATGACATTAAAATCTCAAAAAGTACATTTGTACAAGCATTGTGTAGCATTTGACCCAACCTTGATCTCAAGGTATAGTTTTTGGAAGGAGTGCCAATCAGGGAATGGTATCTTGAAGCAGTAATCTGGCTCCAGATTTTTTCAACTACCGAGTAACTAAAGAGCTGATCAGGAGCGTGCTGGCACTATTCACTAGCCGAAGCCAAATCAAGAGACAGAAGGCTTCTGATTGGTCGGGTGTTATCAAGATTCAAGATCCAAGATCTTAAAATACCAGGATTAGGCAGAGCGTTGAACCATGGATTTTTAAAATCTAAATTGTGAGTGCGACCCGAAGGTGAGTGAATGGAGCCAAAGCCAGTAGGAGCAAAGCTTCACTAACACCCTGTTAGGTTTCATTATAGGTGCAGTAAAGGATTTTGTTAGCTTAGCAGTAGCATCCGAAAAAAACACTCCCTCTGCCCTCAACCAAACCCAACTCCCAGCACACATGAACGCTGTTTGTGTAATAAAGTAGTCTGTGCTTTGAATGTGAAAGCATTACACTAAATTAGGGCTCTGGTCTGTGAGCGATTTTCTGGCCATACTTGACAAGTGCTTGCTTCCCCTAACAAACTAGCAATTAGCAAAACTAGCTTTACATAGCCCTGGCTGCGTCAACTTCTACGCCTCTGATGTTCTCTTCTTTGCCACAACAGGGTGAGTGGTGGCAAACGTGAAATTGGCACTTTGGGGGTTTTTGGTTCAGCCACTGTAGGTGTTTCAGAAAATCAGACAAGTGCGCACTGGCGAAAAGCAGGAGGGGGAGGGAGGATGACGTGTCCCATTGGTTCGAGGGGGGTGAGCGCATCGCATTGGTTTATTTCTATCGGTTTGCTCCAAAATATTTATGATATAATTTTTGAGGTTACAAGCATCTGGTCATGTCCATTCCTATTTGAAAACACATGTTAACTTGACTACCTTTAGGGTTTAGGGACGTTTCTCCACTGTATATAAAAATTGCGCCTGGATAAATTAATGTCTGCATCTTTAAGCTCGAAGGTGATATGAATTCTATGGCGAGGACACACCTTCAAATGTGAACTCCCTTCAACCTATCCCTGTATGTTTTAGATGGATTATATAGTGGCTCTTCTATAACAAGATGTGTGTATATTATTTAGCCGACCTTTATTGAACCTGGATAAAAAAATAAAATAAAAACTCTCCTCGTTCATTTAATTCAAAATTATTATTGATTCAGTAGTAAAACTTTACACTAGAGATCACATAACAATATTAAGCATGTAGTACAAACAAACACAATCTCCACAATTTCTCAGGAAATGTGCATTGATAAATGTAAAATAATGGAATATATTTTTACCGTTTCGATCCTTTGGCAAACTCAACCATAATAGCCTTGCCGTCAATAGAAAGCGATGGAAGCTGAGTCTGTAAAATCTGCAGTAGCTGTGACGCCTCCTTTAAACAACAAGTTTTTTTTCACTTAATTCAGTATAAGTGAAAACTGAATTACACAATATAAACCTTCCGTACCACAATCGTTGACAGCTGCAGGAAGGCAAAACCTCTGTTGAGATTAGTGTGCTTATCCTTGATCAACCGTACATTAGAGGGAAGAAGAGTTGCAAAAGGAGATAAAGCTAACAAGATAGCATCAACTGAAGTATGTAGTCCAACGTTTCTAAGGATAAGAGCTGAAGACACACCACAGGATGTTTAAGGAACTTCCCACAATCAAATAAGAACACAAGAAAACGTTATACTTACTGTCATTGGCAACATCAGTTTGTGGTTGTGCAGATTGTCCGGGGGCCACACAGAGCCCTGATGTCGAGTAATGCACAGGTGAAGGCAACAATCCTTGGATTTGATTATTGTTTGGTCCAACAACCATGTCCTGCGTTAAATGGGGAAGCTTCAGCTCTGCCTCTGCAACATTATGACCCACAATTATTTCAAAGGATCCAAACTAAATATAAAACTGAGACAATTATTAAACACCTGCTTTATTTGTGCAACATTTAAAGCATTTTGCCCTCCGTTTAAAGTTCTGCACTCCACACTATCCAAAACAATCAAAACAAATACTAATGTCAATACCTAAAAACACATATTTGAAAAATGAAACATCACACAATAGAAAAGACCTTGTTGCAAAGCCAGTCTTCTCTTGCTCGTGGCTTTGGATCACTATAGTGCATAGACACTCTCTGGCCCAGTAAGGACAGCACTCCCTGCAAAAAAACAAAGACACACACGAAACACATACAATTTACTATGCGTTTCAAATTCACTGAGAAGGCAAGAGAGACCTCATCTCAGAAAAGATGACAAAGTGGGAGAAAAGGAAGAGAGAATGGTTGGTGAGAGTTGAGCAGAAAAAAAGAGAACAGAACTTCTTCGTTCACCTTCCTTCGCAGTGAAATGTATTTATTGTAAAACCTTCTTAACTTATGCGAGGTGACACCTTTTGGAAAGCACCAAATGTTCATAAATTCCTAGAAAAAAAGATTTGGTATTGAGGATCAAATATTGAGGACCATAAAGAGGTACATTGAGCTATAAGCAGCGCCTTAGCTCCTCAGGTTGCCAGGGGAGGAAAATCATTTAAAACAAACTGTTCCAAAAGTTGCCATGAATATAGTTTGTCTCTCAACTTTAATGAGGTGTCATTATACTACTGCGAAACTGAAGTCATTTATTTGAAAGTTGATCTTTATTTAACAGCTAGGTTGTGCTACCTACCTCACTTTTCAGATCAGTGTTTTGCCTTGGCGAATACCAATGTAGTTTAGGGATACTATATGTAAGTGTCCGAGTATGAGTGTGACCTGGTTGGTCTCCATCCAGCTGGTGGCCTCCTGTATGAGATTAAACTCGACGAAGGCGAATCCTCGGCTCTGACCTGGACACCGCCCAGCGCCATGGTCACCAAATGACAACAACATAACAACAACGCAGTGCAGTTAGTGCCTCTGGTAAAGTCTCAATTATGACCCTGCCCGTCTATCAAACATTGCATTCCATTCTCAACTACTTTTATGAATGTGAAATCATCACTATCCAAGAAGAGACTAAGAATGCAATGCCATGAAATTCAACAGGGTCATGGAAATGGGGAGAAACACAAACCACTTCGCTCCAGTTTGTGTATGGGGCCCAGTAACAATCTTTTTAGGTTTTTGCATGAAGCAACTGATGGGTTTATTTTTCAAAAAATGTTCAGCATGTGCATTTGTTTTATTCATAAAGCACTCGTAATAACACATGAGAAGGAGGAAACTCAAGGTGCTGCCGGTAAAACTGCATTATGTTAAAAAGGAATGGAGACAAGTAGTCAAGTCATGAAGGACTGTATGTCAGGAGCAATTGATTATAACTTAAAAAAATCTGGTCTAAGATGTAAGTAGACAAACATATACAATACACTATTGGATGATTGATTCATGGATGGAAAGAAAAAGGGGGTTGGAGTCTCACCTGATGTCTTTCTCATGAGGCGGATGTCTTTTGGCTGAATTCCCTGTTGCTGCAGCTGGGCTAGAATCTATGAACACAAAAAATATTGATATGCAACATTAGTCAATCTGAAAAGCTGATACTGAAATATATACAATGGGTCAATGAAGTGAGAGCAGAGTGTGTGAACACATTTGTACAAAAAGTGAACAAGAAAGTGTGTGAAATCATAATGAGGCAAAGACCCCATCAACCACAATAAAGGCGCTGTCTTGATTGCTTACACATGGGACTCTCTCCAGAGAACACCAGGCTACATGAAGAATGGTCAGATGCCACAAAATGACATCCAACTATTCTTCTTGTAGCCTGTAAATTACAACTACAATTTACAATGAAACAATAATAAATGAATAAAACACTGTATATTCATAAATACAGTAGCTAAGTACACTCAGGGTGTTTGGTAAAGAGAATCAACATTACCTCTACAGTGGTAACATCAAATGGGAGCATGCGAAGCATTATGATGTGGCTTGGTTTTTCGTCGCTGTCATGCTCTGTGCAACAGTCCTGATCCCTCAATTCTTCCAAGGAAGTGCAAAACTCATCTACTGCACCTAGAATGCTCTGCAGACAGATATAATAAAATTAGTTCAATTGTGAATTCCTTAAAATCTGTGTGCAGTAAAAGTCAGGTTCAAGTCACGTCGCAGGTCACAAGTCTCAAGTCACAAGTCTCAAGTCTCAACTTAAGTAAAGGTAAAGCTGCACTTTGTTAATCCCCGTAGGAGCAATTCATCCTCAGCATTTGACCCATCCTGATGCCACTATGGCCGGAGGAGCAGTGGTCGTTGTAGTGCAGCGCCCGGGAACCCATCTCCAGATGATGATGCTCGGCTTGGTCAGGACTACCAGACTATAGTACATGTTTTTTTGGGGGAAACCGGAGCACCCAGAGCAAACATACACAGGCAAACTTCACTCAGAAAGACCCTGTTCCAACCAGGATTTGAACCCAGGACCACTCAGCCACTGTGGAGTCTCTATTGTGACTGGCTGACAAAAACAGTCTACAACTGGCTTTAATATATGACAAGTAGGCTTTGTCTAACCTTTCTTTTGTCATCTCTGACAGAGATCCAGTCACCAGCACACTGCTTTGCTGCAGGATAAAGCATCCGTTTTGTTGTATGGTTGAAAAGTTCATTGTCATCATTGTCCATGTTAGGATTTTGTGAAGTTTCTACATCTTGCTTTGATGAAATGCTTAGGTCTGGCTGAAATTCTCCGAACTCCTGTAAATACAGCATTGTCAGACGTTGCACATCGCCTTTCCACAATAGCCTTCAAAGCTCAAAGGTCTGACCTCCACGTCCCCTGGTATCTGGCCCATGCAGTCGTGCAGGTCTCGGAGGTTGTGAACTTCAGGTACGTGACCATAGCGCCCTGCTCGATCACCACGCCCTCCTCTGGAGATAGACCGGGGTTAATGGCAAGGACCCCTTTTATTTTCAATAGAATTAAGCTTGACATACCTTCGCTCAGAGGCCGTTGTGGACCGTTTAGGAGAGTCCTGTGTCTGCGCCATTACAGTCAATATAATTACTCTGTAACAACAGAGCATTCGATATGCCACATGTATGTTATAATACCTTGGAAATAATACTTGAAACATGTTCAAGCACATAACAGTGTTAATAAGACAACATAACCACATATTCATTCAACTTTGTAATCACACTCAAATAGCAGTGTTAGCAGATAAGCTAAACAGCACAGGGCCAACCCGCATAAGCGATGGATACTTCAATGTGCTAATCTCTTATTTATCTTTCCTGTCCGACGTTATTCAAGTAGAGACCTTGCACTTACCACTCGTAGATTTCGCACACACATACTGGCCCACGGATCTGTCTTCATCAGGCAGAAGTAACATGTCTTTTTCCAGTCAAGAGTAATGCCGCTTTCAAGTGATCTCGGAAACTGGAGTTCTTTCTTCCGACTTCCCAAAGTCAGAGGTTCCATGAGGCAGCAGGTGACACACACGGACAGTCTGTGGCATGTACAGCACCGATAAGTACATAAATATCTAGAAATGTAACTAGACTTTTATTATTAATAGAAAGGCACCGAAACCATTACTGCTGCGATATGAGTAATGAATGAGCACAGGTTTAAAATTATATATAAAATGCGTATACAATCTTGAATTTTCTATATTTTTCTAAAGCTCATTGATTCATGAAACTTATCATAGTATGTATATTTAGCAATGTAAAGCTTGATTAGCTTTAGCGGTGAGTCTTGAAACTGAGTATTGAATTTTACAGAAAGTCCACTGGCTCTTGGCATTTTCTTGTTACTAGACCCATAGACTTTATAGAAGTGGGACTTCTATAAAGGCCATCTAAATGGTTTCTTTGTGACCGTACCTCAGTGGGATTTTCCATTCAAGAGCACTATATGAAAGTACTCTCCTTTACCAGGAGCCAGGGATATTTTATTGTTCTGAATAACACAAAAATGTTTCAACTGAATAGATAATATATATTCAATACCTCGTAAAAAAAATGTCATACACAAAACCACACATCACTTTCACTCAAAGCTTGAAGTTTAATTAACAAATGTTTAATAAGCTATTAAGGTTACATGTAATCATTTAGAAGACACAAAATGATCTTAACAGCAGGATTAGTTAAAATGATTAAAAAAATACTAAGATAACAAACATCAACACAATTACGAAAGGGGCAATAGAAAGTACAATAAAGGGCAGACTTTAAACACATGAATATGTCCTTACAAGGCTTTGTAGGACATTCCTTATTGAATAAGATATGCCTAACAAAAGGAATATTTATCTCATCAACTACATTACTTATGGTCTTACACATTTACACAACCCATCACTTGTAAGTTCAAAAGGTCCTCCAAACTCATTAAACAGTATTGTGCCTCTGGCCTTTTGTAAAATGCATGTTCATTGCTGAGTAAACTGTAAAGACAGTTGCGACCTCAGAGGCGATTTGAGCAACTTTGGGATGGTCACAGATTGTACCAAAGGCTTTCCATGCATTGGGAACATGGAAAATGTGTTAATACACGCAATATATCAACTCACATTCACTGCATGCTGACCTGCACCAGAGAAACTATCATACAACACCCACTCGCCTAGTATGTCATGATTTTAAAAAATGGGAACAAACCCCTGATACTACCCCTGTACTGCGCCTGAGTCAGAACATTGGACCCGTAGGAGCCACGCTAATTACAAATAGAAATTGCTCATGTCATTTTCATAGAGACAGAAGTAGGGAAAACACTTGTATTCATGAGTCTCTAATGTTAACTTTCTGACACTGCACTCAAGGCACTACATATAGGCGACATTGTGTAAGATTCACTTACTAAACCCCTTGTTTAATATTGTTTACGTCTCCAAATATTGGCCTGGCGAGAACCATTTCCCATCATGGCACACATGAACCCTTGTTTGTATCAACTTATAATCACCCGCTACCAACTTGTCTCAGAAACAGAGATCCACAAGTTTTGGTAGAGGCAAATTGGCACACATCTACTTTTATGTACATGCTCATTAAATCGTTTAACACCTGCTTGAACATTCTGAGGTTAACAGGGTGATGAGAGATTGGACAGGGTTTTCCTCAATACATCATTAACTTTAGGTTGTCTGCGTGTTTGTGCTTGAGAGCAGTCCCATCTCCTCTTTATAACAGATTGCAGCCATTCTTCTTGTTGCGTTTCTTAGACACAAGAGCTGCTCTAGTCGCCAATTCAAAGACTTCCCTGACACCTTCTTTGGTTTTGGCAGAACATTCTTGATAACCATATGCAGCGATGCGAGTGGCCATCTCTCTGCCATCTTCCAGTTTAACTGGCTCCTAAAAAGTAATTGCAAAAATAAAACAAAATGTATAGTAAAAATTTGACGAATACTATAACGTATTTAAAAAAGTACCTGTTTCATTTTGGCAAGTTCTCGCCTGGTGTGTTCATCATTACGCAGATCTTTTTTGTTACCCACAAGAATAATTGGAACATTTGGACAAAAATGTTTTACTTCGGGTGTCCACTTTTCCGGAATATTTTCTGATAAATTTAAGAGTCATAGTTATTCATTGCAAATGCAAACACACATATATATGTATGTTTTGCTGGACTGGTGTGATACCTAAACTGTCAGGACTGTCAACAGAGAAGCACATCAGAATCACATCTGTATCCGGATAGGAGAGAGGTCTCAATCTGTCATAGTCCTCTTGACCAGCTGTATCCCACAGAGCTAACTCCACCTGTAAAATATTTTAGGAAGATGCATGCAAGACTTGACAGTGTTTGGGTGTGAAATACAAACACTGTTACAAATGAGAAGGTACAATAATATGTCCAGAGATGAGAATTGTTAAAAGAATCTTACCTGTTTCCCATCGACTTCGATGTCTGCCACATAGTTCTCAAACACGGTGGGAACATAGACCTCAGGGAACTGGTCTTTACTGAAAACTATAAGCAAACAGGTCTTGCCACATGCTCCATCTCCAACTATAACCAACTTCTTCCTGATGGCAGCCATCTAAAACAAAACTTATTTAGATATGTGGTAATTGTTAAAGAAAAGACAGATCATTTAATTACCAATAACTTATAAATATAACCCCAAGCACTACGGAACTGAGCCAAGAATAACAGTACGATGGACATTTGTTCATCCAGGTTATATTCGGAGTCTAAAGGGTATCGCACAGAAAAAGTAACGTTAGTGGTTTTGCCCGAGTGTACTTATTTTACATAGCGTTATAAATAGTAACAATACATTTGTAATATGTTTATTTGCCAATAGCCGAGCTGCGGTCTTCGGGGCCTGTCAAACCAGCTAGCCAGAAAGCTACTTTCGGGGAGGTTTTCTTCAGGAAACAACTTTCCTTCAACTAATTATAATTATTTATACGAGTACTCGCGCACCATATTAACACATCACGTAAAAGACGTTTTTAAACGTAATTCAAAGGTATAAGAGCAGTAAAAGTTGTTTTTCTCCATGATTACCGTCTGATATGTCCGCCGCCGCCTTTTCGCTGCTTCCTGAACGAGCCCAAGCTCCTCCCACCGCACGGACGTGTCTGCGTGCTTACGTCACTTGTACGTCCCATAGTTGTCTAGTCCTGCTTTCTCATGTTTTATTTTGTTCATTATTGCTGGGAGAGAGCAAGTCTTCTTAAAAGTCCCTTGTTGTGTTGTACTAGGGCACATAATACGGTCTATGGTACATACAGTAGACGAGAAATTCAAATGAAAAACAAAAAGCACAGGTTGCCTAGGCCAAATTCGACATACGTGAAGCTAAAACCTTTGCCAAGCTCTTCAAACATCGTCGACATTTTATTATTATCTGAAACATATTGTTACTATTACAATGCAATTTATTCTCGCCCTACATCACAACAGTATAGTCATCTCAGAGGACTTAACAAAACCATTGAAATCACCAATCAACAGTTAAGACACAAAAAAGAAAATAGAACACATGTTGATAAATGTCCATACATGTTGTAGAATGTTAAAGTGTCCAGGATCATCACCACAATCCTTTTTGTTAGACACTAACTGTCCAACAGACCATCCTGCATCGGCAAGGAAAAAACTCTGAAACCCAGTGGGAAAAAAAGTGAGAAACCTTGGGGAGATCCACATTGAGATATGGATCCGCTCCACACGGACGGACGGGCAATAGATCCAGGACCTAAGCTACAGAACGAGGACTAATGTCACGCAACGGCTGCAGAGCTCCCAGGCGGGTCGGGCAGGGCGGTCCGCAGGTGTAGGACAGGTTCAGAGATCCCGTCGTCGCACCATGAAACAGACAATGGGACAAAGGGTGAATAGCAATTAACAGACTACAGTCCAAATCCTAATGACAGATAAAGCAGGAAGGAGAGGAGAGGATAGTGCTCAAGTTACCATACTTCTCTCAGCAAACTGACTCCCTACGCAGCTTGAATGACAATCTAAGATTTTTAGCCTTTCCTGAGTCTTACCTTTTAAACATATGCAAAATTATGTGGGAAGATATTTAACAAATTGTATTATTGTAGTTCATAGGATAAATAACTAGAAAACCATTCATAGAGCACAGACCTCTGCCAAGAAGCTCCATTCCTGGATTCAATTGGTGATCTGGATCACTTCCTAAATGTACTCAATTGTCTGTTGTCAGATTTTTAAGGCTTGAACTAATGAACCAACTTAACTTTCATCAATTAATTATACTGGCTTACCATGCTTCCACCAGAGCTACATGAAGGACTACTACATGTGTTGTTCTATCTCACTAGCAAATAGATTGGTGCAGAATACTCATAGATGATGTGACTGAGAGAAACAACACAACACAAAATAACAAATATTGGGATTTGTGGTTATCAAAAAAAGTCAATACCTTTTCAACCTACAAAAAATAAAACAGACTGACGATTTCAAGCATATTTATTATAGACCAAAATAAAACATGTTGTAATAGACAAGTAGGTTATTAAGAAAAAATATAAATCTAACATTTGTTGAAGTTCATGATTGACATGTAGGCAATAAAAGAGGTCAAAACAATTAAGATCTCAGCTGAAGACTTTGAAAGCGCATCTCTCCTCTACCGACTCCTTTTATCAGCCACACTACTTTCAGCTCAGTTGAGGTCAATGATCACTTCTCAGACTCAGGAAATACGGCAAGGGTATTTGGGCTTGTTTATATGGTCATAGGAGAACAGTGGCTCTGATTGGCTGCTTTCCTCAGCCAGTCATTTTTTCTATTTCCTGAGAGCAGTGGTACAATTGCTGCGCTTGTAGAACAACACATAGGCTTGATTCGTCTGCAGCTGGTTTTCCGACACTTGAGTAATACTGAAATTGGGTTGAGAAGGATAATACAATAATCATTTGTGAGATCAATTTACAGATTTTCTTCTTCTTTTGAAATGGAAAGCTTACCTAGAATCATTGTATAAGCACCACCCATTTTCGTCTAAACAACATGCTGTGTAGTGACCCATGTTTACTGTGCCAGAATGATTACAGATTGCATATAAATTATATAGCATTGGACCTTAAAAAAGAAAGAAAAAGGAGTTTAGTCATCCGATCAAAAGTACAGATTAAATCTGTACTTTAGAACATGAGAACTAAAGTGCATGAATCACCAGAATCAACAGGTCCATAAGGTCCTAGATCGAGGTTTGTGAGGGGGAAAGAAACTTGCACTGTGCTTTTACTGATGGCCCATCGTGATGTTGTGAAACGATTCAAATCTGATCCAGTGGGTTAAGTACAATAATATACAGTATTTGAACTTAATGCACACATATGAGGCACTGATTCAATTACATAAAGGATATGAAGTACAATGACCTGGGGAAATCGTTGAACAGACAACCGTTTTGTACTTTCTGTGCGTCTATTGCATCTTTCACACATCTGGAAAAAATATATACTTCAAGGCTCATCTTAGTGAAACAAAGTATTTTATTGTATTTCCATCATATGTTAATTAACTTACAGGGGAATTGTCTTTATCCAACCTTTCCTCTTGAGAGAAGAGATCCAGACACTCCTTGAGTGTCACCTCCCCTCCGGAGCTTCTCTTGGGAATGGGCAGAGACAAGTCACAGAAGACGTCAAATGTGTTGGAGTAGTGGGAACAAACAGAGCAGTGCAGGGAGCTGCGCAACTGTCCTGCAAAAAGGTCTGAACATACGCATGGAATCTATTAACTGGAGTTACTTCCACAATATGAAATGACAACACAAGCCAACAGTAAATTGAAAGATCTCGAATCGTTATGCATCAGGCCAGAATAAGCACATGACCAGTATGAAGGACGTTCACACAGGCCTTCTGATATGACATTGACTCAATTCTGCAATATTTTTATCTCACCAACTATCCTGCTGTCATCCCGTTCCAAGTGTCTTTTCCACATGGATGTTGCCTCTTCAGAGAGCCTGCGAAGGAGATATGAGTATGGAAACGATCTACACAAAAGTGCACAAACTTCAAAGTTTTTCCACATGTACCTGAATCTGGCAAATTTTTGCTCTGGCTCTTTAACGCGTTGAACATATGGCCTGCGATTTATTTCTGTGTGCAGCTTATCCAAAAGAAATCTGAGAAACTCCTGGGCATCTTGTTGACTGAATACAATATATTGAAAATAAGAAACACGCACAAAGGACGTGCACTAAATTAAATGTATTTACCTGTATCCACTGAAGTAAGGCACTGCTTCTTTAAAAACATTATAAAACTGTTTTGGATTAACCGCCCTGTCGTCACCGTTTACATCCCAAAGACTAGAGAGGACCTTAGTGAAAGCTAGAAGATAGAGCAAATGATAAGAGGAAGATCAATTAGTGAGGATAATATTGCATCTGTTAAATACCTTCCAATAGTTTAGCATCCTCTTTGTTAAACTTCTCATGCCTGTAGGACGTGAGGAGGCAATAGTCCCTTAGTCCATGTGTGTGAGAAAGACACTGGACAATTGCATTCAAAAAGCACTATTTAAACAAACAAATTAGTAAAAATGAGATCAACATTGTGTCCGTTGATTTCATGCTCACCGTATTTCCAATATTTCTCAAACCAACTCTGCCACTTCCCAAAGTGAGTGGTTGTTTCTGTAAAAAACAAACATGTGATCAATAATTTTACAGTAATATATTGTTTGTTTTTTTGAAAAAATATGCGAACACTAAATATAATTTCTTAAAATTGAGTATTTCCACATTTTCAATGTTTGTATAAATTAGTCCCTCCTTCTCCGTATATGTAGTGGTGCTATGCCAGATTTAGCATCTTATGTCATTAACATGGACGGGGAGGCTAAAAAGAGGTCAGACCCAAGCACTCATCCTATTAGAAACCAAGAGTGCTGACATGAGCTGAAACACGTGTGAAGTCCTCCACTCAAACAAATATTTCACACACACAAAACACAAACACTCTGACATTTTACCTCAGTGTCAGCCACAAGTAATAGTCCCATAAGCGACGTATACAGAACCGACTGAGATATATCTGCTGATTCTTGTCGTATTCCTTTCTGAGATACCAAAGTCCGACACAAAGCCTCACAAGTAGGCTCTACATTGACTCCATTTGCTCCAGGCATTCTCTACCAATCTTTGGCACACCGATATAACATAATAGTTATAGCCTTGATGGTGCTTTGTAACTTATTTGGGTCCAAGATGTCCAAGATGATGAGGATGCAGTGTAGATTCTGCTGGAAAGTGCCTTCCTCTGTTGTTGATTAAACACCTTTGGGGGAACAACAACACAAGAGAAGTTCATCACGATTGTCTTTAGTTCACATGTTATACTTGACTGTCTACTAATAACTATCCTTAAACATGAACTTTACAAGGTTACTTGGATCTAGTCATGCAGTTGTTTGTTCTCAAACTATATTAAAAACAGAATAGTATGAATGCAAAATCCCAATTGAGAGGTTTGCATTTGATATACCTTTAAACAACCTGCATGTTACAATTTGCATATACTCTCCAGCTCCTCAGTAATGTTTTTTAAACTATGCAAGTAAAAAAATCCTAGAATTTAGATTTAGCAAAGAATAATGCGGACTCACCTGATCATTTGGTCACTCTATCTGTGAACAAACTGTCCCAAGCGGAATGCTCCCATCACCTGCTGAGCTGTTAAAAATGCATAAGGGGCAGTGTACGGTTTCAGAGTGTTCTCCTGTGGGACGCCTCTGAAAGTCTACCTCTGCTGTGTCCTGTCACCGGTGTCAGGACAGTACAGGCAAAGACAAGGGGAGAGAGAAAGGGAGGGGAGGGTAATCATCTCTAATCTTTTCTCTGTGGAGAGGATCTATACTTAGGCTCGCCTTCGAGAGCTTTCCCACAAACGCCTCACTCTAAAGTTTACATTTGAATTATTTATTATAAAAATATACAAAACTATAACAATGGTACAAAAAAAGACAATGGCATTATTCATTCAGTCCACACATGGTGGTGGCAAACAACAAATGTACCCACATCTGCCCTGGGACAGATATACAGAACCCAGGCAACCAATATGTGCCATTGACCTCTCCGACTACCACTAACCATTCACTCACACTAGACAATGTGGGTGAAGTGTCTTTCCTAGGGACACAACAGGTTCACACTTCAGCCGCAGTCGTCCAACGTCCAATGTCTTTTGCTGGGAACATTGGTCTCCCATCACAGTAATAACCAATACCTACCCTGTTTACCTGAGTCACCGACCATATGACCCACTATATGAGCTGCTCACAGAGACGTTTGAGGAACAAAACAAAAAAAACATTTCAGACTAACACGGCCTCCCAACCAGATTCAAACAATTTAAATGTTACATTTGTTGTGGCTCTTTTTAACTTTTTCAGCCGTAAAACTGCAAGCATAAATTAATTAAACTTAAACTGGCGAGATCAGGCTTTCACATGCAGGTAGCACCACTCACACGCTGGTACAAATAATAATTTCCGGCTTGAATTAAGACAGCTTCTAAACACAGTGGCAGTTTCTGTTTGATATTGGACCAGGTAATTTGAACAATCTTTGACCAAAAAATATGAATTTTTAGTTTGTTTACATTTTTGTTTTGGGCTTATATTGAGTGGGTCCGATACAAGTCTGTGTGTGGATACAAATAAAGTAAACCTGAGCCTGAAATGTAAACTTTATGTTTTTCTAACAGTCTGTAAAATATGATGTCCTTCAATATGAGGATGATGTCCAAATACAAAAAACCTATCCACTGAGCGTCTGGACATCCATCTCAGAGTCTGAAGTGAGGCTCAGGTCAGCTATGTGACAGAGGGTGGGATCTGCGTAGGAGGGGAACTGTGATTGGCCGGCGTGGGCATTCCTGTCTCGTGATTGGACCATGGCCTGACGCAGACAGGTGATCCACTGCTGTTTGCTGAAAGAGTCGTTGGCTTGCAGGCTATAGGAGTTTGCTTTAGAGCGCCCCCTGCTGCTCACGCGGAAACAGTTTTTCACTATAACAAAAACATAGAAACATGCATTTTTAACAAACATTCCTTTCGTGGAGAATAGATAAACAATACAAATATTGGACTGTTATTGCTATTGTTTAAAGAAGTTAAACTATCTTTGGCAACGCTCTGGGGATCCCAGATTGGAAATAATTTATTTGGTGAAATACGTACAGTAAGTAGTGTTTTATGTGATATGCAGATGGTGTACATTAAATAAGCACATATCAATGAATGCTCAGAGTGATGTGCACCTTTATCGTTTCCCCCTGTGAAGGCTCCTCGAAAGGCTCCACCCCCTCCTGCCTCTCCATCAGGAATCTCCTCCAGGTTCAGTAAGTTGTTGGGCAGAGGCTGTCTGTAAATGCTGAAAGTCTGTCCGCCATCTTTATCTTCCCCAGGCCTTGTCAGCACGAGCGCCAGCTCAAACAGGAATACATGTAATCGCTAAAAGAGCATAAATAAAAAATGTTTTCATCAAATGTATTGTGTATACAATAATGTAAATAACATTACATTGTATATTATAATATACTCATTCCTTCTGTAGGTAATGTCTTACTGTTTGCTTGGCATGCTCTGGAGAAGTATTACTATACAGGAAACCAGAAGTTTATAAACACTATGTAAAAGGAAACATGCTTTTTTTTCACACTTTTTTTTTTTTTTTTATATTACTCACTTTGTAGAAGGTAATAAATCATTCAAAATAATTAAATCTCTCAATATTGTAGCATTGAGGCAAAATAACTCACTTAAAACAGGTAAGAAAAGTTGAAATGTTTAAAAAAAACTTATGCTAATATCCTGATTGGGTCTATCTATTCAAAATAGCCCTTTGAAGAGTTACCTGTCCCTTGTTGTTCTTCAGCTCTCCATGGCAGTACAGGAAGCGTGACTGTTGGATTTCAGGTAACCTCTGGCCCTCTTCGAGATAGTTCAATCCCCTTCTGTAAAACTGACACTCCGCCTCGCCAGTCTTTTTATTCACCTCCGCCACAATGCTTTGGATCATCTCCAACTAGACCAAAATAACCATCTTTAGTTACGTTTTTCCTGTTTGTGTGCAGCACTTTTGTAAAGACTTTAAAGTGCTCTATAAATGAACTTGGCAAGTTATCACATTAGATGTACCCACAGCATCAGGCAGCGAGTCCTCATCGGGGTGTTCTGAGGGGGTGCACTTCTGAATCTCCTTTAACAGCAGAGGGTATTTGACCAATCGGCTCCGGGGCAGATCCAGGAAGTTCCAGAGGTCCAGTTTTCGGCTGAACGAGGACTCTTGGCACAGCCGCAAGAAGTGCTCCACTCTCTTCTCAGTCTTTTTCTGGTCCAACAAGGCTTTAGCTCCGACCTGGTTACAGCAATAAGTTACATAGGCCTCCAGACAGGGGAACTGCATAAAGAAAGGAGGTGTTTATTTGTTGATGTTAAAATATGTATATAATGTATGGTTGTGGAGAAATACCCAATATAAAAGCGTAGGACCGATTTCTCCAACAGTCTTCTCTGATCCCCTCAGCCGTTCTAGTCGCGACAACAGATCTGACAACAGAAAAGTACCATCAACAATACTTGGGACAATTCTGACTAGGTAAACAAGCTATGCAATCTATATATTTTGTATGCTGTTTAGAGAAGAATTGTTTCTATTTATGATGTTTATGATGTCATGTTTCAGTCTTCAAACACTACTTATCCAGTTGCATGCGTTTGTTGTCTTGGTAGGGTCTTTGTATAAACCAAAAGCCAGAAAAGAGCCTCTACAGTTGATTTCCTTCATCGATATACTGTATATGGTCCCAATTTGGTCTTGCATGTTTTATTTTTACCACATAAAACGTTTTAAGCAATATGAACATCAGTAAACATAAAAAAAATATATTGTGCTGACATCAGTTTGTCAGATTGATAATAATTCTAACGGTCTGCGTGCAGCAATATTTCATGCCCTTTTTAAAAGCCATATTTTTGTCAGAGCTTTCAATTCAATTAAATTCAATTTATGATTATAATAATTCAAAACAGCAGTCGTCTCGGAGGACTTTGGAAAGTAGTTCATTCGCCAACAACAGATCAGAGAATCAGAAAATGCAATAAAAAAAAACATAGGAGCCATTGGTCCATAGTGAGCGGGATGACCAATGTTCATAAATGTTAAAATGCCCGTAAATGTCCTCCTGCATCTGCAAGGAACACCCCCAAAAGCATAGGATGAACCAAGGCAACGAAAAATGTCAGATAAACACGTCTTTGACCATATAGTGAAGTGTGTTTTCTGCTACAATGACTAATAAAATTGCCATATTTCTTTATCCAATCAGTCTTAAATAAATGAATTCAATTAAATAAGTCTCTCTGTACCTTCATGCAGAGGGATGAGAGAGTCCAGAGTCCCAAAGATTTGTCCTAATTCACTCTCTGTCAAAATGTCCAGTTTCAGCATGGGCTCATAGTACACCTGGAAATCAGTGCCAAAACACAAAACATGTAAAATGAATTTGAAGAAACACATCTGATTACTTTTAAAGATATTTTGTATATAAAAAGACCTTTTTGACGAGGCTCAGATCCTCAATGAGCTGCCTTTCTCCTTGTGTTAGCTCATAGATCACCTGAGAGCAGAGAAAAGAAAGTTTTAAGCAGGCCCGAAGTGCACAATGTCATCCAGCCAACTTTCGCTTCGGCAATGCAGCCATGCCATACCTCTTTGTCTAGCTTTGTTCTGAGCTTTCCAAAGAGCTCAGAATATACAGTACTGACAAGTGTTTTTCATTGTGCCACCACTTTCCATTGATGGCGCTAATGTGGCTGGTGATATGGTCATTCATCATTCAGCCACCTTCAGCTCCATCATAGTTAATGTCTGCCCTTGGACAAGCGTGGTGAAGTGGCCCTCTTACTAACAGGTTTGGACATGCCGGGTTTAAAGGAACACACACACAGACAAACACACAGACACGCGGCGAAGCATGCGCCCTGACTGACAGCTGACAGTACCAGTGAGGAAATGCCATCTTACATCCTCTTTCATAATTGGTAGCACAGAGCTGAACAATATAAGAGGCCATTTTAAGGACACGCACTCCTAAACTAAAAAAAATAGGGGCTTTAAAATGTCAATGTGTCAATGATTCTATCCAAGCAAAACTGAGTTTTTCAGACAAAATTAACCAAAACAGAATTTTAAAACCTAAATACAAAAATAAAATAAAAAATTTGCTCAAAAGTACACCAGTATAGTAAGTAAGTAATATTTATTATTATAGCACATTTTACAAACTAAGGTCCCCCCAAAGCACTTTACAATGTTCAGTGATATACACACAATGATATACACGCCCCTTTAACTGGCCGAGCCTCATAAAATAAACATTTCTATATTGTAACCCTTTTTATAAATAGAGCCACAGAGGCAATAGTTGAGCGATAACTTTCCACAAACATCAAGAAAACATTCGACATCCTGGCTAAACTTTTTAAACGAAAAATGTATGTCACAATATCTCAATGAGGCCCTGGATCTACATACACATACATTTGTGTGTTTCTCAAATGTGTGTAACTCAAGCGGTTCATAGATTGAATTTGTCGATATGTGGGCCCACACACATTTCTTTGAGACAAATCCACTACCATAATATTTGGACCTCCCTAGCTAAAATATAGAATTACCCAATTATTTTCATACAGTTTTCTCTCATTCTAGTGTCTCTAGTTTAGCCCTATTGTAAATGTGTGATGGTACGCTAAAAGCCAAATGTCAATCAATAACATTTTATTTATAAACCGCTTTTCATACAAATATGTGAGTGGTACTGTACATCCAGCCAGGATGACTTTTGTTATGTCCTGTTAAGTCTGATCCCAGAAGTCATTCAGAAGAAGGACCAGTGGAAAGCAGGAAACCATCATCCCCAGAACCAACAAACTCTCTCAACTAATTTTATGATGGCAACAATTCCATGCTATTGAAGAAGTTGTTGGGATTACGTACTTCTTGGCGTTTGATCTCTTTGGCGGTTAGGTCATGACTTTCCACAGTGTCGCTCCAACACTGACTGCTGCGTCTCCGTGGAAACGATGAAGCCTTGGACCGAGACCTTAGAGGAGCAGGAGGCAAAGGTCGAGCCTCAGTGCGAAAACTGATCGACCTCTGACAAAAGCAGGGTTGAATTACAAGTGGTAACATGTAACAGTTAATGGTTATAACTATGATGACTAGTTTACAATTCTGTAAAAGGAAGTTGTGTATACCGATATAGACTGTCCAATGCGTTTCAGAGCAGGTGTCTTGACTGGAGTGATAACTCCTGTGAGGCTGTTGGACTTGGTCACTGGTTTAACTCTTTTGAAACTGGGCTCCTACAATTACAGAAAACAAACCAAAGAATCCACTTGATACAAAAAGTAATAGGGTGTTGTCTTCTGTGTACTAGTTTAAAGCAGTTTAAACTCAAATGTCATGTGTTACCTGGTGACTCCAGTATTTTACAAGGGTAAAATAAAGAAAATCCAGATACTATGATGGTTGGCACACATGTTTATAATCAGTATATGCAAGCTAGTGTTCATTTGAATTATTACTTTCCTTAGATTTTTTTCCCAAGTGGAATACACGTTAAAATTGTAAACGATATACTATAGCATGGGAAAGTAATTATGCCAGACTGCAAAAAATACTTTAGCCACGTTGCTCTTAAAATAATGCTCATATACTACAACATATTGTATTTAATCTAATTAAAGTAAACAGATCAAACTTTTCTTTCATAAAGCATGGGCAATTTTTCATATTCACAGCAGAGCTTAAACACAAAAGGTGAAATATAAAATACAAGATGTATAGAAGAAATCACAAATTTGAGAATTGTACCAATTTTCATGTAATGTCGACTTAAATAAAAAATACCTCTCACCTCTGAGTCTTTGGTGTGGTCAGTCATACTCTGGCTCTCCTCTTCCTCTTCATCCTTGTGGGACAGCAGCATCAGTGTGTAAATACATGAGTATCTGACATATTACAACTCCTGCATAGTGCAGCAGAGAAGCGTATTGGGAGGGTGAGCTGTTGCAAGGTGCAAATAGCACATTTCCTGTATGAGTCTTTCAAAGAGGAAGAAAGCCTTAACTCTAGTTTTCTATAGTAAAACTGTGACAACCCGTTTTGCCACATCAACCATAATCACTTTGAGATATACATTTCTCGTTCCCTTTTAAGCAAATGACAACGAGACATAAAATGTATACACTACGTTTAAATTAAGCAAAAAGTTTAGCTGAGGGGAAACTTAGAGATCTTTCCACTCAGCATTGTGGTTGGTTACAAAGGTATGGTTAACTTCCGTTGCACAAGGACAGGACCAGTCACAAATGTGTCACAAGCTTGACAGATCATATACCTCTATGATTTCGTTCGCTGGAACAGTGCTTAAATGCTGCTTTCTTTTCTTCTGAAATACACAAAACATTAAATCACAGTTAATACCAGAGGTTTCAAATACATTTATTGAAATTTCTTGCATACATGGAAATAAGTGTGGGAAAACCAGCACTCAAAGATACAATAACAATGACTACTTACTGCTGTATGGTCAACTAGGACTGATGGATCTCCTGTGAGATGTGTAGGTGTCCTGAAAAGAGTGACAGTAAACTAGTGTCTCTGTGATAAATATCAATATGTCACACATGTAGACCAGTTCTAAGTTTTGATCAGCACTAAAGAGGCTCTTTCTACAAAGGCCTCAAAGTAAAAGACACTCACCAGCTTGTCCTCAATTCACCAGTCACCTCCACCTCCATGTCTGCCTTCAACGCATCACAAAATAATTCAAATATCAAATCGAAGGAAAACAACGCAAGCACTTGCTGAGCATTCATGCGCATTGGTGCTTGTTTGACTTGTCACCTCCTTCCTCATCCGCATTACCCACATCCTTCAGGGCTGTGCTTCATATATCCGCTTCTCTCAGGGCACAAATCAATAGACTGCACAGCGAATGCTTTGAATATATTTCGGTTATATATGTACAATATATTATTGACATAATATTCGATTATAGGCCTGGCCTATCAAGATCTTAAAAGATATGAAGATCCAATTATTCTGCGGACTTGTACATGCACCATACACAAAATGTTTGATTAAAATGAAACACAAACAAATTGTTTAACATGTTTTTTTTATTTTGACTATCACACTAAGTGCTCCCATTTCAAGATACATATCATTGCCTTGCTTATACATTTTGCCATGTGGAGTTAAAAGTTTATTATCTGGAAGGTTTGCACCAAATCTACCTAGAACCTGAACGTATAGAAAAATAAAATGGGAAATCAAACTGGAGAACAGTTGTGCAAGAGCCCTCTCAGTGCCACAGAACCACAACTGATGAGGTGAATACAGAAGTGCAGCCGGAATTACATCAGGATTCAAAGGTTGTCTCTTTTTCATCTGGACAGGAGGATCTGGGCTGTGACATTTATCAGGCTTATTTAGATTGAAACTTCTCAATTTTAGGTTGTGTGTTGAAACATATTGGGCCTTTTGAAAAGAGGGAGGGGTAAAGTAAGGGAGAGAGCAAAAGGGAAGGATAGAGTTGTGAGCATTGACGGTACTGGGAGCGGAATCTTCTATGATGACATCCTTATTGTACAGTCCAGTTTACATGCTCTCTTCTTTACAAGACCCATCACTTACTGGATCTTAAAAGTCAGCTTTACCAGGGCTTTGTACACTCAGGCACTGTTTGTACAAAATACAGGCCAAAAAGAAATATTTTAATCCCCGAACTGACATGGATAAACCCTCCCACCCAGATGTCCCGTTTTCCCCAGGACCACCTGTGCCCGCAGGTACCAGCAGCTCAGCGGATGGTGTATCTCACGTAGGGAACCTCCACATCCTCATCTGTCAAGTCATTACAGCACAACTCAAATACCAGCGCTTTTACATGCTTGCCAAGCCTCTTCTTGGACACTTTAGTCACAATCTCGGTCATCCTGGAAATAATTAGGCAACCTTTTATTAGCCTGAAACCAACCTTACATAAGACTTAAACTATGCAAAACTTACGGTAGTGCCAGTCTTTCTCTAAGTTTGGCAGCAGGCATAAAAAATGAATAGAGCATTGACACTCCCTGAGAAAGCATGGTTATCTCCAACTTGTGCTCATTCTGGAGAACAAAAAATTGTGAGAAAACAAAAGGTATTCAAATGCAATATGCCATGTAAATATGAACATACTTTAAAATAGTCCAAGAACTGCTGGAGTGTCATTTCTTCTCCACTGGGCTGAACCCCTGTGACCTCGAAGCGGTCCCACAATGACCATTCGTTTTCATAGTACTAGAACAAATGACAAAGATTTAGGCCAAAACGTTTTGTATACTTCTCTTGAGCAATGGTGTATACCTTGTGTTTGGGAGCAGCGATGGGTTCAGAGAAACCAAAGAAAGGCAAAGCCAGGTTCATGAAGCCGTTTTTATAGGACTCCAGCTTTGTGTGTCCTTGAACAATCTTCAGGAGCTCGAGACACACTAGACCCACAACAGCAGCAGTGGTCGTAGCAATAGCAGGAATGATCTTGCCAGCAATTAATTTACTCTAGAAAATTAAAAAGTGACAATTGTAGAAATGTTCTGCAAGGGTATTTCATTCAAAATTATATTACAATGTTTATTTAGCTTATCTATCTCATTATATTAACGGCTTATTAACCGAGCGCGAGGTCTGTATGGAGAAATATCAGACCGCGGCCTTAATGTACAGACCGAGCCGTGGCGAGGTCTGTGCAAAAAGGGCAAGGTCTGATATGTCTCTGTACAGACCGAGCAAGCAAGGTTAACAAATGTTTTATTATGACTCGTCTGTGTCTTTACCAATGCTTTTGAGATATTTGTGAAGTATGTTCATGTCCGACTTGGTTTTGTGTGATACACGCTGCGGACAGATTGTCATGGTAACGGTCCAAGGAAAGATATCAAATGTGATACGCGCTGTTCGGAAATGTCATGGTAATGGTCCGAGACGGGAAAATATCAGACCGGTAATCAGCCAATCAGAGCGCGCGTACGGTCCAAGTCATATAATAAATAGATATATTATATATCTATATATAAATTTAATTTAGCTGCTTTAGCTATCTATATTACACACACAAAGAAAAAATTAGGCAGTATGTATTACTTTCAAATGGCGTTCTTACCTTGTGCCGGTCTGCTGGAGGAATGTCGTAGTTCTCGGCCCTCAGATTTGAAGCTGCCACAATGAAATCCATGTGGAAGTTTGTGTCGTCATCCTGAAAGCAAACCACCAGCGGACATTCATGAGATGAATCAATAACATGCAGTATTAGTGGGTAAAATTGGATCTGTACCTTCTCAAACTCAATAGGAGTTAGTTTTATTTTGAAAGTCTCTGCAGTTGGCAATTGTGCCTTCAACTCTTCAAATCTGGAGTCATCTATAAAAAGGTTATAAAGCAAAGATCAGAAAAATAAAAGAATATTGGCCAGCCTGATCCATTTCAAATGTTGGCCGTACCAACAGAAGAATTGCTGTTCTGTAGTTCTTGATCTGAAACATGAATTCTGACGCCTGATCTCGGAGTAAAGACTGGCACACTGACGTCCTGCAAGATTTTGACTAGACCAGCCCGATCTGGGTTGTTCTGGATTCCATATATTTTAGCATGAAGATTAGCTGCTGCCATTACGTAGTCCATGTGGAGGTCCTGGAGAAAAGAGGAATTCTGATAGTCTGACCCCTTTTATGATGCCTTGCTGGTTCGGAAATTGGCTTACATTGCTCGTGCTGAATTCCAGAGGATGTGGGCATCTCTTGGGACCAGACCAGAAGGGGGCACCGGAGCTGGTGAGCTAAAAATAAAATATTCAGTGGCATATAAGTAACTTCAGGTTGAATTATGGGCACTTGTTTTTAAAACCAGATACAGACTATTCCTCCTCAGCACACACTTGAACAATCAATGTGAGAAGGTGAGTTGAACTCATTTACACCCAGGTGCATCAGTATTAGCATGGCTGGATCATCATTGGAGATTGAGACTAATGAGTCAGTAGTGTACATTGAAAATAAAGTAGCATTCACCTGATTCTGAGGAAAGTTGTGCAACAGTTGTTGTATGTTGTTGCTATACTGACACTGCCAGTGGTTGCGAGCCCAGGCCACGCAATCTACCCAGCTGTGAGGTCGGTCTGTGATCAAGGTTTTATGAACAGCCTCTAACACCTCAACAGGCTGAGCACCTGGAAGTTTCTGAGTACGCTCCACAAACTTTGGATCCCTGAAAACAAAAAGATTTACAAAATTAAGAGGTCTGCGCTTAAGTGGATCACAATGGCTCTACATACGTGAGGTATTGCATGGCATTTTCTGATGGCTGTTTGAACAGTCCTTCAAACTCGTCTCGTGCCCACTAAAAAGAGCAACAAAAAGTGTTACAAAAGCCCTAAAGTATCTTGCCATCTATTACATGACCTGACCTGGAGAGTGTGTTCTATCGCATTTGGGAAGTTCTTGAGAGTACAAATGGGAATTGACTTTTCAGGAGGATCCTGACTTGAGCTGTAGGACTCCGTGAGGAAAGGGATGACAATCTGGACATTCCCTTTGGTGCCAAGAGTCCCAGATTCAAGGAGGGGTTTGCGGTAGTAAACACATCTTCTGTCCATGTACATACCTACACAATGTCAATAAAAGGGAAAAAGACATCAAGATACTGAAAAATGTTTTGCCCATACAGTAGATTGCAAAATCCCTTACGAGCGTCAACATTATCAAGTGCATTGGCAACTCCATCTAGACTTTCAAAGAAGTCATCGTCGTAGATCCTCTCAGTGTCTGGGCCCACTCTATTTTCATGACCGGTGATCTTGAGTGATGGGTTCATCTTTTTTACAGCTCTAGCAGCAGTCTCACTCTTCATTTTCTGTCAACAAGAGGAAAAGTAACGATTGAGTTTTTCACTCATACAATTTTGTAAAATGCAAAGTGGACTTACTGTTACATCTGCAGGTCTGAAGAGGAACTGCCTGTTGAGGTTGGATTTTTCAATTGTGTCCATGTCTGTCACAATGACCTCCCCTTCTCCACAAGCCAAACCAATCATGGCAAAGTTCTTCAGTAGCTCGCAGCCGATTGCACCAGCTCCAACCTGAAATTACAAAGACTATTTGAATTCAAATTGTTAACATATTCTAAACAAGATATGGTTGACTAACTCTGCTCATATGAACATATCTAAAAACTCTCAAGGGATGATTGAGAACATTGGCTAAAGTGACAGCTTTATGCACATTGATTACACTTTAGGCTTACCAGGAAATACCGCTGTTTGCCCAGCATATCCTGCATTTTTGATCCAAAAACGGCTATCTGACCATCGTAACGGCAGCTTCTCTGCAATAAATACAAAAATTTAATTACAGCAGAAAACACAGAAGAGTTGTCCAGTTCGACTTCTCTTACAGGTGCACATTCTTCCTCAGTGAGCACAACTCCCTCTTCTGACAGGCACTCCAGGGCATCAAAGTACAACCACTGCATAATTGGCATAAATTTTCCTGTGCAGGCCTATGGGAACAAAGAAAGAACAATTGACGAACTCAGATGCCGGTGTACAAAATAAGATGCAATAGCAGCAAGTGATAAGTGCATTCAACAGTTGCGCTGAGTGAGGAGTCATGGACACTTCATGAGGCTCCAAAATCAATTTACTTGCAGCAGTGTATTTATGGCGTGCATGAGTTCGAGGACAAACAGCAAAAAACAACAAGTTCCTGCCCCAGGGGGGTGGGCCCCACTATTTGAGAAGCACTGCTCCACTCAAAGGTGTAGAATTGAGATTACAGTTGTAGGCACTAACCTTCATTACTTCCTGAGCAGCCAGACCACCGATGAAAGCATTGACAGGTGCCAGGTCTCCAGCAGATACATGTGACAGCTTCTTAATAAGAGCTTCATTCAGCTCTTCCACTTTGGCAGAACCAGTTTGTGTAGAGTTTATTTCTTTGGCCAAAGTCAAGAGCTCCTCGCCATCGGACTGAACCAAAATACATACAGAAGTATGAAACCAAAAACCAGTTAAAGTAGCTTTTTTAAAATTGTGGATTACCTGACTCCAAGGAACTGGAGGACGACCCTGTTTTTTCTGGAACGCATGAAGCGCTTGATAGCCAATATGCACTTGTCCTGGACGATCAAACTTTGCAAAGTCTGTCACCATAAACTCTGGCTCTCCCATGGACGAGGAAATGGATTTCTGCAATCAATATTAAAAAGAACCTAAGTAAGGACACGGAACTTGACAAATTGTTATCATATGTATTTCACACTTACAAAAGAAAACTTTTTAGGCATTTTGACCTGAGCGACTATTCCACCCCTAACATAGTCTGAAAACCCTGTGGTGTCACAGATGCCAAAGGTGTATGGACCTACACAAAATAATACACTATGTAAATATATTTTTGTTTATTTTTGTTGTATATAAATGTAAAACAGACTCACCAAGGACTTTGATTTCAATAGGCTTGCATCCGTTAAGTTCAGTCATACCCTGAATCTCTGTGAAAGTCACAAAGTCTCCACTCTCAAACCCATGACGAGCCTCATCCAGACAAGTTACCACACCCTGACCGTCCTGTAAAATCAGAAACCTGTTCAAATAAACAATTTCACAATTTTCAAAAAGAAAAGCACCACAAACCTTTGTGATCATGGAAATCATGGCACTCAGAGGTTGTTCTCCATTTGTGTCATACACAATCATGTCATCACCGAAGTCACAAAAAAGCTGGCTACAAAAGACAAAAAACATGTAAGAAAACGTAAAACCAATATACAAGATGGCACAAAGGCTTACCCAAAAAGGCCACGTGTGTCTGCAACAACAAACTTGATACCTTTGCTGTGACAAAAATCACCCAATAGCAGTTGCTCTTCTATGGGTGATTCAGTCAAGACCACCACCTGTCAACATTTGAACTTTCACCATTTCAGCACATTTGAAAAATGAAGTGACGCTCAAAAAGCACTTTACCTGAAATCTGGTTAGAAAGTCCTCAGTTAGCGCTCCAGTGTGTGAAGAGACGGGGACATAGCTGTTGAGCTCAGCCAAACGAGGCTGACTGACTTCAGCCCTGTTCTTTCCCAGATCCTCTTCTCTGAGGTAAAACTGAAATTGTCAAAACATGATTGAATTAGTTTTTAGATCAGATTCAGATTCATTTATTTGCCATTTGCAGTAAAACCACATTGGAAAAACTGTGCAAGACTACCCCGGTGTGCACCACACACACCAGAGCTCTTGCCACGGCGCCATCTTTACGGCGACATGCGGCGCGTTGCGTGTTACAATATTTGATATGTGCTAGCAAATATGGTCTGTTGCATAATGGTTAAAAAAAAGCAATATTCGCTCCATTTTTGTATTTTTCCAAAATAGGCCAAAGCTTCCAAGGACAGTCAGGCTATATTATGGTAAATGTAGGTCAGCTCATGGCAAGATATTGGGGCGTGGCTCCAGATTTGATTATTGCACGCAAAAAAGCTGAGGGTATTTAAATTTGTCCGCTATCAGTCCGCACCAGGAGCCAGCGGCAAAGTCCAGTTATGGTCACAGTGCTCGCTGGACTAAACAGACAGTCTAGATGTAACCACACAAAGACACACAAATGCGTGCATAAACGCACATACATGCGCGCCCAAACATACACAACAGTATTCTATTGCACTTACAGTACAAGTATTTTGTCTGTTCACTTTGATTTGTTGTCATTAATTGGTTTTATCATTGTACTTTCTTATCTCTGATTTACCGTTAGACATAAATATATCACCACCCAATAGATGAATACTGGCCATTGACGTTTTTTGGGTGAGTACATTTTGAAATATTCGAACAACACTTTGTGAATGTGTGTCATAAAACATTATTTTGCATCAAAAACACTCTCATAACTTGTTGCAGTTTTCTAACATGTAAGATCCTGGACATTTTTGAGGAGATGCTAAAGTTAAACTAAATTCTGCATGGTTCGTCTGTTTTCACAAACACCTCATTTTCTCAGCTTTTTGTTTAACACTGATGCTTTTCATCACACTCCCCTCTTTCCAGTCCAGTCTCTCAGACTCTGGTTTCATATTTTTCAGTCATAGCACACAATATTCTGTGAGTCTTGAAAATCAGTAAAGTCATTGAAAATGGCTGGCAGCCAACGAGTTAATGCCCATTACAGCTTCAAATATTTTTTTTTTTAAATGATAAATATAAAATAGTTCCCAAAGGTTTCCCCGTGACGTGACTAGACGGGTAACAGCTAGGCTAACTAACTAGAACTCTCTGGAACTACATGAAGTGAACATCAGCGGTGAGTGACCCAAATTAGGGATGTAAAAAACTATGAATTTTCATGACCGACCACCGAGCCTCATTAACCGGTTAACCGCGTAGTTTAAAATAGTCCACGTTCTTTGAAATAACAGCCATTTCGAGCCGCGTACTTTTCACAAGTGCAGCTCTGCGTTCTACTGGATCAGAGTTGAGACAGCGGCGCCCAAACCCACAACAGCTCCGACACCTTTGCGCACAGAGAACTGCTTTTTTAATCTTCCCATTCTGCTGTGCTGCGGGTTAATACCAAAACTTTCTAGCAGCAAACGACGGCTCGTTCACATGGTCAGAGCAGCGAGTGACGAGCCGCGTCTCACAGGTCTTCACAAAAGTTTAAATACAAGTGATGTGTGTGGAGCTGATCCCGAGGACCATAAACACAAACATGTTCCATGTGGTTTGACTGAAGCCGCGTATTTGCGCGAATCCTTTGGGCTCCGTGACACAGAGGAGCGCGACAGACCGGTATGTGTGTGTGTATGTATGTAAATGTAAGCTCCAATGTAGTTCTGACCCGCGCCAGTGTGCAACTTTGACGGCAACAGAGGGGAGAGATGATGCGTGTGGATGTTACGTATGGAGAGGGGGTGTGTGTGTGTGTGTGTGTGTGTGTGTGGATGTTACGTATGGAGTGTGTGTGTGTGTGTGTGTGTTACGTATGGAGTGTGTGTGTGTGTGTGTGTGTTACGTATGGAGTGTGTACGTATGGAGTGTGTGTGTGTGTGTGTGTGTACGTATGGAGTGTGTGTGTGTGTGTGTGTGTGTGTGTGTGTGTGTGTGTGTGTGTGTGTGTGTGTGTGTGTGTGTGTGTGGCTCGTGCGGCGTGAGAGTCGTCCCGGAGTTTATGATACATGGGCGCACACAGCTAGATACAGACCCGCTCGTCACACCGTGCAAATAGGGCTTAAAATAGCGTTATTAAGAGACCTCCCCTCTCCCTCTTTTTTAACCGGTTAACGCTGTGACGGTCAACCACCGGTTAACCGGTCGCCGATTTACATCCCTAACCCAAATATAAAAACTTAACCTAAATCCATTATCAGATCCTCTGCAAATGTGTCCTAAAATGTTCTAATGTTAATAGTTACTTCCGGGTTTACCCCAATCGCTTTTTGACGCAATAAAAAAGTATTGTCAGGAAAACGTTAACAGATCATTCTGAAAACCTCTGTGCATGTGTGTTAAGAATGTTTATGTATAATGTATTCTCCGATTAACATTTAAATGTATTGATTGATACTTGTGTTATTGAGCTTCAACAGCTTCTCTCGCAAAGACAGAAGTAATAATTGACAGGCGCTGAAAGTCCGTTGTGACCAAGTGTACAAACTAATGTCCGGAGTAATCTTAGTATTTTACACACCTGAACTACAAGCACAGAGTGCGTTGCCAAAGGGCAGCCGTCATTGGTTTGAGAGGTCCGTTATCAAGAAATAATGATCGGTAGAACGTTTTGATATTACATTCAAATCAATGGAGCGTTCTGCTGCTGTGAGGAGCTGTATAATTAATGATTAAATATTCAAATATTTTGATTAATAATTTAATTAATAATTTCTCCTCCGTACTTTTGGCCTTGCGCGTGCACGGAAAAGTAGGCGCAACTTCAAGACCAATCAGAAAGGAAGAAGGAGGGAGTTTGTCTTGTTTTTTTTTTTCTTCAAATCATTTAAATGATTTAAGAATGCATATTAAATCCAAGACGCCTGCTGTGGTGTGTTCTGTTTGATTTATGCACAACATTTTACTTTTGTGTACAGGTAAAGTAAAATTTAGGTACCATAGCTGTAATTTTATGAATTTTGGTTGCACTTTAGTAGGAGACAGGGGAGACGCGCACTTGCAACAAACTGGGAACGGTCCTGTACACGCGTCTATGCGCCACACTTTGACCACACTGTGGCTGTGTGTTCGCTGAGCTGTTGTCAAAGCGGCTCACAGGAGCCCCTATCATTATAAAGCGGCCGCAGCTGCCCTGGGGTCAGACGGAGGATGTGAATCCTGGTCTAGTACTTACAGCAAACAACAGCAAGTGCCCGCAGTCACACTCTTCACAGAAATTACATTTTCAGTGGGGATAAAAGTCAAAAATTGCGGATCTACAGAAAATCTCATCCCTGGAATATCTCAATGCGCAAAGAAAAAAAAGACGTGTCTGCTTTTGGCTCTAGTGGTAAAAATGTGGGAAATGCGTTCCCGGCCTGAATAGGTAAACATTACTTGCCCAATCAGACAACTTGTTAAGACAGCGTACTTGTCTCAAATCTTTAGGTTCACCGGGCATGCGGACAACCGCTAATGTCAAGCCCTGGATATACAATGGCTTTCAGGTCATGATATCTCACACATTTCAATCTGTTTGGTGATGGCAAAATTAAAAAACAAGAGGAAAGCGTTTTTCACCTGTGACGACAGATCTCGCCATTCTGCAACACCTTCATCGTGAACAGTGACACTTCGAACACCTCCCAGAATCACGTTCTTTGCTATCTCCACACCAAGACCTCGCATTCCTGAGATCAAGACATTGGAGTTCTGCATGCGTTTCATCGCCTCATGGCCCAACACATAACTGCAGAAGAGAAAGGTTTGAGTGTCAATGCAAATGATAAGGTACAAATGTTATTATAATGACTTACAGTTGTCTGGAGTACAGGCCTTCATCAATCTCAGCATCATTGCCATTTTTAGCCATGCCCTTTAATATACAGGATTTATGTGAATATAATGCAACACATTGTGAACTTTATTTTACATAACATTTACGTTGGCAGGTGTATGGGACAGTTCAGTTCTGACAGAGTTAGAGGATGAGCAGTGGGATCCCGTCTTCGTCTCTGTTCCTGACAAGCGACGCTTCTTGGACAGCGGCGAGCTGGACATCTGCAACAAGGTAAATTCTGCAAATTTTAAACACAAATCCACAACACAGATTTATTCTATTTTATGAGGATATAAAACATTTGTACAATATTGAAAAAAAATAAAATAAACATTGTGAGGACTAAAGATAAATTAGTGTTTAAGTGCAGAAGGGCCAAACCAATACTATCAGCTTGGCAGAATGAAAGGATCTAGTCTAGGGAGCAGCTGGGCTGGCTCTGAGCCAAATACAAAGCCGCTGAAAAACACAAAACTCATACAACCAAGCAAGTTAAACCGTGGCACCAAAAGTACTTAAATATATTTAGATTGTATTGCTGGTTTTCACAGCCTTTGTTTTACACCCTATGTTTACGGAGCCCAGCACTTTGAACAGAAACAGCTGAATCAGTAAAAGTTCATTGCAGTAAATCCCCACTTCACAGCTGAGGCAGGTGAACACCAAGAAACCACAATGATTCAAAAAATATCCTCTACAAAAAGTGTCACCGAAGAAAATATTCTTATGTGATGAATGGTGAATGACAGAGCGCAGTAGCTGAACAGAGCAGCCAGGTAGATCATTTCCGCATCTTAAGCTACCAGAGCCGAGTGTGTCAAGTGTAATGTTTGGAGAATTAAGTGGTGAAATTATACCAGACTGAAGAAGTTACTTTCCATATAAAAGGCCAAATGATACATATTTCATTTCACACGGCCACGCAAGGCTGTATGAAACAAAAACGAACGCGCTCGGAATGAAACGGCAGAGAACCAAAATGACAGCTAGCACCAAAGCCTCGATCAGACACTTTACAGAGTCACACAAGAAACCCGGTCAAGATGTTGGCTTGCCACTAATCAGCTAAGGTGATTTGGCATGAAGACGTAGTGGACACGAAGAACTCGGGGCAAATACTACAGTGACAGTCAATCCATTAGCAGGAAACTCGGCCTAGGCCTGCAATGCCCAGTACGGAACAACTTTACAAGCTAGTAGCAAAGGCGCTTTATACCCGCTACGAAAACATGGTAACTGCCCTAATTCCAGCCACACAAACACAAACTACAAGTGCACTGTCATAGCAGCTGATAACTATGTGGTTTACGAATGTGTCTGAAATATTTCTATGAATCAGAAATTAAGCTATAACACTCGTGCTTCATTGATTTCCTTATTCTTACCAATATTCCTTCTCGGTTCTTCACAAAAGCGAAGCCGCTCCCCTGTAGCTCTGTTTACTTGAAGACAAGACCGTATATTTCGTCGAAAGCTCAAGAAACCTACACAAACGGAGATTAGGGGCGCCCACTGTTTATTGTCGAGTCACTATGTACCAGTGCCTCTCCAATGCAATTGCGCTGCTGGCTTTGGAAGTGCTGCAGACGGGAACAAAACCAAAATGGCAGATGGAGAGAGAGGGGCGGGGAATAAGTGACGCAGGGGTTGAAATATTCAGCAGCGAAGTGTCGCTGGAAGCACGTTTTTCCTGCCAGTCCGGAGCGCATTGGATGGCAGCAAAGCAGAAAGTACTGGCTCCGCCCCTGCTGCCAGAACATGCACGCCGTGTCTACTGTACAATGGACCAGATGCAAGGAACGACTCTGACAAAAAAACCCGATTTGTTTCTCTTAACAGTGCCGTCTGGACACACTGTCGCTGTAGAATGTCCCACCAGAAACAATTTACTCGTGCACTAAATAAATGTACATCAATTAAATAAGTCTAATGTAGTGGTACAGCAAACAAATCAACTTTATCTTATGCAATTTCTATATGAATTACGATCAAATAACTGACAAATCAATGGAAAGTTTAATGTATGAAATGCCTGCGTACCATAGAGATGACAAATGTTACTCAAAAGCAAGCAAGCTAGTTAATTTCAAAATGTCTAGTAATATGCAATTCGCAAATGCAAACGTATTTTTGTACCACTTTTAAATTGACAAGCAACATACAATGCATGCAAAATTAATGCTGTGCTTGGTGTGAACGTGTATATCAGCAATGTACTGGGTCATTGTAGAAAAGGTCTTCACAACAGAGATGCTCCAGTGTCTCTGGGCCCAGAGGTTAGGGGTGAGCATGCCCTGCAGGAGTATTGGGGGAGGGGGGTCCCTGCCAATTGACAAAGGCCCTGCAAAAGAGTGGGCCGCATATACACATGCCGCACCGACCACTTGTCTCCAACTTAAGATTTTAACTTGCAACGTGTCGGCGAGTGAAACGCCATTTAGCGAGAAAATAAAATCTGAAATTGAGTCCACCAACGTGCGTACACAATTACCCACATAATATAACCACGGTGGGTCAAAGCAGACCAGGGCAGACCCGGGTTGGTGATATTAAACAAAGCTCCAAGGCACCGACTGTCCTAACGCTACACGGATAACGTTTGCAGCCGTTCACCACTTGCACCGTTAAACTGTGCATATTCTATTTGTCAATATTCTGGGGGAGGGTTAAATGTGGAAATGCCACTGGTACTTGTTAAGTTACGTTACCGTGTTTTCCAGCTCATGATAGCTCATGTCGAACAAAATACTTCTTCAGATAATCATCAACATATCACATCAAGCGGCTGCTGCGTAGTTGTTAGCTCGCGTGCAGTTAGCATTCAAGCTATCTAGCCACCCAGCCACTTTTCGCTCTTGTGAGGCTCTATCGGCTAACGCTATCTGGCGTTAGCCGACTAGCCAGAGTCGCTAACGTAAACTACTTCAGATCACGTACAAGTGTGAAGAACTTACCACATCCGATATTTACTCGGCCTGGTCTGGAGTATTAAAACGGGTTTATTTCCACAGGGAATTTAACCAGGGTGTATCGGGGCTGAACAAAGCCAGAGTGTGCAGAGTACGAGGCTGGCGGGCGGACTGTCTGTGCGAGTTTGAGCGCTGCTGCCCTGGACGAGACCCGGCTGCTCCCCGACAGTTTCCCCTCACAGCAAAGCAAAGCAGCAACATGTGCACGCTCCAGGATCTACCATCATTCTCACTCAGGGGGGCGCATTGGCCACTTCATGCATTTTTGTGTGTGTAGAGAGAGTAAACCAAGACATTAAGTTGTACAAATAACAAAGCTTTCTGTTTTGAACCGTTGTATTTTGTCCAAACGTTCAAATATGTTAAATTATTGAAGCAGTGAGAGTTAAAACTGAATACCACCCCCATAGGCTCACATTTTGTGCAAACCACAGTGAACTCAAAGTTTGCCGGGAAGTGTAGGCTTCAACATACTGCAACCACACGAAGTCATCAAGCAATAACGATGCTTTAATTTTATTTTAAAGATACAAGACACAGTTTACACAAGAAAAAGGTGCACAACTATGGCAAAGCAGTTTATGATGAAAGAACATAAATTACCAGACAAACTGTTTAAGGGTTGTCTACATTGATCTCTCAAAATATCTGTACAAAATTACTATATTGAAATTTGATAATCACAAGAAAGAAGGAATAGACCAAACGGATATATGACTGTTTTGTGCTTCTATTGTGTGAATTATTATTGCAAAGCTTTTTACAATGTATATTATTTTTACTATTCACAGTCAAAAAATAACGGAGCTTACTGTTGTATTAAAACGCTCACACAAACATATAGGAGAGCTGATACTGTGCGTTGAAGAGCTACATGTAGATATATCGCTATTATGGGAATGTTATGGATGAAAAGAGTGGGCATTTACAATTAGGAGGATCTAAAACTGAACACATTTTTCCTGTTCTATTGACAATACCTCACCTCTGCACAGTGAGGTGAGCAGTTCATGCACATTAAGACATACGACATTTGACATAAAATAAATAACTCAAGCCTAATAAAAGCTCATTTAGATAGTCCAGCAAGTAGTTTAATAATGCCAAATGTACTTAACAGATTTAACATATTGCGAGGTGAGCAGTCATTTACAAGTGCTGCTGTGAGGTATGCATATTCAATGCCCCCTGCTTGTTCCAGCTCGTGGAGACTGACCATTGTGAGTTGTACTCCTTAAACTGCCTTGCTCCTCTGATTCCTGGGAAGAGACTGTAGGATGAGTAGGTGGAGAGGGAGGTGGGTAAGACGGGGGAGGGATGCTGAGGCGAGGCAAAGGAGGTTGTGCAGGTCTGGGAGAGCTGGGCAAAGGTGGAGGAGCTCTGGAGGTGGCAGGAGAAGCATGTGTGCTCCGAACCACAAGAGTTGGTTCAGGTGGACAGTCACTGATTTGCTCCAGCAATGAGGGCATGTCTCCTTCAATCTTCTCCAACACTGCTGCCATTTGCTTTTCAATCTGTTCAATCACACTGTCCATTTGCCAGTCACTTGTGTGTGGTAGCCCAGTCCCATACATTCCCATTCCTGAACTACTTGCATACAAGGAGCTGTACGGATTTCCAAAACTTGCCATGTCCAGTCCAGGTGTGCCCATTTCAGGATTGTAAGGTGTTGCATGACGACCCAAACTGGCAGTACTGCCAATTGAATAACACCCTGGTCCAGGGGCTGGGGCTGTCCTTGTTGAGCTGAATTCTGCACTGTATCTGTCTGCTTTTCTTGCCTCTCTATCTCGTCTAACTAAAGGACTAATGTCTCCTCTGATTCTCACCTCTCCGACTGCTGTGGCTGGAGAGGCTGGTGCCACCTCCCTCTCAGCCACTGCATCTGGCACTTGAGTCTGACACCAGTATCCACTGTTTTCATCCCTCTGTGAGCTACGCTTTTTCTCAGGTGTGTCTCTGAGTGCAGCTGAACTTGAGTCAGTGGCCGTTCTGGCAGGGAATGAGGCAACAGTCTTGTGTTTGTTTGTTGGATCAAGAGATAGGGAGGCCTGCTTTTTGCCATCATTCATTTTTTCTAACTCTCTGACACCGTTTTGAGCAATATTAGACCCTGTTTCCCTCTTTCCATTGTTAGGCCTTTTTTCCTGTCCAGTTTCATGTAGCTTTAAAGGATTCTGCTGACTTGGAGGTTCCTTTATTTCTGAAGGAGAAATACCTACCGTTGGGCCAATGTTTGTTGTTTTGTTTCCAATCTCCTCATGATCCAAACACACTGGGCTGCTCTCTACTGTGACCTCTAAGGACACACTACTGGATGTTACCCCTCCATCACTTGTGCCTCTTTCTCCCTCATCACTGTTTCTTTGGGACTCCTCACCTCCCTGAACCTCAGCCGAGCTGTCAGTCATAGCCTCTGTGTTCTTCAGTCGCTGCATGAACGTTGTGACACGAATTGCTTTCTGCAAGGCAGACAGACACAGAAATACTTTTTATTATTAATATAACTGTGATGAAAACCTCCTCGGATTCATCAGGAAAGTGACAAGTGGTTATGAAATACAAAACATAAGCATTTGTTGGAAATCTTGAAAAAGGCATAATGGTCATTACTTTTGCACTGGTTAACCAGTGCACATAGTTGCCTTTCTAACTTTCAGGAGATATCATTGAATGTACCCTGGAAACAGTTTGTCCTTCTTTGCCAATGTACTTTGCCAGTGTCAGGCAAACTACCTGAATCCTGTAACTACAAAGACAATCTACTCAATTAACATTAAGTCAAATACTACATGGTTCAAATTTGGAATGTGTAGGGCCAATGATTCTCCTGAAGTCATTTTGACACATAAATATGACCACAGTGCAGCTGAACAAAAGCAGCTTCAGAATGGGACCTATAGGTGCAAAAAGCAAGGATTTGATCAAGAGGAATGACACAGAATCTTCACTGTAGTCCAAAGTGGCCAACATTCCTTAACTCCTTTCTAAATCCAGCCTCCTTATCTGCACTCATAAGCAACACTGTTATATACAGTGTTATTTGTTGCTGATCTTTATCTCATTTTGCTAATTATTTTATTGGTGCAGACGAGGAGTCAGAAAGGATCAGAGTGTGCCACTTTGAGCAGAACCTAAAGAAGAAAGTGGGGCAAAGTGGATGGATTTTATCTGGGACAAGGCAGTGTAGTAGTGGATTGGATCAGAGCATTGACCAACAACTCATTCAGCTCAAACATGTTCATGTGAATCTTTTGTTTTTTTGTAGAAATAAGAAGATAAGCAATAAACATGTTGCGCAGAATAGGAGTTCTGTCCATGCTTAGTCCTTCCGCTCTCCCTCACACAGTGAGCAACAATACCTTTAATTCCTGGGCACCACATAAAGAGAGAGAGAAAAGGAGTACAGCTCAAATTTCCTCTATTGCTTGTATTCACTGTACAAAAATATGTTCATAATATGTACACGTAATGAACATTTAAAAATCAAGACAAAACTCATGAATATATGACATGGGATACAAAAGGATTGACATACCCGCCATTTTGCTTTGGCAAAGTTCTTTTCAAACTGGGCACACACTCCATCTTTGAGGTTTTTCTCTGATGCCCCATTCCCAGCAATCCTAAACAGAGATGACGCAAAGGTGTGTCAGCTCCTTGTAAGTATCACAGGTGATATCTTGGAGAAATATGAGTACCATTCATGCCAGAGTGCGTCCTGTGCAGTAATTCTCAGCATCTGATCCACCTCCATTAACCGACAGACAAGTTCTTTAGCTAAAAGAAACCAAATGAAAAGAAACATTAATGAAAATAAAGATGTAACAAAGATAAATGTTTGCAACAAAAATGTTGTAGTGTGTCGCCACCATGTGGTGATGTTGCTTACCTGGAGTTGAAATGTCATCCCAGTACGGTGAATCAAACTCAAAATCACCAGCAACGATCCGACAGAAAATTATACGATTATGTAAATCTGTATTTTCCTCTTCTGTTTCATCATAAAAAGGGGGATTACCAGATAGACTATAAAAGCAAAAACATATGTAAAAATGTAATAATTTGTAATGTAAAACTCATTTGGACTGAAACAGACACTCACAGTATGAACATAATGACACCCACAGCCCAACAATCAACGGGCCGCCCATAGCGATGACGGGCAACCACTTCAGGAGCTTAACAAAACAAAAAACTACAGTTAACATCGTGATACAGAATCCATTGTGAAAAAAATTATACATTTTCAGTGCACTGACAAAAGAAAAACTTGACCTACATTTATTTTTCTCTCTAGATAATTTACAAATTATAATGTAATTAACATTTTAAAATAATATTACCTAAATACTCTGGGGTTCCACAAGGCTCTGTGATCGGCCCATTTTCAAAACGAGACAAGTAGAAGTCTCTCAAAACAACTTTGTTGTGGTTGTTTTCGTTGTAATACATCAGATTTTCAAGCTGCAAAAATAAATTATGTAAATAAATACAGATATTTAACACAAGTAATCCTTTGATAATTCTCTTTAGAAAAGAAATGACACAATGAGGGAGAGGAACTAACTTTAAACCAAGGGTTTAATTCCCTAACCCCCAGATGGAGAGTGAAATGAAATCACAACCCACACTGCTGAATACAATTGGACAATTCTTCAGTGTACAGTTTAGTGTACCGTTCTTTCAATTGAAATAATCGAGTATGACATTTGACCTTACTTTATTTATTATAACTTTGTGTAAAATAAAAAGTAGCATATATGGCATACAAAACAAATGTTAATACATTTAAATCATGCACTATCTGAGATATCGGTTTTACCCAGTAGAGGGCATCTGACCCTCATGTTATTCAGTAATAGGAATCATCAATTTGCACATTTGTGCCAGAGGACATAGACATTTGAAGTGTAGGTATTCTTTTACACAAATGATTTCCACAGAATATACCAATATTTATAGCTCATATTTTGTCTGCTTTGAAAAAACAGTACCTTCAGATTTCTGTGAACTATATTAAGGGAGTGTAAGTATGCAACAGCCTCCAAGACTTGTCTGATGACATTGGAAGCATCTCTCTCCGTGTAATTCCCCTGGTCCAAGATCCAATCGAATACATCTCCTCCTGTGGCTCTGTGTGCAGGCAATCACAACATCAGAAGCTGTAGTATGTTTAATGAGAACATTCAACTCTTTAATGTCCTAGTAGTCCACATGTTGAACAATAAAGCTAGCACATTGCTGTGTTAAATGTTTTTTCAATAACCAATCTGTTAGGCCAGCCCAAAGCGATTTTTAAGTCGTACAAAATGTAATGGTTGGGTTTTGTTTTTATCCCTAAAATATAGTCAAAGGAATGCATACAAGTATATATTATCTTTACTTCTTGGTACTTCTTTAAGCAGCATCAAGTCATTTTCACATTTTGGTCCTGTTTGAATAAATTGATCAAATAAATTAAATAAATTAATTGATTCTGCTGTGCTCATTTTTGTATTTGGTTCAATCTATAAGTTGTGCCGGTCCAAATCAGGTTTGAACTATTTATCTAATTAGGCCCGAGCCCCGAACGGGGAAAGGGCCTATTGTTTTTGCTCGAGAGATGTCATTTTCTGCACTTTGAGCCTTAATTTCACCCCCTGAACATGCATGAAAAGTTGTAAAATTTTGCCCAAACATCACACCTGGTGAAAAAGTTGATATTTGGGTGTTTATTTTTATGGGACTCAAAAAATGCCAGAACAGCGCCACCTACAAGAGCCAATGGGAGTTTCAGAGGTCAAGTTTGTCGTAGAGCCATGAAATTCGGTACACATGTTCCTCAAGTCAAGATACGACCGAAATGTTATTATGGCTCCGCCCTCTGACAAACAGGAGGCCCATAAATTTCACTGCAAAATGGAAAAATGATCCGCAATCATTTTCATACATGTCGGTTGGAAAGCGACTCCTCCTCGGCCGTTTTACCGATTGGCCTCCATATCACTCCACATTGTCTAAACACATGTACCATCAAAATGACCTCAGGGATTTTTGATCAGTGAAACGCTGTTTGAGCAGCGGAGCGGCAAAATGTGAGTGTTTATTGGCCGTTTTTCACAACATTCTATTTGCTCCCGTTTACATATACAAATTCCGATTTGCACAAAACTTGAATCCATGGTTCAACTCTAGGGTCTAGGTCATTTAAAAGTGAAATAATTGAACTTGGCTCATTAACGCCCCCTACAGATGGGGTCAAAGTTTTTAGTGTGGGAGCGTTTCGAGGTCAAGTTTGCTGTATAGGCATGAAATTTGGTACACATATTCCTCATCTAAAGACATGAGATAAAAGTTATTATGGCCCCGCCCCCTGACAAACAGGAAGCCCATGAATTTCACTTCAAAATGGACAAATGAAACATGATCCTTTTCACACGTGTCGGTTGGAAAGCAACTCCTCCTCGGCCGTTTCACCGATTTTGCCTCAAAATAAAACGTTGTTTGAGCAGCGGAGCGCCAAAAAGCGGCTTATTTTTTTTCAGTTTTTTACAATAGAAAAATTGCTTCTGTTTCCACAAACAAAGTCTGATTTGCACAAAACTTGAATCAATGGTTCAACTCTTGGGTCTAGGTCATTTGAAAGTTAAAATTTTGAAATTGGCTCTATAACGCCACCGAGGTTCGAGGTCAAAATTGTCGTAGAACCATGTAATTTGGTACACATGTTCTTCAAGTCAAGACATGGAAAAAATGTTATTATGGCCCCGCCCTCTGACAAACAGGAAGCCCATAAATGTCATTGCAAAATGGAACAATGAAAACCAATCATTTTCATACATTGGAAAGCGTCTCCTCCTCGGCCGTTTCAGCGATTGGCCTCAAAATTCTTCCAAATTATCTCAACACATGTACCTTCAAAATGACTTCAGGGAATTTTAATCAGTGAAACGTTGTTTGAGCAGCGGAGCGGCAAAATTTGAGGGTTTTTTTGGCCGTTTTTGACAACATTCATTTTTTCCCCGTTTGCACAAAGAAAGTCTGATTTGCATTAAACTTGAATCCATTGTTCAACTCCAGGGTTTAGGTCAGGTGAAAGTGAAATATTTGAAATTGGCCCATTAGCGCCCCCTAAAGACTGAGTCAAAGTTTTCATGGGGAGCCAAACCAGCTCTACTTATCATATTCATTACAATTTGACTAACGTTCTTCTATGGCTACGGGAACAAATCATCACACGGCGGCCCCACCTCCTTTGAGCGGTGCTGCGTGGTACGGTGTGGTGCGGCGTACTGTGGGGCGTTGTGGAGCGGCGTGGTGCGGGGTGTTGCGCGGTGCGGGGAGTCGCGCGGTGCGGCGAGGGCCGTTTGACGCCGCTTGCGGCTTTAATTAGGCCCGAGCCCCGAACGGGGTAAGGGCCTATTGCTTTCACAATGGTGAAAACAAATGGTGGCGGTGCGTGACGGACGCGTCAGCGCCCGTCACGCACTAAAACTTGACAGTTGCGTGCGCAAACTCAAACGCTTTAAAATGATGAATCACGTGCCATTGAAACCTATATTGTTTTTGCTCGAGACAAGTCCAAAAAAATTCCTTTTTTATTTATTAGGCCCGAGCCCCGAACGGGGAAAGGGCCTATTGTTTTTGCTCGAGAGATGTCAAATTCTGCACTTTGAGCCTTAATTTCAGCCCCTGAACATGCATGAAAAGTTGTAAAATTTTGCCCAAACATCAGACCTGGTGAAAAATCTGATATTTGGGTGTTTATTTTTATGGGACTCTAAAAAATGCCTGAACAGCGCCACCTACAACAGCCAAAATAATACCCCTATGGGACTTTTCGGAGGTCAAATTTGTCCTAGAAACATGAGATTTGGTATACATGTTCCTCTAGTCAAGACATGAAAAAAATATTATTATGGCTCCGCCCTCTGACAAACAGGAAGCCCATAAATTCCATCGCAAAATGGAAAAATGAACAGCAAAAGTTTTCATACATGTCGGTTGGAAAGCGACTCCTCCTCGGCCGTTTCACCGATTCGCCTCAAAATCGCTCCACATCATCTCAACACATGTACCTTCAAAATGACCTCAGGGATTTTTGATCAGTGAAACATTGTTTGAGCAGCGGAGCGGCAAAATGTGACCTTTTTTTGGCCGTTTTTGACAACATTAAATTTGCTCCCGTTTGCACAAAGTCTGATTTGCACAAAACTTTAATACATTGTTCAACTCTAGGGTCTAGGTCATTTGAAAGTGAATTGATTCAAATTGACACATTAGCGCCCCCTACAGACTATTTCAAAGTTTTAGATTGGCATTTTCAAATTTAGTTTTTTCAAAATATTTGAAATTTTGCACATAAATCTGTTTTGCCCTCTTTATTCAAAAAGTCAACAGGGTCCAAGGCTTACTTTTTACCCTGTTGCCGTGGCGACGACAAACGCGCCCCATTCATTGCAAATGTACACCTCACACAAACATCAAACCAGCCTCGGCCGTTTCACCGATTCGCCTCAAAATCGCTCCACATCATCTTCAACACATGTACCATCAAAATGACTTCAGGGAATTTTGATCAGTGAAACGTTGTTTGAGCAGCGGAGCAGCAAAAAGTGGCGTATTTTTTTTCAGTTTGTGATGATAGAAAAATCGCTTCCGTTTGCACAAACAAAGTCTGATTTGCACAAAACTTGAATCCATGGTTCAACTCTTGGGTCTAGGTCATTTGAAAGTTAAAATTTAGAAATTGGCTCTATAGCGCCACCTACAACGGCCAATTTAAAAATGCCTATGGGAGGGGTTTGAGGTCAAAATTGTCGTAGAACCATGTAATTTGGTACACATGTTCCTCAAGTCAAGACATGGAAAAAATGTTATTATGGCTAATCCCTCTGACAAACAGGAAGCGGATAAATTTCATTGCAAAATGGAAAAATGAAAACCAATCATTTTCATACACATCGCTTGGAAAGCGACTCCTCCTCGGCCGTTTCACCGATTGGCCTCAAAATTGTTCCAAATCATCTCAACACATTTACCGTCAAAATGACTTCAGGGAATTTTGATCAGTGAAACGTTGTTTGAGCAGCGGAGCGGCTAAATGTGAGGTTTTTTTTGGCTGTTTTTGACAACATTAATTTTGCTCCTGTTTGCACAAACAAAGTCTGATTTGCACAAAACTTTAATCCATTGTTCAACTCCAGGGTTTAGGTCAGGTTAAAGTGAAATATTGGAAATTGGCCCATTAGCGCCCCCTACAGACTGAGTCAAAATTTACATTGGGAGCCAAACCAGCTCTACTTATCATATTCATTACAATTTGACTAACAATCTTCTATGGCTATGGGAACAAATCATCACACGGCGGTGCCACCTCCTTTGAGCGGTGCTGCGTGGTACGGTGTGGTGCGGCGTAGTGCGGGGCGTTGTGGAGCGGCGCATTGCGGCTTGGTGCGGGGCGGCGTGATGCGGGACAGCGTGGTGCAGGGCGGCGTGGTGGCTTGGTGTGGGGTGGTGCGCGCGGTGCGGGGAGACGCGGTGCGGCGAGGGCCGTTCGACGCCGCTTGCGGCTTTAATCTTTGTTTTGATTTTTCCCTGAATTGGAATCATTACCACACTGCCAATTGCAATAAACTTGAGGATGTCTTTGAATAGCCTGTTGTTCCAAATCACCACTTTACTTTCTCTGGATTGAAGAAGCAAGTACTTGAGGGGTGGCTGCTGTTGAGTGTCGTAAGCAGGGCACACTTGCTACATATTGATCCTTTCTCTTCCTCTGAGATCCACTTATGCCAAATAGTGCTTCAGGTGCACTGAGTAATGTAGTGTTACTAAGAGCAAATATCAAATCTAACACCTTGCTCTGGCACTCAGGAGTGGATCTGAGCACACAGTAATAAGAGAGGAGACTCAAGCCATATCTTTGAGCTGACAAATGTGTCTAAAGGTATGCAATGAAGCACAACACAATTAATAAATGCACTAACGCAATTAGAGTCTACAATGACGTAGTTTAAACATAGAACTCACAGTTCTTGGACTAGGAAGTACTCTTTCCTTGTCTCATATGTATCTATCAGATGAAGTATATTGGGATGATTCACCCTAGAACAAAAACAATAAATATGCAATTATGCAAAAAAGTAGAAATCAAGATTCCGGGAACATTGTATCCATTATATTTGTTTTCTGACAACATACAATTTCAAAATCATGATTTCATTCTTGGCGGCCTTGCGGACTTTCCTGCCATCCTTCTTCAGGAACTTTTTACAGACAAACACTTTATCCGTTTGTCGTTCCTTAACCAGGCACAGCTCACAAAACTCCTTCCTGCACAATTAAAAAACATAGGACATGAGAGTAAATAAATACAGTATGTTAAGGGTGACTTTTGATGAGAATAATAACCATATACTCATAATTGTGTACAAAAACCTGTACTTGGTAGATATGCTCCTTTCCCCCGTCAATCACGACAGATTCTGCACCAATCTGTCTGCCAATCTCAAGATATCTTTATTTTTTATTTGTGAACAACTTTCCTTTTTTGGAAAACACCTCACCCAGGTGAGAGGTCAAAGCACCTGCTTCTAGGTTTTTATGTATTTATTGACCTTTGATTAACCTGGAAAGTCCCTCTGAAATTGCAGAATCTGTTTTTCAGGGGAGTCCTGGCCCAAGAGAGAGGGGTCAGTAGTGGGGTCAGTGAGGGTGTTAAGGGGGACTATTGTACTTGTTTTTAGAGGTAAGGGAAACTGGAGCACCTGGAGGAAATCTCAAACTCCACACAGAAAGGCAATCAAACCCGGGACTTTCTGTCTGTGAAGCACTGCGCCAGCATGCCTTAATAATTATGATTCCATCTGCGTGTTGAATATTATCATGTTATGAAGATTAAATCATGTGGTCCCCAAACCATATTCTCGACCTCTGAATTGGTCAATGATTATTGTCCCTAAAGTTGTGAACAGAACATCTGACAAAGGGAAGTTCAACATGGACAGCACACAGAAAAGAGCCTTAGACCTAAACGTTAACACGGTAACATGGATGTGTACCATCTCCAGATCTCCATATGTGGGTATAAGCATTAATAAGCAGAAAATGTACAATAGAAAAAGCCTCCAGCTCTAGTTGTCTTGACAAAGCAGAGGATCAACATCTAGAGATGGGTTAGGGCTCCTGACAGTGGACCTAGTGGCATTGAAGGATGGGTCAAATGCAGAGGAGATTAAAATACAATATGCTAACATACCTATAATAATACCATAATAGTTTGAAAAATACAACAAATATTACATTTAATTGTGTTGCCTATTGTTTTTTCAACACCAGACTGCAAGGGGGTGGTCTGGGTGTTCTGAATCGGACATGACAGTTACTAGGGGGAGTGTTTGCAAATAGTATGTCATCTCATATCTCTCAGCCCAGTAATAAAATTTAAAGTTGTAACTGCAGGTGGTGACAGTCCACCTGCAGTTACATTGCACTTTGGATAATTTAAGACCTTGTCTGTGAAAGGCGCTATACAAATAAGCTTTACTTACTTACTTGAGTTCCATATACATTTAGTGACAGCTCTATAAAGCCTGTCCCAGTAATGTGTTTATGGTGAAAGTGGATCATAAAACTAAAAAGATTATTGTGAAGTATATATTTATATATTTTTAGGTTAAACTGATATACAATGCACTTTCACTATTAGTTCTGACAAAGTACTTAAATCGTGTGGCAATCAGGATTTCTGTGGGGAGCTTCGAATTTCTCAGTGGTATCCCAACTAATCTTGTACCTGGAGAGAACATCTCCCACATACAAAAGGACATCATCTGCACATAATAAAATGTATTGTCTTACGCCATTATATTAAACTAGAGTGACAAAGTCATATAAATGAATTACAGTGCCTTGCGAAAGTATTTGGCCCCCCTTGAACCTTTCAACATTTTGCCACATTTCAGGCTTCAAACATAAAGATATAAAAACTTAATTTTTGTCAAGAATCAACAAGTGGGACACAATCGTGAAGTGGAACTAAATTTATTGGATAATTTAAACTTTTTTAACAAATAAATAACTGAAAAGTGGGGCGTGCAATATTATTCGGCCCCCTTGCGCTAATACTTTGTAGCGCCACCTTTTGCTACAATTACAGCTGCAAGTCGCTTGGGGTATGTCTCTATCAGTTTTGCACATCGAGAGACTGGAATTCTTGCCCATTCTTCCTTGCAAAACAGCTCGAGCTCAGTGAGGTTGGATGGAGAGCGTTTGTGAACAGCAGTCTTCAGCTCTTTCCACAGATTCTCGATTGGATTCAGGTCTGGACTTTGACTTGGCCATTCTAACACCTGGATACGTCTATTTGTGAACCATTCCATTGTAGATTTGGCTTTATGTTTTGGATCATTGTCCTTTTGGAAGATAAATCTCCGTCCCAGTCTCAGGTCTTTTGCAGACTCCAGGTTTTCTTACAGAATGGTCCTGTATTTGGCTCCATCCATCTTCCCATCAATTTTAGCCATCTTCCCTGTCCCTGCTGAAGAAAAGCAGGCCCAAACCATGATGCTGCCACCACCATGTTTGACAGTGGGGATGGTGTGTTCAGGGTGATGAGCTGTGTTGCTTTTACGCCAAACATATCGTTTGCATTGTGGCCAAAAAGTTTGATATTGGTTTCATCTGACCAGAGCACCTTCTTCCACATGTTTGGTGTGTCTCCCAGGTGGCTTGTGGCAACCTTTAAACGAGACTTTTTATGGATAACATTAAGAAATGGCTTTCTTCTTGCCGCTCTTCCATAAAGGCCAGATTTGTGCAGTACACAACTGATTGTTGTCCTATGGACAGACTCTCCCACCTCAGCTGTGGTTATCTGCAGTTCATCCAGAGTGATCATGGGCCTCTTGGCTGCATCTCTGATCAGTCTTCTCCTTGTTTGAGATGAAAGTTTGGAGGGACAGCCGGGTCTTGGTAGATTTGCAGTGGTCTGATACTCCTTCCATTTAAATATAACTGCTTGCACAGTGCTCCTTGAGATGTTTAAAGCTTGGGAAATCTTTTTGTATCCAAATCCGGCTTTAAACTTCTCCACAACAGTATCTCGGACCTGCCTGGTGTGTTCCTTTGTCTTCATGGTTCTCTCTGCGCTTTAAACAGAACCCTGAGACTATCAAAGAGCAGGTGCATTTATACGGAGACTTGATTACACACAGGTGCATTCTATTTATCATCATCAGTCATTTAGGACAACATTGGATCATTCAAAGATCCTCACTGAACTTCTGGACTGAGTTTGCAGCACTGAAAGTAAAGGGGCCGAACAATATTGCACGCCCCACTTTTCAGTTTTTTATTTGTTAAAAAAGTTTAAATTATCCAATACATGTTGTTCCACTTCACGATTGTGTCTCACTTGTTGTTGATTCTTGACAAAAAAATTTAAATTTTATATCTTTATGTTTGAAGCCTGAAATGTGGCGAAATGTTGAAAGGTTCAAGGGGGCCGAATACTGTACATGGCGAGAATACATTAGAGGGAATAGCAAAGGAAGAATATTTCTAGCTATACTAATTAGTATTGTTGTTGGAGTATTATAAAGCACCACAGGTACTGAAGTTCTGGCTTGTCAAAAGCCCTCATGGCATTGAGTGAGAAGGCACAGATAATGAGGTGTTATCCATATCAAGGTACACCTCATGTTGTCCTTGACTTTATAAAACTTGTTTGGTTGCATTTACTAAATTACATTTTCAGATCAGCGTTTGAAAGAGAGAGAGAGGCCTAAAATTGGGGGTCCTTATCTTCATTGAGTAATATAGAAATTAGTGCTGTCCAACAATTAAAATATTTAATCGCGATTAATCGCATGAATTTCATAGTTAACTCGCGATTAATCGCAAATTAGTCACGCATTTGTATCTATTCTTTATGTCCCTTGAATTAATTAAAATAATATAAAAATAATAAAATAAAATTAATAATAATAATAAAATAAAATAAAAAATGAATGAATAAGTAGATAAATATAATAATAACATGAATAATATGTGCATATGTGCATATAATGATAATACACAAGTCAGGGTAAGCGAAAGCTTATTTGAATGCATGACACGTTTAGTTAAGAAAAACACTTGGGAAAAAGGAACAAAATAAGAGAAGGAATGGGCCGGGCGTGGGCTCCCTCCCCCCCTTTTTGGGGTGGGGGCCTGCTTGGGGGTCTGTGTGTGTGTCGGATTTGGTTTTGATGTTGGCTGGGTTCCGCTTAGCTTGGTGAAACTCAGGCGGGCAGATTTTACATCTTATCTTATCTGTGGGGTGTATGTGTGTGTGTGTGTGGAGTGTGTGTGTTTATGGGTGTGGGTGTGTGTGTGTATGTGTGGGTATAGACCAGTGTTTTTCAACCACTGTGCCGCGGCACACTAGTGTGCCGTATGATATTGTCTGGTGTGCCGTGAGAAATTCGTCTACTTTGTCTAAAAATAGCTGCATTCGCTGTTGACGAGCGGTGACTTGTTTTGAACTGTGAGTAACCATGTAATACTTTTTCAAATCAGTAGATGGCAGCAGATAGCTAAGTACTTTGAAACTGAAAAATTGGATGCGACCACTGGCTGTAACAGGTCAGCATTGTGGCGAGAAAGGTAAAATTGGATGCGACCAACAAATGTGGGAGGGAGCGAGACAAGAGCTTTGTGGCGAGTGAGAAGTGAAAGTGATAGAGACGTTTTTGAAAATGAATTATGCCGTTTCTGAACAGGATTAACATCCTCCGCTCTGCCCCGGGGTAGCTGTGGCCGCGTTGTAGTGGTTTAACTATGAAATGTACCATTTTTGTACAACAGCTCTCGCGAACGCACTTCTGAACTGGGTACCGAGCGCAGACCATAGTCAGGTGGACAGAACCACAGACATGCGGACCGGACAGAACCATGGACTCGCGTTCAGGACCTCCCGTGTCCCTCATCCAAAACTCCTGAATTTAAAGCTCGGATACCAAAATGTTTCCCATGCACTAACAATGCATGTTCTTTGTGTGAGTTATTATTTGACTATTTGGGCAGAGAGTGGATTTTCTTAGTTTTTTTCACACAGTTAGTGCCACTTTATTCCCAAACTCTTGTTAAATCAGAGAAATATTAAATAAAGCTTAAAGTCAAGGCCTGGACTTAAGCATTTTGATGAGAATAACTGTATATTGTGAATATAGGCTTATTGTATACATTATAAGATTTTACTTTATATATCACACAGAGTGTAATATTAACAAGTACTGTATACATTTTTACATTTTCTCCTGGAGGTGTGCCGCAAGATTTTTTCAGTGAAAAAAGTGTGCCTTGGCTCAAAAAAGGTTGAAAAACCATAACCATGACTGTATAGAAACACACTTGATCGACACCCATTTTCTCTGGATTTCTACAATAAAAGTGAATGACATTTACACAGTGGTAAAGGGCATCCCAGTGAACAAGTGTGCAGTGAAAGTAGTGAGGGAACTTTTTTAGTTTTTTTGAAAATGAATTTTAAAAAGTGCTTTTGGGACCAAAATGGCACACTTTGACCCCCATTTTCTCTGGATTTCTACAGTAAAAGTGAAAGATATTTTACACAGTGGTAGAGGGCATCCTGTTGAACAAGTGTGCAGTGAAATCAGTCAGGGAACTTTTTTAGATTTTTTTAAAATGAATTTTAAAAAGTGCTTTTGGGACCACTTGTGCATACTTTGACCCCCATTTTCTCTGGATTTCTACAGTAAAAGTGAATGATATTTTACACAGTGGTAGAGGGCATCCTGGTGAACAAGTGTGCAGTGAAAGTAGTGAGGGAACTTTTTTAGTTTTTTTTAAAATGAATTTTAAAAAGTGCTTTTGGGACCAAAATGGCACACTTTGACCCCCATTTTCTCTGGATTTCTACAGTAAAAGTGAATGACATTTTACACAGTGGTAAAGGGCATCCCAGTGAACAAGTGTGCAGTGAAAGTAGTGAGGGAACTTTTTTAGATTTTTTTAAAATGAATTTTAAAAAGTGCTTTTGGGACCAAAATGGCACACTTTGACCCCCATTTTCTC